TCGAGTCGGGCTCAAATGAGTCATGTGATGAAAACTAGCGAGTTCCTGTCGAACACGTGAGGCAGAAATTTTATACGTGAAACGAAGCTGGGGAAATTCGAACTCGAATATACTACAAAATTGCTAATGACGTTTGGTTAATTTACAATCGAATTTAACTAGCAAAATGGATGAATTCCCAAAGTTATACAGCATGCTTTTAACGCAGTAAATTTTTAATGTTTGAAATCCTTCGTTTTGGTACAATTTTTGTGTAAATAATGCACGTTGGCATTTGGTGTATTATAGAGAGTACTTTCTGCGAATTCAATAAACTTTTACGATGGCAATGCAATTTTGAAATCGTAAAAAAGGGGTTAAACCGTCGAAAAAACCTCACAATTATACCATTGTACCAGCTAAAGGGTTTTATGGTCGAAGCGGAAGGGTTGCACTGTACCGTCAAAGAAGAAAAAAAACGTGCAATTCCATTTCGCAATAATTTATAGGGTCGTTTAGGAAAATGCCGAGTCGATATAATAAAAAAATACCTGACGGAAACAATAAACCGGCGAAAAAAAAATAGCGACGATTTTTTTGTCGGCCTCAGTCGCAACACGTTTTCTTATTTTCGACGAGCCGAACTCGACAAATATTTGCTCGTCCTACGAAAATAAAATTCCTCCGCGTCTGGACAATGTGTAGCATCACCGATATCCACGCAAAGCGAAGAGATAAACGTGTAAAATGAGCCCACGCAACTCGATTCAAAAAAATTCTACAGACCCTTAAATAAACAGTGCGAAAACAACACCTGCACCTCTTACAAACCCCGGAATTGAATTAGGAGAATTAGGAAAATTATTAGAATATTCATAAAAAAATTTCAGACGTAGAGGAAAATAAAATATTAGTTTGATAGCGATTAAATGTGAAAACGGGCGTCGAAGAACAAACAACAGAGGCGAAGACTTTGAATGCAAATAAAATAATGTGATAATTGGGTTGATTTTGTGCTAATAACATTTGCTAAATGATTTTTTCCTCCGACGATCTTCCTAGAAATGTTTTCGACATAAAACCGTTTCTTGACATGTCGATATTGGGGTAAACAAAACAACTTTATCGAGCTGCGCAAATAATTTGTATTTATTTTTCAAATATTTAGGAATTTAACACTTCATTACGTCGCTATCGTTAATTAAATATTTTATCCGAAAACACAATACGTCCCTCCTAATTAATATTTAAATTGCTCTTTTTCGTTCTAACAGCTTTTGTGGAAATCGAAAAGGAACCGATTTCAATCCGCACACACAAGCGATATATCTCTAATTTTTACAACCACTAAATTCGAAAACGAAAAGAAAAAAATACAATTAAATCGTGCAGTTTTACGACCCCCAAAAGTTGTAAAAAAAGCCCTTTTTCCTCTCTACCAAAAACCGAAGTAGGTGCGTTCATCCCGCTAAAAGAGTCGACCAGGCAATAACAACCAATAACCCCACGCTGGGAGGCATAATGGTTCGCAAATATATTTATTCAAATGTTTATACAGGGCGGTCGGGAGTGCACTGTCGAACAATGGACGCCTTGTGGTCGTAATCTGGTCTCGGTTTATTAACACTTAAAGATCCCTATTGAATTACACAACGCTCCAATTCTGTTCAATTGAGAATTGAAAGTACGTGGGCTCGAACCTCGAAGGAAATAAATTTATTCCAAACCAATGGTTTCATCGACTAACCTTTGGAAGGGGTGAAAATTTACGCAAAAATTAGAGGTAGTTAACTCTTAATAAACGATTAAATATTATTCTTATAATTAATACAAAAATTTAATGAGGTAATTAAGAATGATTGTTGTAGCCAGCTCACGTACTATTTCCCTTGGGCTGATTCCCATCACGTCTAATAAATGCACGTATATTAATAGAGCACTAGAACCTTAGTTAACCCTTAAAACACAGTCACCATACATAATGTACATGTTTGTACTTACTAAACATTTACGCAAACGCATACCATACCACGGCGCATATAAAAAACTCATACATTTCTTTTTTCATTAAGGAAGCTGATAGAGGATGAGTGCCCGCGAGGGAGACCGAAGACGAGATATTGTTCAATTAATCCCTAAAAGCATCTTCATATGGCTAATTAAATACTTCAAAAAAGTTTTTGTCGAGGCCCCTCGGAATATATGTTTGCAGGAAAATTATTTACCTCGTTGGGATGGGATAGTTTTCTGGATAGTTCGATTATTGGTTATTTTATTCATGGATTAGTGGAAAATATGCAAAAAAGTTTTTAGTTAATTGTAATACATTTTTTTCGATAAGTTTTTATTAAAGTGGTTTAAGGTAAATTTACTAAGAATCAAAAATGCGAATTTTTTTTATAGAATTTGGAAAAGAATGAAACTTAGAAATTAAGAATGTTAAAAAAATTTTAATGAGTATTGAATAAAGCAAAATAAACGTTTTGGAAGCAACTAAAATGAATTGAGTTTTGAAGCTTTCTTAAAGCTCAACTAAACTATATAGCAAAATTAATGGCACTAACAATTAATAAAAATCATTATCGACGAGAACATTTTTTAAAAGTCTCTTTTATCGAACCAACCTTGCGGGAAATCTCATTTTTTTTCGAAATCAACAACGTATCAACACAAAACCGTACCCAAAGCCCCACCATCAAACCAATGGAAACTTACAAAACACTGATAAGACAACCGATAACAAACAAATAAAAAAATTTGAAAAAAATTGATAACGACCAATAGCACTACTCGATCGAATCGAACACCATTTCCCATGGAACAATCACCAACGAACCTCGAAAAAAATCAAAAAAAAACCAAACAAAAAATATCGCAAAAACCCATCGGTCTTCGGCCGTGTCCTGCCGATCGTCCTGGGCCGACTGCGATTCGCGAAGTCGGGTTCGCAAATGACGGTCCTTCGGAGCCGCGGAATTGCCAAAGCCCACATCGCGGGTTCGCGACTCCTCGGCTTTTGCCTTTTTTTTTGCACACACACACATGCACACGCACACACAAACATTCGCCGGCACGTACGCTGTTGTCGTCTGCTCCTTTTTTGTGCGTCGTGACGTCGACCGCCTCGGGCACACGCGATTCGCGAATGTTGAGTACGGTCAGGAGAAACGACCCCTACAGGGTGGGACACCGAAACCGAAAATCTATCTAATTTTTCTCGTGAATTGGAATCGCACGAACTTGTGCATTGTGCAAATTTGTAGGAAGTTCCATTAGTTTCATATAAAGGAAAAATGGGAATTACAACTTTCTCATCCTAACCACTGTTGTTTTAATAATTTCACTTTGTTCAACTTATAGAATTGACCAAATTGCAAGCAAATTTGTACTTACCAATGTACTATAACTCAATATGAACAAGGGTTAAATACCTACAACAAATCGAGTTATTTGAGCCTAAAATCCTGCAATTTTATTGAGTATTTTTGGATGGAAGTAGTTAAAAGAAATTGTAATACAAAAAAATACAAAAAATTTCGACTCATTTTGGGCATATTAGAAAACGATTCGTGTAAAAATTCGACGAAACTTACAAACTGTTTACGGAACGTATTTAAAACTCGACTCAAGCCGGGATCCTGAGGGGTCAAGGATTTTATTTATCTAATTAATTAACGATTTCAATGTCACCGGTCTGTTTTGAAAACCTTTCGGTTCGAAATAGTAAAATTACCATGCGTTTTTGAATTGTTGATTTCCCGTTGTATTTCGAATCTGCAATTAATAATCTAATCAAAAATTCATTCATTACATAGCATTACAGAATTCCCAAAAAATACGCGATTTATTCCACTACAAGTTTAGCATTACGCAACAATTTTTTGATTATCTTCACATTTACACACCATTATTTATACGAAACTAGTAATCTAGAAATTTTCATTCATACAACCGTTTCCAATTCATCAATAAATCGCCAACAAAAAAACCGCAACAACTAAATTTAAATCCAACTCGAACGGCGAGCAGAAGAGCGCTTGGAATACAGGCCCGTCGAAATTCGCGTTCCGCCCCGTATGGCGAATAAACTATTGGCAACATCCTGCAAAGGCATTGTCCTTATGGTAGGTCGGGGTATCGCTTTGGAGAATTCGTAGCGGTATTTTGCGTGGAACGTGAACCCGAGACGTACGCAAGGCCGACGCATCGAAATTGCGTGCCGATACCGATCTGCGTGCAATTATTTTTTTTCATTCGCCCGCGCCCCGTTAGAAACGCGTCGCGTGGGTGCGCTTTTCGCGATTCCGCGACGATTTCGAATCGAAATTCGGCATCGAAAAGTGCGCCGAAAATATGATCGATTTTTTTCCTGAACTGTAAATTTGAACAAAAATACCGTTGGTGATGTGTTTGATAAGGCGTTGGAGTTCGCATTGCATTTTTAACGTTTTAGATGCGATTAGACATGTATTGAAGTAAGTCAATTGCTTAATATCTATTTGGAATTTCGAAAATAGATAATTTTTTTAGATTAAATATTTATCGGCGAAAAATCGAGCGAAAATTACGTAGATATTGATTTTTTTGCAAATATTTATCGATTTTAAATTGTTGATTTAGAAACTCTATATAGCTTGTCTGAAATTCTAAGTTCTACCTATTTATTACCATTTCCTCTTTTACATTTCCAATTTACTCCACTTCACTCATTCATTATTTCTACATTATTCCAATATATTTACATAACAAAGTAACTGACTACAAAACATAATAATAATCCCAAATACTTATGCTAAAAGGGACTAACTGTATAGCAAAATGAAGTTGCAATCGATCCGGTGATGATGTGACATATCGAGTGCATTGCGAGCGGCGAAAAAAAAAGTGATACGATCTATTATTTTATCCTTCAATGTGTTTACAATTTGATAGAAACTATCCTTGATGGAATACAGACAAACAAGTCCCCTATCTCTCATGGCGAAAAAACCGAATGCACCAACTTCAACTACACGCATATTTTCAATCCGCAATGCGAAATAATATTATATTGTTATCAGTGCAGAATAGATCATTACACTCGATTGCTTAGCTAAAAGGGCAATTGTAGCGATTAATTTGTTGTGGTGACTCCGTTTGGTTGAATAGCAGGCGAGTAGCTTTATCGATTATTAAGTAAATAAAAAATTGGGCCCAAATGTATAAGAATTACAAACATTTCTATTAAAATAAAGACTTATTTAATGAATTATTGCGAATACAAGTAGAGGAAGATCATTTACCACAATGTATAGATAATAAGATAAATATAACTCGCAATACAATCGCATGAATACAACATTACGAGGTATTTTGTATTTTTGTCAAAAAAAGTTAATAGACAATAATGAAACGTTAAACGAAAATCGTTAGTACTACGTATTTTCGTGGACGAAATTTGGGTCATTCGATGATAATTATTACATACTTCGCAAAGAGAGCTCTGAATTATTCAGGGAAATAATTCCGGTTCGGAAATAATTTTTTTTAGTAAACGCACATTTCCACGCAAATCATTAATTATTTCTGCCGAAATTCATCAAATATGCATGCGGTAATGTTGGGGAAAATCCATCGACGATTCGGCGGGTCACCGAATAAAATTTTCTACAAAATATTATCTACGTATACCTCTGTAGATAGTTACTGATGCGATAGAAATAAATCATTTCGTGGAGATGTATTCAAAATGTTATTGCTTATTTCTAATAATAAATTCGTATTTTTTAGGCTAATTATTGTTTATAGATCATCGGATAACTCCAGTGTTGTAAAATTCGTAATATTAAATGAGAATTCTGATCGTAAAACCAAAACTGACATAGGTTTTAATAGGTAGTAAATTAAAAAATATGGAAGGTCTAAAAGATACCTCTACATATTATAATGCGAATGAGATTTAAAATCTTGAATTTTTAGTAGGTAGTATTCGTTTCGTTTTATAGTCAAGGATAAAATTAATACAAATTTCAACATACAGGGTTGTTTCGAAAGATAAACGTTTAATTATCGAACGCCGCTCGTATATAAGGTGCGTACCTCATTCCGTCGAATTTAATAATTAATTAGCACAAGAAAGGATTCGTACGAATATCGACCGGATTATTACAGATATAGATAGAAGTAGGAAAAAAGGGACGAAAGCGAAAATGACGCACCGTTTGCGTGTCGTCCGATAGGCCGAATTGTACCGAGGACACTCGCTATATACATAGCCCCTACAATTTCCACAAAATAAAACGACAATTACGAAAATGGAAAATCGACGTCGTAGGTACACGTGGAAAATTGGTCAAATGGCTAATATTTTATTCGGTTTCAAGGCGGCCTGAAAGTCCCATTTAGATTCACTTAGATATTTCCTATAATTACAGGCGCCATTTTTTTCAATGGAACACCTACTCTTCAAATTTCTAATACCAAAGGTTTTAATTGATAGAAAATAGTGAAGCTCAGAAGCGCAACTTGATAGATAATATGAGCGTTTTCACACAGTTTATTGTTGCAATATTGCACTGCAGTTCAATCGTTGAAATGCATAGTTTTCATACACGATGCAATAATTTTTTGAAATATGTTCTACAGATATTTTATAGGTACGATATAAAATTGGGACCAATAGAAATCCATGTAAAATAATGTAGGTTTTCACCTGATTCGGCATTATTTCTCTAACTTGCTCCATATATTGCAGATAGTGTGAGAAAATTGTTAACAATATATCGCATGCAATATTTTAATGCAGCATGTGAAGACTCTAAAATGGTTCATTTCGGATTCTGATCAGGTTCTAATGGAAGACGCCCTGTAGATCAGAGTTTTCGATTCGCCCGGTAAACGTACTTACGCGGATGCATCAGCACGAAAATAAACGTGAATTCGGGACCCGTAAAAAAGGCACCGTTTTCTCTTATGTAAGCGCGATGAAAAAAAAAAAGAGCCCATCGTGGACCGGTGTCGGTGCATAAACTCGCTGTCCTTGGCCACAGTTCGAAATTTCCTGGGTTCTTTACACTTTGATAGGGATCCCCCCTTGCCGCCCGAAACGAAAGGCAATCGCCGCCCTGCCCCTTTCCTTGCCCGCCCGTATGTATTCGGATGCCCTTCGCATGAGCCATACTAGCTAGCATAGGTGCGTGTGCGTGTGTGTATAACTTATACGAAATGCTATTATGTATACGAGCCGGAGCCGATTTTAATTTTAGCCCGTCTTCTTCGTATGGGATACGTTGGAGAATAATCTTTGGAAAAAAATATATATATCGAGTTCAAGGTTGATTTTAATTGGATATTTAGATTCGGGTAATTGAGCCGTATTCCAGTTTTTAAACCTATATTTTACCTGTCAGGAAGATGAAACGAATATTACAGTTTTTAAAATTAGTCTTAATACTGGCAGTTGGATAAAATTGTCCAAAAATTGGAATTGATCGATACGAAATGCCTTTGTGTGTAACGAATTCGAAGGGAGTTCGATTTGTTTGAATAAACCACAACCCATTTACCATCAACACCAATCGTGTCGTGCATTTCTGCGCAATTCTGAATGTTTTATCCACCTTTTTCGTTTCATTTGTGAAATGTTGCCGAGTAAACAATATTTATTTAGTTGTATCATGCACCTGCGAATAACCCAAGAGAAAATCGATTGAATAAATATTAGGGACACCCTGTATATCGCTAAATGACACATCGTTTATTCGAAACGAACGGTTTCCTGTATAAAGTGCATTAAATGCAGAAAGTTTGTAAATTTGCCGAAATTTTTTAAGGCGAATACAACTTGTTCGGGACGAAAATCGTGAATATTGTCGGTGTATTTTACATACAATGGCACAGTCGAGTGAAAAAATTATCAAAATTATGGATATGAGAGGTCGAAAGATCGAATTTAGTCTGAAAGGCATCGAATTTATGTCTAATTTAAAACGTCAACTGAAATTTATGTTAGCAATGGGACCAGATAAAGCGTACATATTTTTTAAATGTAGATATTTTGTTATTTCCTTAAAAATATTTGAAATTTGAACTTTCGTTCGATTATATTTATAGTTCAATTAATCACCATTGATTCAAAAACCGCATGTTTGTTGACAATAATTCTACATTATACGGAGTAAATCAAAATAACTTAATCAACCATTATTCCTAATCATTATTTAGTACCCAAATCTTTTTAAACAAAATCGGTCTTAATTAACGATGCATTTTATAAATTTCTCAATAAAATTAAATTCATGAGTGAGTCATCTTGACAATTTTTACATTATAATTATTGTAAAAAATAGAGTTCAAATCCAATTAGATCGCCAACTAAAAATGAATTAAATTGTCGTTTCAATAGTCGATTCGAATAATAGATTTTTAACGACATAGCAAATTCGAAATGAAACGAATAAAGACTTTATCGCTAATTTTTACTACTTAATCAATTAGGTTTTTTTACAAGAAAAAAATATTAACAGGACTACCTTGAGACGATGGAAAAAATTAATCGAGTCACAGAGGAATTTTTTTGGTAATTTTCTTATTACCCAAATGTAAAAATTACCGCCAGTATGTTTCCTTATCAGCTTGTTAATTAGTGTTTTTTGTAATTTTTACATTAGATAGTACCATCTTCATTATACGTGAAATCAAACGACAAATCAATTAACTTAAATTAAAAAATAATTTAGGTGCAAAAATTGTATGTTTCTTTGTAATCTTTCTTTTATGCACTTATGAGCTCAAAAAATTATTAATATTCAGTCTGGATGATTATTTTTGGTCACCCTGTATGCCACCTATTTAGAAGTTGGGTCTCCCTATACAGTAAAAGAAAAAGGCCATTTCGAAAAGCTCCATTAACCCGAAACGCTGAAAACACCCGATAAAAATTTTCGTTCTATCAGTATGTGAAAACAGAACTTCATCGCATAGCTAACGATATACGAAAAAAAATAAATAAAAAAAAATAAACCATTTTAGTAAATGGAATGTCACCGATGCCGATAAAGTATATCAAAATATATTGAAAAAGCAACCGTTGACCTCACGGAATCGGCCAGATAAATCATTATTTGGTTTTCAAAAGTCGACGTGTGTGAAATCAAACGATCGCCTCACCCTCGTCGTTTTCGGGCCGCAAATGGACCGTTCGGGAGCCTCTCCTTATCCAATTACCCGGCCGTTCACGCCGGATTATTTTATTGGGATTTATGGAATTACGCGCCGATAAAATGTATAAATTGCTTACAAAAAACTAGAACTACATACCTATTAATTTCCCGGAGTAAATTTCTCGCACACGCCAAAATAACAAAAGAATAATACATAGCAACTGTCAATTTGCATAGCAACCAAGTCGAACGTGCGATTTTTTTCCAACATCAAGTAGTCCCCAGACAGTTTCAATTTTGCACAAGGATTCTGTCAATTCAGCTGTCAATGGGTATTTCTTTTTAAATATACTCAAGCAGGTATTTCAAAATCTATTTATTTTAAATAGCGATATAAATTAGCGATTTTTTTATATCAAGTAGCCCAAGACAGTTCCAATTTTGCATAAGGAAATTGTCAATTACCATGCCAACGAGGTCTCATGTCAATTCAGCTGTCATTTCTTTTTAAATATATTCGAGAAAGTATTTCAAAATCTATTTATTTCTATAAACAGCGATATAAATAAGGGATTTTTTTCCTATATCAAGTAGCCAAAGACACTTCCAATTATTCTGCATAAGAAACTGTCAAAATCCATGGTAACGAAATTTGACGTTCTATGAGGAATTTTTCTATCAATTCAACTGTCAATGGGTATTTTTTTTTTAATTTACCGGAGTAGGACATTTCAAAATCTATTTATTCCCACAAACACCATTCCCTGCGAAATACCGCTAATGGCATTTTCGCGCTATTTTTTCCGTACATAATTACAGGGCAAGCAAATGAACAAACGGCAGAAACAGATACCCAGATAGCGAGGGGGAGCGGGCGAGCACGACATGTCGCGTTGCCGCCCCCGCCGGGCCGCCTCCACGAAAAATATCGCGACGAACACGCATCTCCACGCAACAAATTAAAAAGAATAGCGGCGATTTGCGTGCGAGATACGCGCCGCAACGACTGCGCTCGGTCCGCTCCTGAATATGATAAAGCGATTGCAGAATGTGCATATTTACAAAACAGGGGGTGTGTGCGTGTTTACAGGGTGGATGGACGTCCGTTGGGAATGTAGGTAAATGCAGTAGGTACTTATGGACTAATAAAAGCCTTCTATAGATTCGATCCGCTTTTTTTGGGGGATAATTAGTAGAGTAAAAATTGTCGAGGTGCACAAAATATTTTTGAATAGTTTTTGATATATTTTTGGCTCACCCTGTATATGCGAGTTGCGTTTGTGTGCTTTTTCGAGTAGTATATTCGCTATCTTTTAACGATTCTGTTAGCTCGCTTGGTCGACTGGACTGTTGTAATAAAAACCAACTTCCCTTAACGTTTGGTGTTTTTTAGGGGCGCGGGTAAAACGCGGAAAAGGTGTATTTTTTTTTAAATTGGTTTCGAAATTGATAGCCCATCTAATTACGTATTTTACTTGCAATTATTTTGATTACATTGAACCAAAAGTAGACTATATGGGACAAATTTGTTTGCATGGTCTATTCTATGAGTTGAAGAAAGAAACATTATTAAAATAACAGTGGTTAGAGTGAGATAGTTGCAATCAAGCCACAATATCATTCTTTCTTTTTTATGTGACTAAAATTGATGTTGTCTTTATTGCACCCATAGGCCATATTTTGCACTTATCATGAACTTATGATTAAGTACAGTTTATCTAGAGTTGATAGAGTGTGAGTATTGAATCTAAAATACAAAATTGGAGCCTGCAGTCTCAATTAGAGCCAAAATTTAGTATTAGAACTCCAATTCCACAGGCTAATTACAATTTAGAAACTTTCATTAGTTTAGAATATAGTGTGATTAAACAATTTTGATAACTTTACTGATAATTACAATGAATAATTAACATTTTTAACTAATTTTTTTAGTAATTTCTAGGCATTATTTTGCCCATTTCAACTATCGAAAATACTACACATATAGTTAAGTACACGCATTACGAATTCAACTATCCTTCTAATTAACTTAATTAGGTAAAAGAAAACACCGAAAATTCATCGGCAATCCGAATCTCGATGCGATGATAAAAAAAAAAGAACCGACCGGATACTCTCTCTGTCGCGGCCCGCGGACCGTGCACGCGCAAGACGCAGACGGCAGATTATCCGGGGTCCGAAATAATTTTTGCTGTAACTGTACAGGCGAACGCACACGCATAGCAGAACGCATAAAAACCAATTAGATATCCAAAAGTTGTCCTAGTCAAGTCTAGGATAGACGAATAGAGCGAGAGGAGGCGATGCCGTGCATTCGTCGAACGACGAAATTCGGGCCCTTCTGTTTGGTCGGAATCGCGCGGCGTTGCCGAACTTGCAATTTTGTATTATAAAATCAGATTTTTTTTACCTGCACACAAATCGGTTTTAATTAGTTGTTGCGAGCTATATATAGCTTATTAGGATGATTAGAAGTATGAGTTTTGTAAAAATTGTATTAAATACTCTTATACGCTTTGGGATGGTGTAATAAATTGGTTAATTTTGGGTGAATGTAGTTGGGTAAAGGGAAATTTTGGTTGTGTGATTTGGCAACGTTGGTTCCTAGACACCTTACCCCGCGATGCGTGTCTATTTCCTCCCCACCCGGGTCGCGAACACCCCCGCACACCCCACCTTCGCGTGTCTATCAACCCCCTCTAAGAGCTGCACGTTCCGAATAATATTTTTCAGAAATTGGTCGCGCGTTTTTGAGCAAAGTGCGTGAAAAAAGTGCGTGCGCCTCATCGCGGCCGATGCAATTGTTTCACTTCGTCGTCATTCTTTCTTCATTTCGGTTATATCGGTGCCCAGGCGACGTCATCACTTTGCTGCGAATTTTTTCCGTTCGATTTTTTCGGTTTGTTTTTTTTTTCGGGTTTTTTTTTTTGGTTTCGGGAATGGATTTTTTCGGTGGGCGACCAGACGCGAATTTCACCGGGATAGAGTCGTAGAGGCGCCGGAGGGACCGCCTTCGGGGTGATACAGCGAGAAGGGCTTTTGCGTAGACTGTTGCTTTTTTTTTTTATTCGATTTGGTGAAGTTTTTCGATTGACCTGGATTCGTGATTTTTTGATGTAAGTATCGAGTTTTTTTCGAATTTTTTTTGTAAATTTTGATGATATTTTGGCCAACTTTTTGAATTGGTTTAGAAAAGACATGAATTTGTAGTAGTAGGCAAATTTTGAAAACACGAATAAAATTAAGCTTTAATTAAAATAGTGAATAAAATAAAAAAAACTTTTGAGGCATCCATTAAAAGCTCAAAAAAATTTATAAATTAGAAAAAAACAGTATTTTTCTAAAATTAAATAATTCCTAATAACCCCCTCATCTCAATTCAAAGACTATAACAAATTTTTAAATTAATAAAATATTTCATCGATAACATTTCCAAAAAAAAATCACCTAAATGTATCAAAATTAACCACAAACTTTCATTTAAAACCAATTCAAATCATTAGAAAACCTCCCTAATTCGTCGCAAATTCGCATTTTCTACTACATAATTACAAAAACTACCCCTTTGTGCAATTTTCCGATCTTTAAAAAACCATCCACCTTACCCCCTCTTCAAACAATTTAACTACAAACTTTCATTCAAATCGTTAGAAAAACCTCCCCTATCCAACGCAAATTCGCATTTTTTACTACGTAATTACAAAACCTACCCCTTTAAGCGATTTTCCGACCGGTAAAAAACCCATCCACCTTACCCCCCCGGGGCGCGTTTCGATCGCCCCGCTTCGCTTAAGGGCGAAAATAGCGGCGGTTTCGGGCGGGGGTGAGCCGGCCAATGGGAGAGCCGTCCGCAAACGGGACGGGGTAGTTTCCAACTTTTCAAACGTGCCCCACAATCGAGTCGAACGTTTCGCAGTGCGTGCGTGTCCGGCATGTGCGTAGCGGGGTAGTTTTTTAATTATTTGTTTTTTTTGATTTTCGCGATATAAGGGTGGATATTTCGAATTATTCGATGGGGTGCTTCGATTGTGTTGTGCTTGCGCGGGTGGTACAACGCGCTTGATTTGGGGCTTTTTGTTTTGTTGTAACAGGTATTTAGTATTTTGGATTTTTTGTGCACTTTTTTTTGAAAAATTATTCAAAATATTTAAAGCTGTTTCATTAGATATTTTGTAGTAAATTTCGGTGTAATTTCCGAACAAATTACATTAATTTAAAACCAATAATTTTGCAGACACATTTTTTCCAAATTGTCTTATTTATTTACAAAAAAGAAAATTTCCGAAAAAAATAAGATCGACGTACTGGCAATTAGCAACTAATTACAAAACCGTTTCTCTATACAATATTTACCAAAAACCAAATCAAATGTTTGTCCTTTCACGATTATTATTTACAACAGTCCGCCTAATCGATTCCCAACGGATTCTTGACCTACGCGGCGAAATACCCGAGCCAATAATTCGAAATAAAAAAAAATGTTTCGTTTATTGCAGCTCATCGATCCCATCGAAAAAATGTCAGCCGCGCAACAGTATTGCCTCCGTTGGAACAACCACCGCTCGAACCTGCTGACCGTCTTCGACGAGCTGCTCCAGAACGAGGCCTTCACCGACGTGACGCTCGTCTGCGAGGGCGGCGGCCCCATCAAATGCCACCGCATGGTGCTCGCCGCCTGCTCCCCCTATTTCCAGAACCTCTTCATCGACCTGCCCTGCAAGCACCCCGTCGTCGTCCTCAAGGACGTCAAGCACGTCGAGATCAAGGCCATACTCGAGTACATGTACAAGGGCGAGGTGAACGTGGCCCAGGACCAGCTGGCCGCCTTGCTCAAAGTCGCCGAAACGCTCAAAGTCAAAGGGCTGATCGAGGAGAACCGCTCCAATCGCACCGTCAAGCAGGAGCTGGCCGATCACTCGCCCTCCATATCCACCTCCAGCTCGGTGATGCAGAACATCGTGCACAGCAGCTCCAACTCGTCGCCGCCCCATTCCACCAATTCCATGTACAAGAATCCCTATCAGATGTTCGGCGGCAAGCCGCAGGACTCCAGGCTGAACCTGCCCATGTGGGCCGTGCCCGGGCTGCCTTTGCCTCCTCACAATTCGCAACCGACCAATTCCACACCCACAAGGATACTGGGCGGTTGCTACGATATGTCCAACTCGGACATGTCACCTCTCAAGAGAAAGAAACTCTCCAGCCTGCTCATGAACAGAGACACTCCTATTCTAAGAACGGTATTGGGACAAGGCCAAGTAGACTCTTCGCAACCCGTCAGCTTGGTTTGCCATCCAGACAGCGCTGAGCAAACCAATGGCAACGATGATAGATTGAAGGTAAATATTGTTATTACACACCATATTGCGATATTTATCTTCCTTGAGGAATCTCAAAGAGAGCATTTTTTTATCCATTGCTTTCACCTTTATACCATTCTACTTCTCTTACAGCACATGAAAAACGAACCGTCAGAAGACGCCCAATCCCCTTACACGGACTTCACCCCCATGACCGACGACGAAGATAAACCGAAACTGGCCGTACCGTCCTCGTCCCCGCAGTCGTTCAGCCACGACATGAGAGGAGTATCCACGGCGATAGCGACCTACGTGCCGAATCAAAACAGGGAATGGAAGCGATACAAACAGTACACCAGAGAAGACATCATGTCGGCGATCGAAGCCGTGAGAAACGGCATGTCGGCCCTGCAAGCAGCCAGGAAGTACCACGTGCCCAGCCGGACGCTCTACGACAAAGTGAAAAAACTAGGAATCACCACGAACAGACCGTTCAAACGAGGCAGCAACGGTTCGCCGGCGTGTTTCTCCTACGCCACCGGTTCCCCCTACGGCAGCCATTTGTCCGAAGGAGACGACACACCGATGAACAATACATCGGCTCTGCTGGACGCCAGCACGTTCCTGCAGCACGCCCTAGACGGCAGAGGAGGCGACGAAAGGGAAGCGCTGGCCGCCATGGCGGCCGCCGCCGCCGTCCACGCCGCCGCCGCCTCGGGCCGATCGAGGAGCCCGGGCGGCGGGGGCCGCGCGCGCAGCCCCAGCCCCAGCCCGACGATGCTCAAGTACATCAGGCGGACGAGCCTGACGCCGTCGCCGGCGGCGGGCAGCGACCACCACAACTCGCACAGCGAGACGAACGGCAGCAGCGAGCGCGAGCCCGACGACGACGAGGACCAGGTGGAGGACCTGTCGATGAACAGGAAGGAGGCGCGGGAGGGCGCGACGCGCGTCATCATGCCGCCGATGAACCAGGTGTCGGCGATCATCACGAAAGAGGAGCTGCTGATGGAGGGGCTGAAGGAAGAGGCCAGGCGCGAAGTAAGTGTCGATTGCGAGGCCGAATGAGGTCTTTTCTATGGGACGCTGATGTTGAGAAGGTTTTTATACGACCAGTGTTGAATTTTATGATATATAGTTTATTGTTTCGGATACTGCATCTATTATTGACTGATGTTCAGTGCAATATATTTTTCTCTTATATCTGTGGTTGACCACCGTACTCACTTTTTATGATTATTTAGCTCTTAGAGTAAAGGAAATCTCAACTTGCATTATCTAAACTTGATTCGTTTTTTTATCTCATCAGTTGATATACGAGTGAATCTTTCGTAAAAAAAATCATAGATAGAGAACCAACAGGCAAGTACCTACTGTCTAATATGAAAATATGGCTATACTATTAACGAATTTTCTTCAACAAACACCTCCACCGCATCTAACCCGAATTTATTTCGAGTACAATGGGTTGCCTATTTCTAAGGCACCAAAAAAATACTTGCCTATCGGAACCTCTATACTTAAAAAATAACTAAAAATCGCACTATTTGCAAGTATTCAATTGCGTCACTGGTCAAATTGAGTTTTGATTAATACCACACGTAAGTGTTCAAATGATCGCGCGGAACTTTTTAATCTACTATAACTAAATTTTAGATTACTTGTACAGTTGAGATTCTAGTTTAGTTTTAAATAGCGTTGAACCGAGTGCCTACGAAATGCTTGCTATGAGACCAGCTCACGTTCTTTTGCTGCAAGTTCCTCTTTAGATAGACGATGAAAGGAGCCCAACTTCATAAGACTGATAGATTTTACTAATGTTTAATTGCATGAGACTGATTGATTAAATTAATAAAAAAAAACTATATTGATGACGATGATACGAAGCAGAGTAGGATGGTTGCGTGCGCTCGACCCTATAAAATCGCAGAAAAAATATTCTAGGCGTTGGAACAAACAACCTAGCGTATTTTTTTTATTTTATAACTCAGTTCGATCCCGGTGTTTTATCTTAAAAAAGATGTAAATATTTTTTTACTTTTATTTTTTTGCTGGGGGGCATTAAGCCTAATTTTAGAGGTAGAGAATTTCTGATACATACAATTTGATACATCCAGGTTGGTTTTTTTCAGTTAAAAATTTTTATTTTTAGGATTAGTACCGTCGAGAAACGGGACACAGCCCATGTTAAAAAAAAGATGGTTTTCTTTTACGAAGACATATTCCGGTTAAATTCGTACCTCTATAATTGCGTAACACGAAGTAAATAGGATCAATGTGATTGTAAAAAAATGGTTTAAACGGTTTTGGGGTTTTTTTGTTTGTAAGGAAAAGCGTATTAATACGAAATCGTAGCGTTTAAGTAAGATTTAAAAAAATATTCAACTGGCTCAAAACGAATTTTCATGCACTCCCAATTCGTCAGCTGACTCAAATTTGTGTCGAGGGTGTTTTTTGTCGCACATTTTACCGAGTTTTCCGAAGATCACCGATTTTCTTATTACCCAGCACCTTGCCATAGTTATTTTGTTACTACAAGTGGCCATTTCTAGCCATAGCTGTGATTTTTCTAGACTGAATAATACGAAACACGAGTTTGTCACTATGTATAATATATTCAATATAATGTTGTTCACCTTATTAATTTTTACTTATATTGTTCAATGTTACGACTGCAGCGAGTCTAGTCGGTCAGGTTTATTATACAGGGGGGTGTCTGAAAATGACGAGCTAAACGTTTTTCAAAATTAACTCAGAAATCTTGTATCGTATTTTTTTATCTATAAATGACACGTAGTATTTTTTTGTTCGTCTTTTGCGGACACCCTGTAGATTTTTCGAGTTCGATCCGAGGGGGCAGTTTTTTTAGTGTAATTTATAGGCGAGTTTGCCGCTCTCGGACCGGACGAATGTTTTTAAGTAAACGGCTCATGTTTTAACCAAATGTGCAATTTTATATTGCCGCACTATTTAAAAAATGTTAGTTAATTTTTTTTTGTTTACATCATTATTTACAAGACTGAAATTGAAAGAAACATTGAATTCTTTAAACGCCCATTATAAAAGTATGTTTGATTTATGGTGTGAATTTAAGGAATTGAGACACAACTTATACATAAATATATTACAAAAATACGGACCAATTTAGATGAAAAAAATGTGCCTTTTATTAATCACTTATCTACATTCCATTAGGTTTTATTTATGTTTTTTAAATTCGGCAAGTTTTATAATAAAATCTATTAAATGCAGCAGTTGTGTTGACTTTTTTAAATGCCATTTAATTTAAGACTGATTATTTGTTTGTTTATTGTTATATCAAAGTATTTTTAGAATTTTGTTATTCGGTGTAACTAAACAAATTGATTTATCATTCGGATAGCAATATACATAATTTTATTTAAACGAGCTTTCGAGTGGTGAATTTAATTTTTATTTTATGCTTACCGACAGTGGGAGATTGTAAATATCAATCCATTCGTCTTTATAATGGAAAACCGAGACGAAAATTGATGTTTTTGCAACCGTCTTACTGTAGAATCCGTAAATTAAGATCTCTGACTTACCTATATTATCGCCCAAAGTGCTAAGCATCTACCTCAAAATACATTTTATTTTTAAAAGAAAAGTTGTATATATAGATCACAGAAGAAACATATATTATGTATTTAAGTATATTTTGCATTTATCTATAAAAAATTCGAACCCATCATATCAAAGATGAACCGTGGTAATTAAAAAAAAATACAATAAAAAGTGACACGTAACTTTTTGTTGTTCGTTTTTTTTTGTTTCTTTAAGACATAATATCTCCTTATTTACTATTTTATTTTCTGGAATATGTATACATCGTACTGTTAAAAAGTGTTTTCTATTATTTCATTATACATTTTTTATGTATATGTTAATTGTTAGATTATAGTTCTATTTACTGATTGCACTGCACGTATGTAATGCATTTTTTAACTTTAAGTGAAAAATAAAATCTATATTCTAAAATTAAACGGTTTTTTTTATTTACTTTCCGACTTTGTGAAGATACAATATTCAAATAAATGAAGCGTTATAAAAATGATTAGAAATTAGCTATGAAAATAAACGTTACTTACTGATTCTGCAAACCCAGTATTATTCCCCATTTGCTACAAATTTTAAGTAATTTTTTAAATCAATCTTCTTCTTTTCCAAACCTGATATATACTATTATGAGTCTACAGTCAGGAATTTAGTGTCGAATTGCCTAGCAAGTAACAGTCCCGCAATAGTCCATCTAAAAAAACAGAAACTACCAAACTACCGCCATCTATGTAACACGCTGTCGTTCAATATCGCAGTGACTATTATGAACGTCACGGAAACGCAAAATATTTTCGATTTATTTGCTGATACAAATATAATTACACTATCCATAAGGTTTTTACAATAAATATAAAACATAGTATTTGTTAATGAGCATCACTTTGATTAAAATACGTGTTGTTGGCAACTTTAAAATTTCGTCACTAAAAATCCGTTGAAGTGGATTCACAGTCACTGCGCTCTTTTCTAAACGTCAGAAATCGGACTAAGGTAAGATGAAATTATTTTTAATAAATTTACAAACATCCATCATATTTACCAAGTAAATACTATATTTTCGTGATCAACGACTTTAATATAACGAACGCCATATATTTATTCTAGTATTTTTCCTCGTTTCATTTTATAACATAAAATAAGACAAACTTTTAGGTTATAGTAAATGTTTGCAAACTTGTAGTTAACGAAAGCGTTGTAATTCCATATTAAATCCCACTTTCTTTTTTAGCACATAATGGCAAAGCAGAAGGGTGAGAAAAAGGGCAAATCCGCCATCAACGAAGTTGTTACCAGAGAATACACAGTGAACCTTCATAAAAGGTTACACGGTATTAGCTTCAAAAAGCGTGCCCCCCGTGCTATCAAAGCTATCCGTCAATTCGCCGAGAAACAAATGGGCACTCCAGATGTTAGAATCGACACTAGACTTAACAAGCAGCTCTGGTCGAAAGGAATTAGGTGAGTTATTACACTGCATACACGCAAATAATTATCTAATTTCTTTGGTGCTTTTTAGGAACGTTCCTTTTAGAGTACGCGTACGTTTGTCTAGAAGAAGGAATGACGACGAAGATTCCGTAAATAAACTGTACACCCTCGTGACATACGTTCCTGTAGTCACTTTCAAGGGTATGCAAACAGAAAATGTTGACGCCAGTCAGGAATAAGTTAATAAAATAGTTATTTTTAAAATATATACATTCTTTTTATGGTACTACCTTCCTATATAAAATACTCGAAAAACTAAATTTTAAATAGTTTATATTCCCATATTACATACATAGATCTTGGTTATTAACATTACATATATAAATTATTAAAGCTTATAAATAAATGCAGAAGGTCGATAATTAAATAAGTTTTGTGGGTTGGAAATGTTGATAGTAGCTTCTTGTAAAATCCACCATCAAGTCTGCTTGGCATTCCGGTAAATCCCCAATGCAAGTGCCAGGTGAGCCTCCGTACCTCGTAAAAGGGGGCACCACTGTCTCGGGAGCTAAAACTGTGTTGTCTTCAATCACGCAACAGTCCTTTAACGTACAACGGCGGCCCTAAAAAGTCTTGTCAGTATTCTCTAATCGTAATCGATTAACTTAACTTTACTTACAATAATGCAGTTTTTGCCTATGTAAACGTAATTTCCAACGATAGCTGCGTTAACTAGAGATTTTTCTCCGACGTAAACATGGTCTCCCATGGTTAATGGAAAAAATGCAACCCTAAAAGTACCTCGTTATTCGTTGTTAAAATAATAAATTAATCATTTACCCTTTGCTGAATTTTTTGTAAGGAGGACGAAGGACAGCATCCTTGCTAATAATGCAATATCTACCGGTTTTTACATTAGCCAAATCGCCCCTAATTATAGCATCTAACTGTACTATAACTTTGCCTTGTAATACTATATTTTGGGAACCACATAGTATTGTTTGACGACATACTTTATTCCCAGATGCCTGTAATTATTTCATATTAATTACACCAAATTAAACATTACAACAACTTACAGTCTCCACGTAATCTCCTTTATCGTAATTTATATCGCTTAATTCCATTTTAATTTTTGACTATCGAAAACAAAATAGAATCATAACCTTACTTTTTGTTTCTTCTGTTTAACAATTCTATATTCTATAAAACTTGAATGCCGCTAAGGTGAAGGCCACATCTAAGGTGATATACACATCCTTGTTTTAAATCAACGAAATCGTTATGTCGTTTCACTCTTTCGATAACCTAAGAATCGGGAAGCCATCGCAAATCTATTGATAAACGATCCGTATAAAACCGAATCACTGAAAATTTTGGCCCGATCAGGAAAAAACAACGGAATTATGGAAGTTGATCAAAATCAGATCGAATTAAAAGGTGAAGTATTTCAAGCGAATCCGGCAACAGAGGAACGTTATTTCGTGCAGGATAATTTGGAAGTTTTGGAAGGTGATTGTTTTTATTTTGCAATCGCTTTTATGCAGTTTAAATTCAAATTTGACGCGAAAACAAACAACAAATTTTAAAATAATTTCAGATTTCGAAGAGGAGTCTCTGCTAGACCAAGAGAACAGCCACGAACAAACCACCACTTGGAATCAAAACGAGACCCTGGCCCTAATAAACATCTTCTCGCTGCACAAGGACAAGTTTAAATGCTTCAAAATCAAAAAGGACCGTTGGAAATTGGTTTCGAGGGAACTGGCGAAAATAGGCATAGAAAAATTACCGCAGAAATGCGAGATAAAATGGCGCAACTTACTCAGAACCTACCGCATATACAAAAGCAGCGATAGATCCGAAGGGAAGTTCGAATTCTTCAATGAACTAGACGATGTGATATCCAACGATCCGCAATTCAAATACGTATTAGATAACGTAGCCAACAATCCTATCGATAAGAACTCCCAGAAGTCCGAGCATAAGAACGATTTAAAGTCTAAGATGATTTATCCAGTGCAGTTGGTCCATTCCGAGTCATCAAATACCAACGAACCCCAAGCAAAATGCAAGAACTGCAAGAGCAACAAACAGAAACGACACGAAGAACGAATGGTACTGTTGAGAAGAAAGCTCGAACTAGAAGAAAGAAAGGTGAAAGCTTTCGAAGATTACGTGCAATACTTAAAGGAATCTCACAGGAATGCTTAAGTGCAATTTGTATATAATTTAAATGTTGTATCATAAAACTTAGCTGTAAGGAGTTGGTTGTTTACTTACTAGAGCATCAACAAAATTTCTTCTATAATCCCAGTGCAATTTGTAAATACAGAGTTCAAATCATAGACAAAATATAAATCTCTATTGTTCAAATGTATCAAAACTTGGGAGTAAGGAGTTGGTCATTTACTAATTAGGACATCAGCAATCATTTTTCTGTTGAAATGACTACTTGGTGTGATTAGTGGTTAAAAAATAATTCGATCTCTAGAAAAATCAAGTTTTATAAAATAAATTACAGATCGTTAAAACAGTTACAGTGAAGAAAATTACTTATAATCCTAATTTAAAAGAACTAAACATACTTAGTAATCTCATGACCAAGTGAAAGTCTTGTTTTCGCTGCTGTACTTCACGCATTCTACGTTACTGATATAGCTAGTATCGGGATCGCAAAAATGCTTCAAAACAACGGGTAGTAACCCACAATCGGATAGATTTTCCTTGCCGAACACAGCCGTTCCTTGTTCAACGTCAGTCTTTCCTTTATCGTTTTTTAATTTACTAAAACACCCTGTAGATGCGATATTGTTGAAAGTAGCGGTTAAACTGTGCTCGGGTTGGCTCAAGGCGAACAAAGTATGCATCATATTAGGCAAAATGGGACCCGAAAGTTCCACCGAATAGTAGTTAATGTTGTCTTTAAAAACCTTATTTTCTCGAATTTTCAACGAACTCAACGTGGATCCCTGGAAAGCCACCGGCGCCAGGAGAGTAGGGGGCACGCCGGCGAGGGGCCCCGTGAAAGGTATCAAGCTCTTGCAATTCAGCAGGAAATTGTAGAAACTGTGCACTTCAGCTCCCTCTATCATGACTAGACTTTCTTCGCTATTATCTACTTCGCATTCGATCTTATGCACTATTTTATCCTACAACACACAATTATTAAAAAAATATATAAACATTTATACATCACCTAAAATTACCTGACTATAATTAATTTGTTTAATATCATCATCGTTAATCCCCATGCTTTTCATCCAATTATCATCGGCAACGTCTTCTTCATCTTTTATTGAAGTATCCGGGGACTCGTACCCCGAATCTGAAGGACTCCTCCTTTTCAGCGGCATGCTGTACTCTATATCTTCCTGCTTGAGCAAGTTCCGAAAACCCCTCGTTGTTGGTGTGACAAGCACATGGATGTCAGTAAAAGAGTTTATACCGGCCGCTCGGAAGAGCACAGTATAGTTGTTAGTGCAAGCGTAAAAGAACGGACACTGCTTAGTCCTGACTAGCTGAAAGAGAGATCTTAAACTATCACACCACGATTGGTGCAGGGTTTCCTTCATGGTTTTGGTGACGTGGTTTGTAACTGTTCTTCCTTTACTGGAGCTTCGCGGAAAGGTCTGCAACCAAGGTAGGTTCGGGTGGATGAAGTACAAGCAGCTTTGGAAGAATTTAGCGTTAGACGATGAGTCTAAATTGTTCTCTACGTCGTCTCCGAGGCACCTCGCGAAGGCTGTTAATCCGCTGGCTTCTTCGCTGATTTTCAACTTTTGGCTCCATGGTAGGGGTTTCAGCGATATTAGCCTGACTTTGTCTTTCAACGTCCAGTCTATGGGTAGCCGATGCTTGCCCTGTTCTTTGACTATTTCCACTCTATCGGTTCGATTGCAATCGTCTATGCGATTCAATATGTTGCTGAAAGAGGTGAAAGACCCGCCTGGTGAAGGTGAAGCTGCCGGTTGTTTCAAATTGAGGAGTTTGAATAGCGTTTGATCGGTGGATTCGTCGAGGAAAATGCTCGAATCGGTTTTGGGTTTTTTAGTGTATTTTACGAATGGATTGTTGCTCGTTTGGTTCGTGAAAGCGTTCTCGAAAGTGCGTTTGACGCCGTTGGCGATCGGTTGTTGGTCGTTTCCTTTAATTCTAGCTTGTAGGGCCTTCTTTTTCTGCTTTAATTTGTGCAGTTTCATAACCTCGGACGGATGGAGCCATTTCGGAGGGTTCGATTTTTCGGGACTTTCTGGCATGTTTTAAAATAAATACTCCTCGGTATTCACACGATTTTAAAGAATTAAAAGTCTTATAAAATAATAATAAATTAGAAAACTCTGAACCGTTAGTTTCGGTTACGTCATTATGAATTATAAACAACAAATAATAAAAAAAAATTAACGACCTTCATACTGTAGAAAGGAAATTTTCGCGGCGTTGCCAAATGTCGTGAGAAAAAGGCGCCAAGTGTTTTTAAAAGGTTTGATGTAAAATAAGAGGCTTGTAAAAAAATCGTATGTTAAACATGTTAATATTAATCCAGAAATTGTTTAATTATTCAGATATTTAGGCTATATATTGTTAATATTTTAAAATTTAGTAGGTAGAAATGTGGCGGCGGTGTAAGTTATTAACTGTAGTTAGGAAGGAACTGAAGCTAATCGAATTACCGTATGTATTTCTCTCTCACTCTGAAAGGTAATGTTGATGGTGTGGACAAAGACGGAGAGTGTTTTTTGTGACGAAACGCCTCTGTAAATCAAACAGATGTTGCCAGTTTGGCGTTATTTAATTAAGATTTTATTTTATTGATACTAAGTCGAAATTTTACTTGTGGGATTAATTTTGAGATGCAAACGTTTAAAAAAATAAAGTTAGATGTATTTTCGATCGTATAATTTATAGTATATGAGTAATTCGGTAAAGGTAAAATGGAGATGATGCAACAACGCATGATCGTTTTCGTTTCCTTCGTTCTGCGTATGCCACTATTCCGCTGTTTTTAAGAATGTCGCCTAGTCGCCATTGTTATTCACGGAATAAACGAAAAAAGTGATTTTTTGCTATTTCTGCTTTTTCTTTCTTCGCGAAGTTGTTTTTTTGCGCATCGATGGTTCGGTAAAACGTACGCGGAGAGCCATGTAATGTGCGTTTAAAGTGGTGCAACGTTAGACGAGTTTTCCCTATTAGCAAGCTTCGTAATAAAACGTTTCGTAAGCTTCTATTCGTCACGTGGGAGTGTGCCGTTTTACTACGATCGAGTTCAATTGAGAAGCGGCGGAGCAAATTCGAAAAATGCTAAACTGTAAAAGTGCCCGTTGAATTATCCAGGTGTTTCGGCTGGCGATTAGCGCGAACCCGTTGCAGTGAAAAAAAAAATAAATCGTTGTTTTTGTTATGGAACTAGCCGGTGACTTGTTCCATATTTAAATACCGATAATTATTTATGGAATTTCGGCCTTATTTATTGATCAAGTGTTCTGTACGTAACATAATTTTCTGATGAATGTTGTTGACATGATAGATTTTGAATTTAAAAACACTGGATGAATGGGATTGCGTACGGCCTCGGTGAGGCATCCCCATGTGGAGGTCATGGCCCCAGCTTTAACAGAGACGGTTCAAACGCAAAATTTTGATTTGCCCCCAAAGTCCTGCCTAGAACCATCGTTTTTAGTGACTAGTTACAGGAAGAGCAAGCCCATCGAGCAGGATTACTTGAAAGATAGCGACAAAAATGCTGGTACGGTTCAATTAGAAGGTAACGCTTTAACATCCCCTGCTGATACGAAACATTGCAATTCCGGTAACAAAACAAACAGTGCCTCGGACAACAATAACACATCCAACATCAATATAATGAGTATTAGCCCATCATCTATGGGCGACCAAGGAAACAAAATGGGCGTTCAGAAAACAGGATTGGATATTTCCACTTTGCACAAAGATGCCAAGAAATCAACGGACATGGAACAACTGCTACACCATTTCACGGTGTCCCCCGAAGACCTAGAAACCAACGTCGAAGACATCATGCAAGTCATCAAATCGATCGAAGGCACCGAACGAATCAACAACACTTCTAATGATCTAAACAGCGAATCGTACGAAATATTCCCGCACGGCACCGATCTGACCAACAATCTCTCCTCGTTCGAGAAGGAGTTCCTCGAGAACGTCGACATGATGAGCATGGCCATGGAGGACCAGCCAGACGAGCTCGACACGGCGGGCACGCAGAAAGAATCTCAAGCCAAGGAAATCATCAACGTGTTGCACTCGAAGCACGGCAAAGTGGCCAGGCGGTTGGATTTTCTCAAGCGGCGGCTGTACAAGCTCCAATCGAGGCTCGTCGGCCAGCACATCAGCAGCGAAATGGCCGGCGTGTTCGAAAACGTCCAGAGATCTCTGAAGAAACCAAAGGAATCCCACGAGGACACCATGACGATGTTCACCAAAAACCTATCGCCCAACGACAAAATCAAACCTCTATCATACAGTTCGGTGAAAACTTTAGTGCGAAAGTTGGAAATGACTAGCGTGTTACAGGCCAGTACGGTGGCGAGGCAGAAGAATACCCCCAGGTACTTCGGCTCGGGCTCCGTGGAAATACCCGTGCCAAGGACTAATTCCTCAGGTGTCGTTACCATCATCCCGTGGTCCATGGACGCGAAAAGTGAATTGCAGAAGCTCTCTGCCCAACTAAAGACTCAGACCAGCATCGCCCAGAAGGAGGTCGATTCCGAGGCCACCGAGAGCAGCTCGGGCGGCGAAAGCTGCGACGAAATGCAAAACTATTCCAATCCCCACCAACAGTATCTCAGCATGTAAGCACTGTATTTCGTTGTTGCCGTTCGTTTTAGATAAATTTTTATTGTGTAAATATTTATCCACAATCGGATAAATATTTGTAGAGCCTTTCAGTAGACAATAATAGTACAAAAAAAAAGTTCCATAAACTCGTCTTTTAGAGCTAATAGAGATGTAGATATGTAGCTAAGATCGTTTAATATTCCAGACAAAAGCGGGCATTGTGGAAATATTCGACGGACCGAGCGATGGTAGCGGCCCGATGGACGTGGCTGCAGGCCCAAATAGCCGATTTGGAGTACCGCATTCGCCAGCACACGGACCTGCACAAGCAGATCCGCATGAACAAGGGCTCGATTCAATTGGGCGGCGCCAGCCCGCCCCAAGCTCCGTCGCCTCAAGCCGCCCTCAACGGTTACAGGGGCCAGTTGCCCGGCAGTTCGCCTCTCTCGTCGAAGGCGGCGGAGGGCGCGAGCGCCGACGCCGTCGACTACCAGTGCGCGCGGACGAGGCCGTTGGCGAAGCTGCGCAAGAGGAAGCTGTTGCAGATATCGGGGCTGCACGCGGTGTCCAGGAAGGCGGCGAGGCCGAGCACGGTGCGATGCGGTTGCGTGCCGCTGTCGAATCCGTGCGCCCTGTGCACCGGACGGACCGATCCCACCCATCCGAGGGACCCGCCCGATACGTTTAGCCGATCGGAGAAAATCGCCTTGTTAGATCCCGGATTCCATCCGGTGTTTTCGCTACCCGAAGGTAGGTGTTTCGAATGGATTATTCCGCCGCGAACGAGACACCCAATATTTTATTTTGATATGTACCACTTCATATTCGATATCCTATTTGCATCTGCTAAAAAAAAGGTTTAAAAATGATAACGATACAAATTGTTTGACCTGATAACAAAGCATATTAGGTTGTTGACTCATATAACACGCAATGTTAAATTAAATAACGTACACTTTTCGGCGGAAATATGTTTTATTGTAGGATATAAATAAACTTGATCGATTAATAGGAAAATGTGCTTTGCAGATACCTCTCAAAGCATTCACCTGGACGCCATGATGAAGGCGCAGGAGTGGCAACAGCGCAGCACGCGAATGAAAACGTTCAAAGCGTTGTCGAAGTCCGAGAGGAACGAGGCCAACTCGTTGGAGCACCGAACAAAAAAACTGGAACATCGGAAGAAGTACGGCAGATTGAAGACCAGCACTTTAACGGCTCTATCTACGAGTACGTAAAGAACATTTTCGCTTAGATTATTATTAGATATTAACGCGATAATCTGTTTCCGTAGAGATCAGGAATAAAATTCGAGGGCGAAAACCCGGCAGGCCGTCTTCGTTGAGCCGGGTGCACCGTAAGCGCCACTCTGGCGCCGATTTGCTGCAATCGGTGAATCCCGCGACGGATTCCGCGGTGGACGAGGAGGTCGAGTCTATAGGTATGTCCCCAAATACAGTGACCTTGATTCTACGCCCCATTTTAAACCTTAAACAACGACTTTAAAGTCGCGTCTATAACTCCACTAGGGACTTTGTTTACGTTAAAGTAACCCGTTAGAGCCATGTTTAAGTTTAAAGTGGGGCGCTGAATATGGGCCAGTGTCTCTTATAAGAGGCTGTGGCGTATAGGGGAGCCCCAACATACGTTGTTTTTATGAGGGACACCCTGTATGTAGACGAGTAACGTGTTGTTTTGTAATTATTGGATTCTCTGCGCATAGGTAACAACAGTAATCCCGGTGGAACGCGTTCTTTGGATTCTCTGAGTTCGTCGCCGTTGTTGCATATGCACTCGATACCCGGGTACAATAAGAGGAGCAGCCGTTTCCAATCGTACGATATCGATAATATTGTGATACCGTACAGCGTGGCGGCGGCGACCAGAGTAGAAAAATTACAGTACAAAGAAATTTTAACTCCGAAGTAAGTAGACGATTTTTTATTTGTCGTGATGTGTGTCTAATTGAATTGTGCGGTTCGTTTCAGATGGAGAGTTATTGATTCCGATTATGGTAACCAATTCGATACCAAAAATAACGGCGCCGTTAAGGAACAGGATTCCGATAATGAAGTAAGTAATGTCGATTTAATGGGGTAAAAAATGGGTTTTCCGGAGAAAAATAGGAAAAATTACTATCCTCCACCTGAAAATATAGTGTTTTCTAGTTGATTCAACTAATTGCTGTTCCTACTTTACCCTACCCTATCCTCTGCCTCAAAAATGTAAGTAGTGTTTTCCCACTATTTACTGTTCTTACTCTACCATACTCTACCCTTTGTCTGAATGTAAATAGTGTTTTCTACCTCGCTCTGTTCCAAATACAGAACATTAATATTAACTAATACTTGTAATCGAGTCATTTTGCATCGTTAATATTTTTTGTATCGCTTTCCAGACGGAAGACGTATCCGACGAGGCGGTGATAGCGCGCCACGATCGCAGCGAGTACGAGGAGAAGAAGCGCTTCCTGAGCTACTTGAAGCTGCCGTTGGGCTACGGGCGGTCGCGGTCGCACAAGCGCACCGACAGCCGGGCCGAATCGAGCGGCGGCAACACGCCCGATCCGTTGTCGCCGCACGATCCCGATCACCACGACTCGCCGATGACGTCGCCGCCGACGACGCCGCTGTCGGTCAACGAGACGGTCGAACACCCGACGGCGGCGCTACCTCAATTGCCCTCCATCGCGGTGATGCGACGGAGGACGATGTCCCAGTCGAAGCTCGGTGTAGGCGGCGGCGGCGGGAAGGACAGGGAGATTGTCAGAGATGAATCGAGAGCTACCACGCCGGATATCATCGAGGTTACTATACAAAATCCATCGACGAAAAACCCAATATAATTAATGATGTTTGTGTTGTAGGTACCGCCGTACGATAAGAGGACGTTTCCCATCAGCGACGAGCTGTACGAGAAGATGTTGAAGCACATGCCGGAGGATCACCAGTTTCAGACGAACATTCGATCGCAGGATTCGTTCGACGAGGACAATAGGGATATGTACGATAATTATTTGGATCGTAAGCTCGGTTCGCCCGATTCCGAGTCGACGGAATCGGCGATCGGCGACGGCGAAGAGGACCCCAACGATCCCGAATGGATTGAAATGGAAAGACTTAGTAGGGATCGTTATAAAAGATAAAGGATTCGTTTCGTTTAGTTTTTTTTATAGTAAGTTGATATCTATTTAGAGTTAGTGTCCTGTGATTCGATGGACATGCCTTATAAACTTCTGTCCTAAAGTTAATACTTAAGAAACTCCATCCTAAGTTATGTCTATCGAGTCGCGGGACATCCTGTATAATTTAAGTAATGTGTAAATACACTATGATGCATTTCAATTTGCAATATGGTCGTATGAAAATGAACCAATCTGTATATAAATTTATAAAATTTAAAATGTTTTGTATAATTTGCAGGTTCAACCCCACAATCCAAGTGAGAATGTGTACTCTAGTTCAAAGTTTCCTCGACATTATATGAGACCGAACTGGAGCTTCCAGAAAACCAGTTGTATAATTAATTTTATGTTCTTTTCTACGAATTTTTAAGCAGGTTACTGTACTAGTATTGGCATAGTATTGATACAATGTTGCCGGCAGAAATAGTTTGGTCTGCTGCACTTGATTTCTTTAACTGTGAAATTGTTGAATAGTACTCTTCATAAGAGTAATGTGTATCATAAAGTGTTATTTTGTATTCGTTAATTTGGTTAAACTAATTTTACATAATATGCCACAAAGTTTCTTGGAAGATGTTATTACTTGTAAATTATATTGAATAAAGTAAGTAAAAGAAAAATTATTTATTTTCAAATGCTTAATGTTGACATGAGAGTTAAGTTACCTACTCTGACTTGTAGTTGGTACGTAAATTTTTATATCCAAATATGTTTTAATATTAATGAATAATTAAAAATGTAACTCGTCTACTGTTCGTTTTCTTTTTTTTTTTTCGCCTCACGATCTCACATATTATGATAAGTTACACACTGTAAATAATTTCAAATTAAATAAGTAACGATGTAGATTTTTTTTGTATTATTCCTTTGAAAATCTAATTTACAAGGAATACCGAGGTATATGTGATAATTGTTTTGTGACATATTGCTCTTAGTCCGTTGAATTAATGTGCGTACATTGTAATATTTTGCTTTTTGAAAGTAGAACAGTATTGAATTGTTCAACTACTTTAGAACTCTCATTTTTTTTGGTCGGAGGAGGAGTGAAATGACTTCAGCCTTCTACTAAGGAACATTTTGAATTCATAATAAGCATAAACGAATATTTTAAAATATAAATACACATTTTTATCCTCATGCGTTTTATATTTACTCCCGCATCTTCAGAAAAATGCTTTTTTTTCAAACATTAGGTAAAAAAAACGATAAAAAATTACAACTTGTTTCTTTTATTCAGATAGAAAAAGTGTATAAATAAATTTATCTTATAAAGGTAAAAGAAAAAAAAAATAGAGCAAAACAACAGTGCAACAAAATACTGATAAAATGAGAAAGTATTAACAGTCATTCAATTAGTAACGGGTTATTAAAAATGATGATGATCGTGCAGGTCTAGCCCACCTCCTAAACCATGCAGACCTCCATAACCTCCATCCAGACCTCCAAAACCTCCGTGATGGTCGTCATGCGAATGAATAAGAACAGGTACTTTCTTCTCCACGATAACTGGTACTTTCACTGGATATGGCACTGGCTTGTGGACGGGGTAAGGCACAGGATGCGGCACATGGACGGGATGAGGCACCGGCACCGCCACCTTGTAGGGTACTTTCACCGGGTACGGCACCTTCTTGATGACCGGGTACGGTACAGGCTTCTCTACGTGAACAGGGTACGGTTTAGGAACATGCACCGGGTAGGGGCGGTCGACTGGCACCGGGACTTTCACAGGCACGGGCACGGGAACCTTCCTTTCGATGTGCACCGGGTACGGAGCCGGTACCGGTACTTTAACTTCCTTGGTGATGGTGACGTGTTTGACGTGTCCCTCGTCGTGCAGGCCCAATCCGTGCCCTCCTAAACCGAAACCGTGACCTCCCAGACCTCCGAAGTCCGATCCGTGTCCTCCCAAGTCGAAACCGTGTCCTCCGAGTTCAAGACCGCCGTGGCCGAGGAGATCGTGTCCCCCGTAGCCCAAGTCCAGCAGGCCGCGCTTGTCTTGTTTCTTCGACGCCGACGCCGACGTCTTCTCGTTCGCCTCAGCCTTGGCGTCGCTTCCCGGGTGGGCGGAAGTCAACGCCAGACCCGCGACGAGTAGCAAGACGAAGTTCTGGAAAGGCATAGAATTTTATTGGCGATTGTCGAGTACGTTTTAATCGTCGACTTCCTTAACGTAACTGGAACGTGTGTGTACATATTGCGTTCGAATAACCACGTTTTAATGACCCAAAAAAAAAGAACGATTCGGATATACTTTCATTACTTCGAGCGATTTATGTGTAGTAAGAAATAATTGCTAAATTAATGGTTATTTAACAATTTTGTGTTAATAGAACGGATTAGTTTACTGATTTATGGAAAGCGAATGCTTGCTCAGTTTTTTTTTGTTCTATTTTTTTTATGAATAATTAATGTTATTTACAGGTAGGAGAGAAGAAAGTGTGCGTTATAAACGCAATTTTTATCCGATCTATCCTCAAATTTGAATAGCCGTAAATTTTGTAAAAAAATTGTATTGCAATATGTTTAAAAATTGAGATATTTTGGTAAATAGTGTTTCTGACATATAGCCAAAAATTTTTGACACATTTTATCCCAAAAATGATATTTACGATTTACGAGTATGAATTTTCGAACTTCATTTGCATAGCAATCTTTAATTTTAAAATAAGTAACCGGAATATTTTTTCTTTGTTCATATTATTCATCTTCGTCTTATCTATTGATAACCGGAACTTCTATCTCAACATATTATAAAAGCAGGATGCTTCGAGTTGGCTGTAATTTTTTACCTGTCATCGAACTGTCAACTCGAACTAAAATATCAAAATGACTTTTTTTCTTTAATTTAACTATTTTATTTTACATTATTTTAAACGAAGAAAAAATATATTGGTGAAATTGTTGATTCGGTGAAAATGAAACTGAAGTTCTTTACTATAAAAGAACTGGAATACAGGTATGTGTAATAAAAATTGTTAATAAACTACATAAACTAATATTCCTAAATATTCCATTTTGCACGGTCGTATAATAACAGGTCCGGAAACTCCAGTGAGGAGGTGTTGCGGATGATGCGACTCGTTGCGGATGATGCGACTCTCGACAGAGGGCGCAATTTTCAGGTAGTATTGTTAAATTGTAGGCAGCATATAATGCCAATAATTTAATTTAATTTCGACATTTTGCCTTATAATATCATTTTTATTTAATTTGACAATATAATACCATAATCGTGCATCGAAAGTCACAATAAGCGCAACACCCCAAGTACCACAAAAACGTAGAGTCTTCACACTTGTTAATATACGACTGACTTTTTATATTAATTCAATTTAATTAATAATATAATTATGTTTAATAATTGAGAATTAGAAAAGAAAACTCCTCTTTTGCCCATCAAAAAATTTCTAGTTGAAACCGACAATTTCATTGAATAAGTTTACTTTCTTTAAGTAATCTCTTCACATCTACATTTGAATTTAATTAAGCAATTAATTAATTTTCGACGTGCAATCATGACTTACTTGGAGGCTCATCATCGGCACTACAGGAGTATTGAACAACGACTGTTGACACAACCCTCAATCCGCCGGGTATTATATACCTACATCGGCGAGATATTATGTCAAAAGTTTATTAGTGCTTTCTTAAACCCCCACCTCATTCGAGATATAGGTACATGCACGTATACAATATAAAATTGTTCTTTCTTACAACATTTTGATACAGCCGACCAATCGGATTTCACTTGCTACACCGTCACCGGCGGTACCGTAAAAAATTCCTCAAGGGGAAACTTTTCTTTTACCTTCGTTACATTATAAACATTCGATTATGAAACGTCGGATCTAAAACTCTTAACCGGAGTAATAATAATAAAATTACCATCGATATTGTAAAAAATGATAAAATGCACAAGTAGGAAGAAGGACATTGCTGTTTATTGTAATTATAAAGCGGATTATATCGAGCGATTGAGGCGAATAAATTTTAAATAACAAAAGGCGCAACGGTGCTATTATTTAATAAATACGCCTATTTTAATATTATTATTATCCGCTCTTGTTTCTAGGAAATGTTATTTCTAAACTAAAGTTCCTATACAGGTGCTCGTTATCATTAAATTTTGCTCTATAAAAATCCTGAGTAGAGTGGAAATTCTTTCGAAAAGTCGAGTTTCCACGCACGTACCCGGCAATTTATTATGTCAAAGAACAATTAGGTAAGTACATAGGTATATAATTTCAAAACAACGTTAATTATAATTTACGCAACCCGCTGGCATTTTGCAGTCAAATAAAAAGGAAATAAGGAAATCAATCAATCTAGTTTTGCGCTACGCCGATTGCTGAAATATTCCGGGCAGGCTTATTATTGAGATGAATGAAATTATATTTTCGCCGATACGCAAAAGTGGCGTGTCGAAACACTCTAATTTTTATTTGAAAAAATAAAGACGGGCTCGCTATTTTTCTAATGTAGCAACCGTTCCGTAAAAAAATTTATCGTCTTGTCAATCTGCATATTGCTTATGGCGCTGCCGCTGTGACTACATAACAGATAGGTAATTAAAATCTTCAGTTCGCGAGTTCTTTTCTATGTATTATATAAACTAGACATGGCCGGCGCTCACGTTCAATTATAGTGCCTTTAATTGGATTAACGTGAAGAGTTGTTAGCCAGTTTTCATTAAAATTTAGAAAAAAAAATTGATGAAATTCATGTTCAAAAAATTCCTCAAACTTGTAGTTATCTTTATCTACTATTTTTCATTATAAAATACGAACAAAAGCATCTTGTTTGAACTAGTTTGAATTTTCCCCGCACGCAATTTCTTAGGTAATAGTGCTTTTTGTAACAAAACTAAAAGAGCACTTGGGTACATTTAATAACCACCAGTTATTTTAACATACATTTTTGTAGTTACACTTCGTTAAAGAAAAGAACCTTGCCGATTTGGCAATAAATCTTCTTTATTGTTTGTTAATAGTTTCGGCTATTTTCATAGATATGGCTTTTGGTTTCCTCAAAAGCGTTTCGCGTTTGTTTGCTTCGAGTGCTGGTGCTTATGTCGTAATTTATGCATATTAACCAATTACGATTAGTATCTGTTGATTTTTAAATGCTGATAAATTTGCGCATTAATTAAGTGGCTTATTTATGTCATTAAAAATTAACGACTGCACACTTACATTGGGTGATTTTCAGTTCTTTTTATAATGGGTTTTATCGATTGCTAAAATCGTTATGTGATCAAATAGGTGGATGTTTATTATTATTTTTGGTTCTTTTTGCGAGCAAATTCAAGTGAAAGTTAGAATTTTGCCGCATTTGTATTATGAAAAGTAATAATTTAATATAAATTCAATGAGGATCAGGTTTATTTAAAACTAAAATAATTTTTCATATTTCACTTTGTAGATTGCTATTAGTAATAATTATGTAACTCATGTGAAAAGTATCAAGATATTCTTGATCATTTGAAATGAGTGGAATTTCACATATCACATTTTGGTCGATTCTTTCATAAATAGTTATTACTCAAGAATAGTCAAATTATTACTTGTTATTTAGAAATATAACTGTTACATATTATGAGACTGTAACATAATTATAGTGTGTGTGTGAGAATACTTTACTAACCCAAATTTATACACTTTTAGCATTCGAATTAGCCTAAAACAATTTTTTTTCAGAAGGGAAAATGAGGTACCAATTGTTTTTTAACATTAATTGTGGATTTGCTTTGGCAAATTAATTATTAATTGTTTTTGGAAAATTATATTCTTAAATTCGTTTTTAATTTATATAATTTTGAATTTGATGGCGAACGAGAATAATAATACAATTTTTAACCACACATTAATATTAATGTAGAATTATATGCAAATTTTTATAATTTAACGTTTGGTGTATTGCATTTAAATATTTTATAACCAACAATTCCCATAATCTAAGGAATTTCTGAAATCTATAAATTTCAAGAAAACTTTAATTTTATATTCCTTATGAAAAATATTCAATACATATAAAATGAAGTTGACAGTAATCTACTCTTTAATCTACATAATTTGTAATTTCATAACTTTCACTGTTTTCAAAAAAGTCTCTTCAGTAGCCTTTGGTACATTTCTTTCGTTCTAAAAACCAAAACAAATTATATAAATAACAAAAAATTATCCAAGGAACTACTAATAGTACTTACACATTATTTGCACATGCATCAACCATTTTTGAGTAATAGGGCGAGCAAATATCGGAATTTAAAAATTTATTGTGGAAATTATAAGCGTGTGCAATACCGTATATCATTATACGTTGGTAGAAATGATTCGTTATTCCTAATTTTGTGCTAATGATGTGATATAAAATCTGAAAATAATACAAACTCTATGCCTCAGTAATAAAATAAAACACAAAAATACCTGTAGAATAGTGGTGATTCCCAAAATCAAAAATTGCAAATTGGGAGAAATGTTGTAAGCAAACCCTGCTAGAGTTCCAGCAATGAGTCCCAACCATTTTTTATTAATTTTTAACGATTTCGACAGATAGCAAACGACAATCTGAAAAAAGACAATTATAAATCTTTATTTACAATTTTTTAAATTGACTCACCCTGTAAATCCCCACATAAGCACCCAGAAAAAGACCGGTGTCCGAGTTTGATTTGTTAAATGCGACATCAACGAGTGTACCCGGATGTTTTGTGAGTAATTTAAATTTAGATAGGAACCCTTTAGTCACATTTATCCCGTAGCCCAATAGAAAGTAATTGACGATGCCCTGTAAAGTATTATTATCATCAATGAACGTTTCTCTAACTGCATTTAGCATCATTTTACATTATACCAGTAGGATTCGCACGGCTCTTCGTGGTAGCATTTTTTGGATGATTCGCTTTGTTGCACTCGTAATTGCGGTGTAAAAAACCTGCGTGAAAAGTAGAATGAATGAAATGTGCGCAAGAATATTTGTTTTTTGCTACCAAAAATATGTAAAATCCAGTTTTTTTCTTCGATTTTCGAACAGATACATCAAGATGCCACTGATGAGCATGAATCCAAAAACTTGCTGTTTGGGTGAAATTCTCGATTTTATTAATAATGTTTCTACAAACTAAAAATACGTTCTACTAGATTCTAAAATATTAGTTATTCTACTTACGGAATTAAAAAACATTAAAGTATTTAAAACTTGATTTTCGGGCCTTACAACTAACAACGATGGCGCAGAGATAAATGCTGGTAACATTAAGATGGTGTTATAGTAAAATCGACCGAAAATTTTGCTAAAAAATTTACAAAAAATATGATCAATTTACTTCAAGTTAATTGTTCTTACTGCCAAAGGCATATCGAGGTAAACATTGACGTCCCTAGAGCAATAGCATAAAGTGCATTTCTCGCTTGAAAATCTACGAATCTTCGGAGCAAATTTTTCTTTTTCCTTCTGTAATCCAGAAACATTTTCATCTAAAACTAATGGTTATTCCATATGCATATGAATATTTTCCAGAACTTACCAAAGCTATAGGAAAGAAGAATGTAAGTGTACCTTTGGCTAGATTACCGTAGAAAAAGTAAGTCGGTATACCCCAGAAGCATTTCTCGTTCCAATAGTGAAAAACCGAACAACTCATATTTTCACTGATTTTTTCGTAAAATAATTCTTTACTGATTACTGCCATCTTCAAAGGGAAATGTAGGTAAACTGGAAAACTAACCGAACGAGGCCAAAACCTTGTTGCTTAGAACAATAGTTAGTTATACGAGGAGTGTTCGAAAAAATTGCGAAAAATAATTACAATTGACATAAATTTATTTAAAAAAAAATCGGATATAGCTACAAATTCGTACTCCCCATGTGGTTATTTATATTTTTTATTAAAATTTTGATATATAATATACGCTTTTGAGTTAAGGGTTTGTATTTTTAATCAAACTCGTATAGTATTAATTCAAAGAGCATGAATATTAACGAAGGATTATATTTAAATTTTATACATTGTAAGTATCTAAGTTCATTCATTTATATATGCACAAACGTCCACTAACAATTCCATCAACAGAAAGTTGTTTAAAATTTGATTTTGGAGGGATATAAAAAAGAATTTCCAACAAGTTTTATTTTCTCTATAGGATATAATATATTAAAAATTTACATTTATACAGCTAATAAAAATCTATTTTAATTTAAAATTATAGAATCTTCTAATTACATAATCAAAACTAGACAATTTCACAGCTTCAACTCGATGCGAGATTCAGTCCACTCTGGATTTTTAATATTAATAGGCTCAGTCATCGTGTACTCAATAAAGCTCAAATTCCAGTCGTAATCGATAAATATCAATGTATGAGTCCTGGAAATAGCGAAAAACTAATTTACAATTCACTCAATTATTTATAATAACGCAACTCGCCTCGTTCCGTAACCGGGAGGATCGATTTCGATGAAAATCGACGAGAGATTTTCAAAAGCGAGCGGTTGTCTCCTCTGCAATTCGTCGTCCGGTAAATACCTGAAGTTACATATTACTTTAAACTCTCAGAATAACTCTCTAAGATTATAAACTCACTTAGTATTTCCATCTTTCAACAGTTCCAAAAGAGCTTGCTCTAAACACTCTTTCGTCAAATGTTTCTCTATTATTTCCTCGAACCTGTTCCTACCCCCTCTGACTTTGTACAGCGGATTAAAAATGGGACTGTTCCCGAATCCCATGGTGTGCTTGCCCATGTAACTCGAAGTTATCTTGGGTATGTTACTATGTTGATAAGTCACCGATTCCTCTTTACTGAGAACATTAAAATCAATGCAATTTTTTATCTACCGCGACGTTTTAGATTATATACCTTAATTCTATCGATACGAAATTGTATCCACCGTAGTTGGTTCTGTCGAGAACCTCGCAGTATTGGGGATAACTCAAACTGCTGGTTAAGTAATCGGTGATGATGGTGCCTCTTCCTGTGGAGTTTTCCACTACAACTCCCGTTAGATTCAAGAGAACGCCTACGCAATGTTTCTGGTCTTTCCCGTTTTCCTGGTCCTTCGACCGGAAAGCTAGCCAAGTCCCTCCTTCCTTACCCGGTTGCATATCCTTCCCTATAAAATATTATCCTGCATTATTGCTACTTTTATCCAAGCGAGTGGGTTCAGGATTTTGCCTGAGGGCGGGTGAAGATAAAGTGGAATTATGAAAAATATAGAAACCACTTCTCGTTGCTGCTGTGTCTCGAACTGTGTGGTTAGGCAACACAATTTATCTAGAGGTTTTGCTAGAGTGGCAGGTGAAGAAGTGGAATTATGAAAAATCCAAAAACCATATCTTCTTGTTGCTGCTGTGTCTCGAACTATGTGGTTAGGCAACCCATTTATCAGCAATTAACTTGCGTAAATTGATCAGATAAAATTGTTATTAAGGAAAGTTAGGTATCTACGTTGATAAAAAACAAGTAGTAATATTGTTACTCAACATTAAAATTAACATTTTCTGTACAGGAAGCAGCATAAACTGGTTTGTAGGCAAACATTTGGGGGTCACAAATTTGGACAATTCCTGCTACATAGATTACATTAAAATGTAAATAAAAAATATTGTAATCAATTCTAATAAGTAGTGCATACTCACCACCGATGATGTTCGTTTGGGGGTCAATTTGGGCCTTCGCAGATGGCCTGTTATAGTACTCATCCCGGTTAGTGGCGACCACCAGCCTGTAGCCCCCTTTGCAAGGGCTGGGATCGACGTGTACGAATAGTATGCACATGTTAACCGTCCGAAGATGTACGACCGTTATTTTCTTTTGTTCGAGACATTTGTATTTATAACCGGGCCCGTAATCTCCTGTGAAAATAGATAAGAGCCGCTGAATAAAAATTTGATGTAGATTCACGTGGAAAGCGGGCTAGTCGGTTTTAGCGGCATTTGTTGCTAACGTTGGGAGTTATGATTCGCGAAAGAGGAAATATGTAAGTAGGAATTTGCGTGTTTACAGTCGTACTTACGGTTACTGGCAAACTATTTTTATAATAAAATCGGCCAGGCAAGGTCACTCGAGTTAACCTCTAGACTTGTGTGTCGCGTAGAGGCAGAGAAACCTGAACGCGGAATCCTTGGGTCAGGTTTCGGATTTACCTGAATTGAACCATGAACGATTTTGGTAAACAAAGTTTGATATTTACATAAAGTATCCTATTTGTTGAAAGATTCAAGTACAATCAGTCGCGATAGATGAAATGGACGTGAATTGTGGATTTATGAACAATGGTAAGTATCTAAATTAGAGTTGGTTTGTTTGATTGTGATTTAATGTAAAATTACCTATTAGACTATTTTCAGTTTGTCACGTTTCTGGTACAAATATGTTTAGTTACGTATTCATTATTCTATTATTCTATTGCGTATCTCGATGTTTGTGAATTTTATACAGTACATTTAAATGTCAGGAATGTTAAAATTAAACCAGTAAATGCATTCTTTAAATTAATTTAATTGGATTTGACACAGTGTTGTCAATATCAGATGACAAATTGTGACAAGTTTCCTCCTTTTTTTTTGTTTTTGTGCCCTTTTACTATGACATTATACGGTCAATAAACTTCACTCTATAATTTGAAGTGTAATGTGAGTTGCCTATTTTAAAACTTATTTTCAACAAACAACCTAAACAAAACAAAGTAGTACTATATAGAATTGTGTATTTCCACGATTTCCATGCACTTACTATTCAGTGATTATCAATTGTGCTCGTAATCTACTTAGTGAGAATTTTGCAAGTTTGAAAATATTTCATTATCAATTACACTACAGTCAGCTCTAAACTAATTGTTAATTGTAAGATAAGGCGCGCTTATCTTAGCGTTTGCTCTAATTAGATAGGTTACCTCTCGACCTCCTATTGGTACTGTAGTCTGTAGTAGAGGTAAAATGTATGTTTGTTTACCGAACATTTAATTGCTCATTCAATATTCGACTCGCAGCGTTCCCGATATCAAAAATTTCTGACTAATTTCGATCGGATTTTTAATCGTTGTATAATAAAAACTCGTTCGTTATTGATCGATCGCGATTATGCGGCCAATATCGAAAGTATGTGGAAAAGATTCAACTTAGAACCGGGTAAGAAAATTAAAGTATTTATTGCCTCTGTTGTTTTATTAAAGGAAGCAATGAACTTTATTTTGCGGTATATCCAAATATTGTGATTTGTAAAGTGAAATTAACGTGCTGTACTGTTTAGATTTTAACAATAGGAAAACAATTTTATGTCCAGTATGCGATTAAATGTAATCAATTTTTCAGGACAACCGGAAAAGTTGCATATACAATTATCGCATTTTAAGCAAAAATCGAACTGGGACTGCGGCATATCATGCGTACTTATGGTGTTGCCGAGGAAAAAGAGACAGGAATTTTTGGATAATTTTACTCAGATTTGCAGAAATGAAGGTTTCAACAAAAGGTCTGTACAAAACAAATACCCTATATTTTACTCTTCTGTAGATAGTTTTTAGTAATAATATTATATAGGGTATTCCCAACCTGTTTTATAGCGCGATAATATTTTAGTAATTATTAAAATTGTTTGATAAATATTTTTTGATTTGCAGCACATGGACTATTGATCTCTGTTATATATTGAAGAAATTCGAAGTGCCACATATTTTTTATACAATAACGTTAGGAATTCACGAAGGCTATAGAAGCAATAGCTTTTACAACAGTATTTTAAACAAGGTAAGTACTAATCAGGAGTTTTCAGCACATTATAGGTAGCATTTCATATAACAACCCTATATAAATAATAAAAAAGCGTAATTTTTATATTTTTTTAATACATCCAATTAAAACACTTAACATATCTCTTAGGTACAAAGTATTATCATTGGTAATCTTTCAAATTAAATGTTGTCTCACATGCGAAGGCACGAAAGAATTCAACGCATCCCTGTACAAAACGGGCTGAGCCACAGGAACCTGCTCTCTAACCACAACAGGTTGAGCAACCGGTACTTGCTCTCTAACCACAACAGGTTGAGCAACCGGTACTTGCTCTCTAACCACAACGGGTTGCGGCACCGGTACTTGCTCCCTGTACACAACGGGCTGGGGCACGGGCACCGCCACGGGCTTGGCCACTTCCACGGGATAGGGCTGCGGTACTCCCACTTTGTAAGGAACGGGCACGTTGACTCTGACGGGCACTCTAACCGGAACCGGCACTGCCCTTTCGATGTGAACGGGCACTTGCCGTTCCACGGTTACGGGGTACGGCTGGGGAACGTGAACGGGCACAGGCCGATCGACGGGTACTTCGACTCGGTGCGGTACAGCCACCGGTCGGTCGACTGGCACGGCAACGGGCCTATCAACTGGCACATGGACTATTCTTTCAACCGGTACTGGTACGGCTCTGTCGACTGGGTAAGGTACTGGAACTGGGTGAGGCACGCGCACGTGGTTGGTGATGACGGTACGTGAGGATTCTCCTAAATCGATGAGAGGCAGAGAGTCCAAAGAAGAGGCTCTGAGTAAAGGAACGTGCTGATTGTAGCCTAGAGATGGGGCGTAAGCGAGTGGCTGGGCTCCATAGGGGCTAACGCCGATTGAGTAAGGAAGTTGTCCCAGTCCCAGCGAGTAAGGTGTACCGATGTTGAGGGGTAGCGCCGATCTGATGAAGGGCGATGCCAGGGAAAGACCGTGATCGGCTATGTCCGAGGCGTACCTCTTGGTGACTTCGCGCTTGACCGCTCCGGCCGAAGAAAATGCCACTAGGGCTGTTACGAATGCGAAGCACACCTGCGAAAATTAAATTAGAAATTCGTTTGTGTATTAAAACGTTTCAACTCACCGAAGCCTTCATGTTGCTCGAACTAATCTCGATGGACCAATGATAACTTTTCGTCGATTTGGCGGACTTTTATAGTTCGCGACATCTTCGAACTCATCTTTCCCCAAATAGCGAATCTCGCGTTTATTTCGACATATTTGATCCAGATGTCGGAGATTTCGAATTCAGAAGCGACCAAGTTTCGGTAATTATATAAGCGATTGACATAACGTAGAAAATTTTTCGATGTATTAAGTAACAATAAACCCATTTATTACGAATTAATTCGGTAGAACCTTTTTCCTGATCACAACACGTTTGAAATGCAGATGAGTTATAGTTGAATATTAATGAGGCGACCGGCCCGCTAAATACTTGATTTACCGTTGCATGGTATTAAACTTTCATAACATCTTCGTTTAGTTTCTCGATACTTGTACACCCTTAATTTTTTTTCAGGATGAAAATCGAGTGTTGTGTAGATTTAGAGAGGCCGAAAGTAGAGGAATAATCGTCATTAAAAAATCCGTCTCAATAGTTGATATCATAGCTCATTTATCGAACGGTCCTGTGATAGTGTTGACAAACGCAAAAGTACTGACCTGTGATACCTGCAAGTTTAATAAAATCTCCACCGAATTAAGGAAATGCATCCCTTGGCCCGAGCCTTACCAAGGACACTACATTGTCCTTTGCGGATACGACGTACATTCTAGGAAAATATTCTACAGGAATCCTTCATTTGCGGATCGTAAGTTATATGAAGTTATTATTATGCAATGTGGTCTATGGGTGCAACAAAGACAACATGAAGTATGAAGGAAGAAGAAAGAGTGATATTGTTGGTTGATTGCAACTTTCTCACTCTAACCACTGTTATTTTAATAGCCTTCCTTTCTTCAACTCAAGTCTTTGGGAAAATTGGGATTGATTATTATGTCCCTGAACTCCTTAAGGGTGGCTATAGTATGAATTTTACTTGTCATTTTTCAAAGGCTTCACATTTTCATTTCTTTTTAACTTTGAATTTTTCTTTTTTCGAAATATTCTGCATATAATTATTTTGTTTTAGACGTATGCATCATGTCAATGGACATATTCGATCTATCCCGGAAAAGTTACGGAACTGACGAGGATCTTATTTTTATTTACAAATAATTACTTAACGATAACTAAATGTACTTATAGTTTGTGATAATTTTAGGTTCGAATTTACTGCCTAAAATCGCATCAAAAATCAATTCCCACATTTCTATCATGACAATTTTGAAGACCACAGTTTTTCTACGTTTCTAATCAACTCCGAATCATTTCCAATTATGTATATCTTTTATAAAAAAATACATTTTATTAGCTTAACTTTAAAACAACGTTAATCGCTCGGGAATCCCCAAACTTTCAAACTACCGGCGTCCCTTTTCCTATCGTAACTGTCCTTATCGTCGCACGCGTACGCCAAAAGATATAACGAGGGATGCCAGGATACAGTGAATGTAGCAGCTTCCACCGATATATCCGCTATTTTATCCCCAGTTTCCACAAAACCGATGTCTATGATCAAATCCTCGGAGGCAGAAGCGAGCAATTGTCCATCGTAACTAAACGAAATCGTCCTCACGGGCCAATCCATCCTACAACAAAATCGCGTGTAAATTCAGAGTTACTTCAAATATCGTTTTAATCACCTCGTGAAAACTCTTTTACAGGCTAGCTCGTTGATATCCCACAGTGAGACCAAAGCATCTGCACTCCCCGTAGCGAAATATTTACCCGTCGGGTCGAATTCGATGCAGATGCAAGTTCCCGGATGAGCCTTCAATATGTGCTGTCGCTTCAAATCAGGATAACTAAAACAGAAACGTATTCACAACACTTCTTAACTACTCCCGGATTTATTAAAGTACCTTAAAATGTGGACGCAACCCTGCCCGTTGGTTAGAAAGAACAGATCGCTGGTGTTGTTCCAAGAGATCTCGTTGACTTCGAAATGAAACTGCTCCTCCGCTTCGATCTTGTACGATCGAGCGTCTATAAAAGTAACCAAGTCTTCTTTGTTGCCCACTGCGATGGAGTTCCCGTTGGGCGACCAGGTGATATTGATGTTCTCCCCTTTCGTGTTTATCGTCGTCACGCATTTCTGTACTCTCGTGTCCCAAATTCGCACCGACTTGTCGCCGCTGGCCGTGCTGAGGAGGTCCGGGTGGGTTTGGTGCCAGCAGAGCTGGTCCACGGAGCCTCCGTGGCCCTTGAACGTGTGCTCTTTGTTCTGAAAAACGATTCGAAATATAACCTACCGGTTGTAAAATTTAAAAAAGGTCGTACTAATCTGTCCCTTTCTAAGGTGTAGACGCAAACCGACTTGTCGAATGAACCCGAGGCCAGTCTTTTTCCATCGCAGCTCCAACCGACAGAATGCACTTTCGATGAATGACCGACGTATTCTTTGTACTTGTTGTGGGTTTTAAAATGGCTTTGCAGTTGCTCGATTTTCTCTTGGTAGTTTTTCATTATTTAAATCTACAAAACGCACAAGTAAACAAAAATATTAATAACCTCAAATTATCTTCTTTCTTCTTCATACATTATTAGCCTCAACTGTCAGGGCTATTCGGGAAATATCCTCTTTCTTATATCAAATGTCATTTATGTCACTTTTTTTGACGTGAGCTGAATGTCTACTAAAGTATACACATCCTGAAAGACAGGCAACCATTTTAACAAATAAAATGTATCAATGGTTTACGAGCGATCCGTAGACGTTTGTGGTCTTTTTCAAATTCGCCGCAACCGCATTTTGTGTTGATTCAAAAATGGAAACGACAGTATTTGGTGGCGTTTCAAAACAAGTGCACGTGAAATTCGTACCTGCGAAGATACAGGGATCCAAGTCGGCGGAACTGTCCACACCAGCGATAAGCAATTGTATTTATTTGAATTTCGATAATTTCATAGAGAACTCAGGAAGCTGCCCGACTGTACGATTGATAAGATTTATTCGCAAAGTTCCACGATTTTATATGCGAAATAATAGCGTTAAAACAATTAAATTGGTTTTTAATTGCCGTGGATTCGGTAATTAATAAATTGGTGAGTATTAGGTAATTATTTATTCATAGTCTTAGTTAATTGTATTTTGTTAAAAAAAGCGGAGTGATTTCGAATCGGAGAATTCTATTGTGTAGTAAAATATAATATTTTCGAAAAATTGGAGCGCTCGACGTGATTGCAATTAAATGTCGATAATAAAAAACCGCCATAATATTGCTCGATCTTTGTAGCATAATAATTGAATTAAAATTATGCACATTTAAAATGTTATGTACTGCAGGTTTTCTTAGAATTTTTTGATTGGATTTTTCCAACCACATATAACAAAAGTAAAAGGTAGAGAGACCTTCGGAATTTCATATTACTGATTTTTTCCCTTAAAATAATTGTGCTAAGTAAAATAATTTTAAAATTGTAAAAATATGAACATTAACGTTCTGTGTTCTGTTTATAGGACATTCTGTATGTTGTATATCAAATTGCATTTAATTAATATGATTTATATAATTGTTTATTAGTTATCATTCCGAATTGTAAGTAATCGTTTCGTTATTGCTATCTTAAAAAGATTTCATTTTTTTATTATACAGGTGAGATTAAAAATTTATATAATATAGATAATCTTAATTTTAAGATAACGTTCAACAGTTTCCACAATAAAAATCGATTGCAATGTTTACTTTATAAAACAAATAATTATTTTTTTACAAAATTGAACAATTGTACTAACTACCAGGTACATACAATTCATCTAAAAAATTATTAATGCATACACATATTTCCAATACCGAGGCCATTAGAAGAAAACTTTATTAATATCCATAATTATCTACACAATACCTGCTTATCACTTATCACAACCTTTATTTAATTAATAATTAATAGCAGCGACGCTGATGTAATATAAAAAGTGCTTTATTATTCTATTCGCCATCCACTCGAGATTTGGATTGACTCCAAAGAATAACAATTGCCGCCTGGCCTATTTTTATGATGTCCCCAGCATATTAAAAGTGTAAAAGTGTGTATTTTGTTTACACAAATGTGTCGGCAGCGTCAACAATTTTCCTAATTCGCGCTCCGGTTTTCCGAAACAATCAGTATCAGATTTTTTGTCTGCGCGGATTTTCCCGACTCGACGTTATGTAAGTGGCATTTTTTAATATCTCGTTCATCCAACAGAATAGTTTGTTAAAACACGTACGCGGTTTAATTAATGCAAATTTCTTATCGTTCGAGCATAGTGAAATATGTTGTAACAATTTTCTTATTATAATAATTAGGTCGAATCTAATGGGAGTATTTGAGCGAACATTATCAGGGAAATTATAAATAAAATTAGTCGTGTGTATTTGTCCACACGTGACAATTTCGTACACTACGGGACTCGTACGAAAATAAAATTTAGAGATTTTTCGAAAATTTCTCGGTTTTAATTAACATAACTATGAAAATTGTACCTACTTAAATTTTCTACTTAAAAATCGATTTTGCAATGTTATGTGGAAACATCAAATTGAGCTTTGTACTAAATTTTTGAGCTATACAATTACATGAAAATTGGTTGTATAATTTTCTAATGTGCTTAGAAAATACCGTAAAAATTATCCGCACGTGTTTTATAGTACCTATCGATAAAAAACGAATGTTAATTAGGTAAACAAATCGCCTTTGATATGTTAAGAAAAAAAAACCGATCGGTTCTTATCTAATCGAAACTACATGGAAAGTTTTAGAGAACATTGCAAATTTGAAAAAAAAACTAGCTATATTTTATTAATCGTTACACCTAAATTTCTTTCAAAAAAATCATTTTTATATCGAACGAATTCAGATTTGTAATTGCGAATTTTTTTTTGGTCAGTGACCTTTATTCATAAATCGCAGTTTGTTTCTCCTACATATGGATTTATCAGTAAACTTTTATCGGTTCCTGTTCCTGAACCAATTTCTTCAAATTATTTATCCGAATAGCAGGCCTATTAACCACAATAAATCACTCAATTCGAATTGGGATAATTTTTAAAATAGAATCCAATTCATTTTGTCGGGTTAAGGTACGCTTTATAATTAGGTATCTGCATGTTTTCGAGTTTCTGTAAGAGAGTAAAATTTCGTAAGCCGGTACATTTTGCGCAAGTGTGTGTTGATAAATTCTTATCAATTTTATCACAAATGAACGGTATTTGTTCGTCTTTTATCAATGAGAATCTCCTACTCACATAAATCGCGAAGTCCATAAAATCAGTATTTTGGAAAGTCAATATTTAGTGGATTAGTGTAGTAAAAATCAAATAAAAATCGTAGGTATATCAACACTGATATTAATAATTAGGTATTATTTTAATAAATTATTAAATGTGTAGAGGTTTTTAATATTTAGTAGGTAGTGAGTGTTTAATAATAAACTGATTAAAAGGAAGGGTCAACATTTTTGAAAAATATTCATTCTTGGTTCAATTTACGTAATATTAATAAAAATTCCTTAACTTTTGATCGGTATTTACATTAAAAATACAAAAATAAGCGCTGAATTCAATAGCCTTGCAGTAAATTACTTAAGTAAAATTATTGAACTTTTATTCCCCCCTTCAAATGAATTCCAATTTTCATTCGATATATCCGGATTTTGTCGTTTCAGATACCAAAAAAATATGCTTTACTCGGGCTCATAGCGCGCCCGTCGAATAAGGAAGAAGCCAGTTCAGTTACACAAAAATGAACGATATCGAGGAGCACCCGCACGAAAAAGATGGATTGGGATACCAACATACTTTGGTGAGTAACCACCTAGCGACTTGTATTATTTAACAGGAACTTTTATACATATTTTTTTGTTATTATAAACACAAAATTACGAGTACATTTACACATTGGTATCGACTAACGGGGTCAAATAATACTCGACGCAATTATCTCGCAGATAGGTGGATCAAATATTAACAATGCTATAACGAGGCGCTCGCTTTAATATCGAACGAATCCGGAACGTAATCTTCTAAACTATAACCTCAGCCTGGAAGTGCGAATGCACTTTGGCTAGACAATAACAGATAATGAAGACACCAGTAGCATATATGATGTGACAGCTACTTATCGCGACGATGTGTGGATTTGTTGTTAAAAATAAAAAAAAAAATATCGCTCGAAAGGCATATCAAATATCAACAAGCTTTTTATTCCTTATACTCTATAAAATAGGCTATCATTTTTATATTGATACCGTAGTATCATTAGAATTGCGAGTATTTATCACAGGAACTTTCTTGTATAATTGCTTTTTTATATTAATTATCTGGTATTTTCGTGCGTACACGTGAACACTTTCGGTTCATTCATCTGTAGTTAATCTCCTTAGTATCAACTATAAAATAATTCTTATTATCAGGTGCCATTCGCAAATCCTTTAATTAAATAACTACAGATTCGTAATATTTGTATTCATTTTTTTATCTGAAAAACAATACGCGAATTTAGACAATAAAATATGTGCTATCGGTATGAGTGTAAAAGTTTTACAAACAGTCAGCATTTTACACCTAATATCTAATCGCTACAAAATAGTTTATTGATTGTGGCATAGAGAGAGTTTTCTAGAAGAAAATCCTATCGAGTACGATAATACGTTATACGTGAGAAAAATGTCTCCGATTTTTCCAATTCACGTACAGTAGGTATTGTAATAAATCATTGTTATCAAGAATATTCCAGTGTATCAGTGTATCTAATTTTAATTGCAAATAATCCTCAATGAAACGGCGTAATTAACAGATTTTTGAACCTCCATTTTTTTCGAACCGCTAATTCGAGCCGAAGGATACTTAAAAAATATCTAATTTCGCTCGATACCTATTGACATTTTTTATTTTATCGCGAAATTATTAAATACATTGGCGTAGAATTTCATTAAATTTTTATCGGTTTTTCGAGAACCAATGCGAGCACAGACGTTTCTACAGTACTTCGATTTTTTCTGGAAAAAAATGGATAAGATTATACAGCAGACTGTTTAAAATGGTTCTGATAACGCGAAAATTGAAGCAATTTATTGTGAGAATATTAATCTGATATTCTTAGAAATTGAAAAAAACAACGTAAAATTAGTACAATTTTATTTTCAATTATGATAAATTAATTCAGACGTAGAAAAATGGAATTTCATTGATTAAATTAGTGACAATGTCATTTACTTATGCCCCATTCGTAAATTGATCTAAGGGAGTCTGATAGTGTTTTAATATTATGAATGCAATTTACGTAGCTGATTTTTCTTGCATTAGCATTTTTCAACGGCAGTTAGATCTATCTGAAAGTGGAATAATAATAATAATTGACGCGCTGTGAGAACAAAATTAATTATCACATTTTGCTGTAGGTTTTGCGCGGAACAATAGCGATTTTTTTACAGAGAAAACTAAGTAAATCTCGCATTTACGTCACTCGGCCTATGATCAATTAGCAGGTTTGAGCGGGATGTCGCAAAAGATCGACCTTGTAGGTGTAAATTTTTCGATTGCAGAAAAACAAAAATACCGCTAAAAAAACTCGACGGATCCGTCTGATTAGAGGACAATTATTGATTCGTAAATAGTAAATACAAATAAGTCGGTTGTTAAATTTAATGAGAAATGAGTTATTTGCGATAGGAATAATGAAGAACGTAAACGCAAACAAATTGGCGAATTATCTACGTTTTTTTAGCATATCAGGGTCGGAAATTTGGTTATATTCCTAAACGAACGGAAAATACAATTTCTAATTATTTAAATATTCGGCAAAAAATAAAAGAGCCCGGTGAATATGATTCCCAGTTTTGATAAAATTAAACGTTTATTTTCAATACAGTCGACCAGTTGAGTGATGCAGCATAGTAGAAAAGATTGTAAATATTTAATCTGGCATTTTGCCCCGTCGGGCTACTATAGGATGTCTTCCACCTACTATAACAAATAAACAAAATATCGCTTTGTCTTAGCGCAAAACGCGAAAGTCTGAGGTCCTTGTTGTCCACAAAAAATGGGTCAATAGAATTGTAAAAAGTATTTTTGACCACATCAAAAATACCAAAGACAAATAAGTATCATTTTTTCTTTCAATAATCAGGGTGTATAATTACTATTTTATCGAATGAAAAAGCTAAACTTGAACCTATTTTCTTGAACTTGATAGTTGAAATTAATTTATAAGAAACCGCAACTTGAAGCGTAAATATATTGTGTAACGCTGAATTATTAAAAATATTTATACTGTATTTTATTACGTAAATTATAAACTAGTAATTTTTAGTATACAATTTCAATCTCAGGATATTTTGACAATTCTTTTTACTCAGGAATACATTCTGTTTATTTTTCATATGTTCATTATCTTTATTAGGTTTAACTAAACCCATAACGCAACATTATTTTTTTTCAATTACACCTAATTAGTACATCGTTAACAAGCATTGTTTATTCTAAGATTGTCCATAAAGAAACATTTTCTCTTCATTACATCAACCAGAAGTGCTATCATTTAGAGTTGATAAGCATTTTTTATAACACTATAATAACAATTAATTATTAAGTAGGTAAATAACCTTCACGACTGGTCCCATAAAAAATACCAGATAATTTACAAAAAAAATTAAATGTTAACTAAGTTTGTGTGAAATGCAAAATTTCAAATATTTGAGCATTTTATCGCGAGATAATAAAGGAGAATAAATGCCAGATTTTCTGTGAATGTTATGTTGTTGCCTAATATCAACAATATTCTCTTATTTGACCCGATCAATAGAAGCAAAATACACAAAATTAATTAACTTTAAATTGTCCTATTAATACTGATTTACCTAGATATGCGACTTTGACAATGAATTTGAATCTTTTAATTCCAACTTGTTTCACACGTTCAAGGCTTTGAACCAATTATTTATGGTGTTATTAATTAATTAAATTATTGAGTCACCGAAACTTAATCGTTAATTTAATAATTATGAAAAGAAAAAAAAACATATAAACACCAGAAACATAATACAGAGTGTCTTATTTAAAATATGTTAAAATAATGATAATTATAGATGTATGGTCGGTACAGCCGGGAATTGGGTGAATTCGCAAAATTCGAAGCTCTAAAGGCACAAGAAAAAAGAAGGTTAAAAGAAGAGAAGGCTCGAAGGAAAGAACTCAGAGGATATCAAGGTAGGACATTCGTAATTGTAATAATTTTCTTTTTATTATTGTTTGTTTTATTTTAGGGAAAATATCGAAATTTATCGCTCTACTATGGAGACACACGTTCGCCCGATTAGGCGAAGATTGGGTATTTCTGGCCCTGTTAGGAGTAATAATGGCTTTTTTAAGTTTTTTAGTCGATAGGGGAATTGGAATTTGCAATAGTGGTATGTTATTTATTCATTCATTCGAATAATAAACACAATTCTATTACTTCAATACCAGCATTACGATGAATTCCTCACCACTCTCTCGAGCCGCGCTCTAGATTATCTACAAGGAAAGCCTTTCATCTCAATAAAAATTATTGAAATTTCCGTCCCGTTCGGCCAGCACTATCTCGCCTATTACATAAATTGTTTACTCCTACCGAAAGAATAAATCCGACCGTATACATTTCGCCTTGCATCAATAAATACATTTCCTTATTTTTGCACAATTTTTACATCGAGCGAAATTAACCGATTTTCTAATTGCAGCTAGGACATATTTGTACAAAGACTTAACACAACATCCTGCGGCTCAATTCGCTGCTTGGGTGGTCGTTCCGACGTCCTTAGTATTATTTAGCGCTGGATTCGTGCAGCTTGTGGCACCCCAAGCAGTAGGTAAGTGTACATAAAGAATAATATACCTCACCGAATGTACCTTGGCGCTTGAAAATCGCATTAGATGCGTCAACGGAAAAGAGAGAAAGACCGGAGACTTTTACTACCTGTGAGAAATGTTGGAGGGTACAAATTTCTAATAGAAATCTTGCTGTCAGTGTCAATTGCCTACTCTGTCATCTCTCTAGAAATTGGTACAGCGTATCCAAGTGCCAAGATACATTGGGTGAGGTAGAGATTATTTATGTACTTAATTCAATAGAAATTGTGATGATTTTAGGTTCCGGCATACCTGAAATGAAAACCATCCTTAGAGGAGTAGCCTTAAAGGAGTATTTGACATTCCGAACGTTAATAGCCAAAATCGTAGGTTTAACTACCACGTTAGGGAGTAGTATGCCTTTAGGTAAATCTCTAGGTTTAACCTCGCATCTAATTTCACCAGTTTCATATCGTAAATTCGATTCGATTCGATTCTCTCCCGCAGAGTTATCAACTCATCGTCTTCCTTTTAATCTAACCATTCACCCGCATTTTGTAACGTGAAATTCATCCGCACGATCCTCGGCTTGACCGAGTTAAGTTTCTGTCTAATGATTCATCGAACGGTAGGTAAGGAAGGGCCTTTTGTGCACATTGCGAGCATTTCGGCCACGTTGCTCAGTAAATTGGTGACCGGGTTCCAGGGGATTTACGAGAACGAAAGCAGGACGTCGGAAATGCTGGCGGCGGCTTGCGCGGCTGGAGTAGCCAGCTGTTTCGCAGCTCCTGTTGGCGGTAATTTACAATCAAATGTGCCGAATAGTGGAATTAATAGCGATCATTCGCAGGGGTGCTGTTCAGCATCGAAGTAACGACGGTGTATTTCGCAGTGAGGAACTACTGGAGGGGTTTCTTCGCCGCCGTTTGCGGGGCTTCGACGTTTCGATTACTGGCCGTTTGGTTCCAGAAAGCGGACACCGTATTGGCTATGTTCAGGACGAATTTTTACATGGATTTTCCGTTCGATCCGCAGGAGTTGTTCGTCTTTGCTCTTCTAGGGTGAGTTGTAACCACAGTCCTATATTTCTAAGGTCTGGAAACTTCCTATGCTTATGCATTAGAGAATGTGTCCCGTTATTTGAGGACTTTTTAAGCTTCACTTTTTCGCCGCACCGTGGCGAACGATCGGAGGACCAATTTATCTCAGCCAATCAGCGTCGCGGTACATATAAATCGCGGTTGTGAGACGACAGTTCAAGCTGTCAAAACTTCAAAAATTATTTTTTGACATTTCGAGGAGAAAATGGAGAAATACATTAACCGAAGATACGTGAGGCATGATGTTAACAACAAAATCATAGCTGATTTAAGTATATTATTATATTTTTATCTATTTTTAGTTCGAATATAACCTTTCTTAATTCTAATTCTATATAATTCGTACGCAAAAAACCGTGGTCCTTTACAACATCGCCTCCTAGCGGCCGTTTTAGGAACCCTGTTTTATCCTCAAATAACGGGACACTTTTTCGACCTATGTTACCAGACCTTAGAAATATAGCACCGTGGTTGTAACCATTAGATGTTTCTTATTCTTCTAATATAAATCTCGTTGTAGAGCTGTGTGCGGCCTGGGCGGCTCGTTCTACGTGTGGGTGCACCGCCAGTACGTGATATTCATGCGAAACAGCAAGTCCTTGAACAAGTTCCTGTCGAAAAAGTGAGCCTCGCCGAACGGGTGTTTTATCTGGTACTCAATCTAAACAGTTTTAACGTTGCAGCCGGTACATCTATCCCGGCTTGGTGTCCCTGCTGGTGGCCACCGTCACCTTCCCGCTGGGCCTGGGCCAGTTCATGGCGGCCGATTTGGACACGCACGCGCTGGTCACCGATCTGTTCAGCAACTTCACGTGGTCGGATCAGAACCTGACGCTGCAACAGCAGCTGGCCGTCGACCATTGGAAGACCCCTTGGACGGGGATTTTCGTTAATTTGTTCGGTTGCGTCGTTTTTAACGTGAGTTTTTAGGCTACTTTCGGGTGTAATTTAATACATTTGAGTTTTTAGTTCGTTGCATCTATAATATGTTCGACTCTACCGCTACCGAGCGGTATTTTTATACCGGTGTTTAAAATCGGGGCTGCTTTTGGAAGGATCATTGGGGAACTGATGCATCTGTGGTTTCCACAGGGTAAGTTTAGTTACATTTTCTTTATTATTGTAACTAACATTCTATTTTTGTGTAGCGATAATTAAATGCTTAAATTTAATAATACTATTGATTGGATGAATTTTTAATGGAGCAAGAAATTCGAGCATACATTAACCACCTGTTTGATATACCCGCGTTTGCTAAATGAGCGCCATTAATAACACGAGATCAAAACAATTAGTAATCTTGGCAAAGATTGTTTTAATAATAGTCTCGATGATTGCACTTCTGATTATTGCATTATGTTATTATTCCAAAAATAATAGAGAGCCATGCCGAAATTTTCAATGCACCATCGACATCGAATTCGTAAATAGAATAGATTCTAATTGCGGCCCAAAACGTCAGCGACTTACTTAAAAATAATTAAATTAGAATCGTCTCTCCGACGATTAAATTTTTCCGATTTATTTCCGTTTAATTGAATGCCGAGAATAACTTTATTGTTCGTTTCGCTAAGTATTTTCGGTAGTACAATATACCCAAGTGCTAAAAATAACTAGAAAATTGAAATAAACATAAAATCAAAAATAATTTATCGTTTTTTAACAAATTATAGGGATGAGGTACGGTGGTAAGGTGGCCAAAATAATACCCGGAGGATACGCGACGGTGGGGGCGGCGGCTTTCAGCGGAGCGGTAACGCACACGATTTCAGTATCTGTGATAGTATTTGAAATGACTGGACAAATCACCCACATCATACCCATCATGATATCGGTATTAATATCGAACGCCATCGCCAGTTTGCTAGCTCCCAGCATATACGACAGTATTATATTAATCAAGAAGTTACCGTACCTTCCGGATTTGCTGCCGAGCAGCAGCGGTAAGCACGCTTCACTATACTAGTTACCAAACATTCCGCTACAACAATCTTTTGCAGGAATTTATAACATTTACGTGGAAGACTTCATGGTGAGAGACGTCAAGTACATCTTCCACGGCATGTCCTACGAGCAGTTGAAGGCTCTATTGAAAGAAAATCGCCGATTGCAAAGCTTCCCGCTGGTTGACAAACCCGACAGTATGGTACTATTAGGCTCTATCAGGAGACTTCATCTGATCCAACTCATCGAGAAGCAAATAGGAAGGGAACGTAGACTACAGGTAAGCAAATCAATTGGAAATGATCGAAGTAAATAAGCTAGTAACTCGCAGGTGGCGGCCATAAGGAAGAAAGAAGCCGAGGAAAAGGCCCGAGTCGAAGCCGAGGAAAGGAAACGAAGACCTTCGAGGTTCCAAGTGGTACCTGCACCAGATATGCTCCAAAGGCAGCAATCCGACGGTGAATTACAGAAACCTAAAATAGCTGTAAGTAGTTTATCCGATGTACCTAATCCTATTTTACGAGTGTATTGCATTCCAGAAAACATTTAATCCCGTGTTCGGAACCACACCAAAGAAATCCATCCTGAAGAAAACTTACTCGGTATCAGTTAAAGGTTCCACGCCGTACATACCTTCGAGTCCCAGCCCTAACGAGACGCCTTATAACACCGTAGACGCGCCTTACTGTACTGTAACCGGAGCCGAGAGCAGATTTCGAATGGCCTTCGATTCGTTATTCAGGTAGAAGCAACACCGATACTCTTGCTAGAAATATTTCTCACTCTATTTTCCTACAGAAAATCGAATCTAACAGGCAGCACGAGCGACGACAGCGAACACAGCTTAGTCAGAGTAGGATCCCTCGGAAGGCGCCCTCAACTCTTACCGCTAAGTCCTAGTCACTTCAAGAAAGTCCAATTGGTAAGTAGAAGACTATTTGGCGTAATGGTGTACTAAAGATTAAATGTGCAGCCGAAGGAGCGCATCTGCGACATGACGCCCGAGGACCAGAAGAAGTGGGAGGAGGAGCAGATGTCGATGCCGGTGGAGTTCGTCTGCAACATCGATCCGGCGCCCTTCCAGCTGGTCGAGCGCACCTCGCTGCTCAAGGTGCACTCGATCTTCTCGATGGTGGGCGTCAATCACGCCTACGTGACGGCCATAGGGAAGCTGGTCGGCGTGGTGGGCCTCAAGGAGCTGCGCAAGGCCATCGAGGACGCCAACAGCGGCAATCAAGTGCCCAGCGTGGAGGCGAACGGCGGCGTGGGGCCGATAGAGGCCGACGGGGACAGGGAAAAGGAGCCCGACGGGGACGGGGAAAAGGAGCCCGACGCCGCCACGGCTTTGATGAAGGATTCGGAGGTTTAGGATGCATTTGAGTACCTACTCGGGTAGGTACGAAACGCGTTTAGTAAGCGCGTAGTATAAAAGACATTGTTTATTGTAAGCATAAATTTAATTCGTCTATTACGTCTGTATATTTTTTTTTACGAGTCGATGTTCGCTTACGCTACCGAGTATTTTTATTTTGCGAAGCAATTTCGCATTGCATGGTAAATAGGAGAATGATTTGTGTAGTTCAAACAACCAGTAAAACCGGTGTAAACCGACAAAAATCTATAAAACCCGCGCTAATTCGAGACAAATTAAAAAACTATACGTAACTATGTACAATCGAGTGATAGACTATTATGAATGTATTATATTGTTTGTTGTTATTATATTGTTGACTATTGTTGTTTCATCGAATGAAACTTATTACTTATAAGTGATATTTGCAAAGTTGTGATCAATTTTTATGTATGTAGTATTTTTTTTGACAATATACGTACAATCGAACGTTACAAAACAATCCTCGTTATTTATTTATCCCGATTTCTCAACGCAGTACAACGATCGAATTTAACGCCAATTAGTAATTAATTTGTTTTACATCAGCTGCACATTTAACCGTATACTCCTGGCTAAATTGGACAATTTCAAGACAATTGATAAATTACACTTTATACGCGACATCCTCTTAATGCAATAAACTCAAGAGAACATGAGAAAATTTTTGAATTCTATGTCTGTGATCAGGAATGTTATTTCATCGCCGCAAATACCAGTGGAGCTCGCGAAAAAAGAACCCATTGCCGTTTTGAGTGTCTCGATAGGAAGTGGATATGTGTAAACTCGATTTAATTAATACGCTCGTAAAGCAGAAGATTTAATTGCCATACAGTGCGTTTTCTAGAACTGAACCCGTGTTAATAATTCAACTAAAATGGATTCCTATTACGGCGAAGAAAACGCCGAAGACTTGGACAAGGAATGGGAGGATTTCACCAAGCTGTTGGAAAAGAAAAAGAAGAACAGCTCCCAAGGGTTTTACCCTTGCCCGCCATCGGAAGATGTCGACGAATACGTCCAATCATTCGTAAGAAATATTTGATAATAATTGCCGATTATCTCCTCGGACGATTTCAATGAAAGGTCAAAAAATTTGCGCTGTTAATTCATTTTTATCCAGCCAATTTATATTTGAACTAACGGTTACGTTACGGAAACGTTCGCGTAAATATTGTTTGTAGTTGGAAAAATTTTCCTGTAAACCAACCGACAAGTTAACTGTTCGTACATTCGTAGTGATTTTCTCAAAGTACATACACGTCGTACAGGAAAATTGAAATTGTTTGAAAAATCGCGTCTGGTTTATTTTTCATTTCGAATTTGAAATTTCGCTGAGATTTTCGGTACCTACGTAAGTATATACTTGTTCTCGATGAAATGTGGTTAATTTAAATAGAATAAAAGTAAGTTTATAAGCACGCGGCTATTTACGTAATTACACACATGTTATATTAGTCAGAAAATTTATAACTTAAAGTTTCTAAATGTTTAAGAAATTTTCGCAATTCCACTTTGCAGATTTTATACAATAAATACGGGTAAGTACAACAATACATATCTCATTATCTAAGTGCAATTAGTGCAGATTGCAGTTATACGTTTTGTATCGGAAAATATCCAAAAAAAATCTAACAATATTCCAATAGAAAATAAATACAAAACAAATCAATATCAATCAATCAATAAATTCAATTCGCAAATCGTTTACAGTCTCCTAGTATAGTTTACAAACAGCTTGTTCGCGTTAATAAAAAAATCACAAACCAGACCGTTTAAAAAAATATTACATTTAATTACTTCATTAATTACATAAATTATTAATAGGTCGATGAAAAATATGCCGTCGCGAAAATTCGAGTATACTTGTCTGTTGAAAAAAGTCAGTGAAAGTGAAATGTGAATTCGGTGAAGTACTGAATTGATCGAATTTCAGATGTATGGCCGGTACAACAGACAATTAGGAGAATTGGCTAGACTGGAAGCACTCAAGGCGGCTGAGAAGAAACGATTAAAGGCCGAGAAAGCTCGGAAAAGCGAGTTCAGAGGTTTTCAAGGTAAGACAATTTTTCCATTTGCATCGAAATTTTTCCTATACCTAAACGCAATCAGTATATGGCATTGTCAACAAGCAAGCAGAAGCCTTTATTTGATTGTTAATTATTAATTTTAATATTATTTGTAATTAATTCGCGATGACTACAAACACATTAATCCTCCTTTGTTTACCTTTCAATGCTAAAACGATAATTAATTTACCGTTTCAAACGTACCTTAAACCACTACAATGGTCGCTTCACCACCAAGATCAGGTGAACTTTCCACAAGGCCATTAAAACAAATAGGTAATTCAAACTTTTCAGGAAAGTTCGTCAAAGTTGTTTCATTCTTATGGAAACACACGTTTGCGAGGCTCGGAGAAGACTGGGTATTTCTAGCCCTCCTCGGAATCATCATGGCCATACTAAGTTTCTTAATGGACAGAGGAATATCCATTTGCGATAACGGTAAGTGCTGCAGATGACGCAGCCAAATTAGCAACTGTATTTATCTGCTTCCAGCAAGATTGTGGTTATTTAGGGACCTAACAAACCACCCGGCCGCTCAATACGCCGCCTGGATATCCCTTCCGGTTTGCCTAATACTATTCAGCACCGGTTTCGTCCAATTAGTAGCTCCCCAATCCATCGGTGAGTCGCCAAACAATCCACCCCATCCAACGAATATACACCACGTCTACTTCCAGGTTCGGGCATTCCCGAAATGAAGACGGTCCTGCGCGGCGTCACCCTCAAAGAGTACCTCACCTTCCGCACGCTCGTCGCCAAAGTGGTCGGCCTGACCGGTACCCTGGGCAGCGGCATGCCGCTGGGCAAAGAGGGCCCCTTCGTGCACATAGCCAGCATCACGGCGACGCTGCTCAGCAAGCTGGTCACCGGCTTCCAGGGCATCTACGAGAACGAGAACCGCAACACCGAGATGCTGGCGGCGGCCTGCGCCGTCGGCGTGGCCAGCTGCTTCGCCGCCCCGGTCGGAGGTACGCAGGTAGAGTAAAATTTATTGAGGAAGAGCACACCGATAGATATTTCGTAACAACCGGACGGGGCTTAGTCGACGATTTTTGGCAATTTCAGAACCAATTTTGACGGTAGTAGGGGTGTAATCGCGGCTGTATCTTCAATTTGGTCGGAGCGCTTATTTATTGGTGTGCTCTTCCTTGGTAAATTTCACTCTAGTCGGGCGGCTTCGGCCGAATGTTCGTTTTATGGCGGTGTTGCAGGCGTGCTCTTCAGCATCGAGGTCACCACCACGTACTTCGCCGTGAGGAACTACTGGCGGGGGTTTTTCGCAGCGGTTTGCGGCGCCACCACGTTCCGGCTGTTGGCCGTGTGGTTCCAGAGGGCCGATACCGTCAGCGCCGTGTTCAAAACGAATTTTTTCATGGATTTCCCGTTCGATCCGCAGGAGTTGTTCGTGTTCGCCTTGATAGGGTAATATCTTCGACCGCTACGTCTCACATTTCCACTCAAGTAGTTAATATTTTAGAGCTATATGCGGTTTAGGAGGAGCGCTGTACGTCTGGATCCACAGGCAATACGTTATGTTCATGAAAGGTAGTAGGATTCTCACTAGCGTCATGAAGCAGAGGTTAGTACAATCGACAATTCGTTCACAATTGCGCTTATTTCGATCGAATTTCCAGTCGATTTTTGTACCCGGCTTTGGTTTCGCTGATGGTGTCGACAGTAACGTTCCCTTTGGGTACCGGTAGGTTCATAGCAGGTGACCTAAACACCCACGGACAGGTGGCGACGCTTTTCAGCAACTTCACGTGGACGAATACCAACGTAACGGTGACGCAAAAGGAAATCATAGGCCATTGGATGACCGATTGGACAGGGGTGTACGTCAGTTTAGCTTGTTACACAGCATTCACGGTACAACAATAAAACGATATAAAAATAATTCCGTTTATCGTGTGTTGTTTTCAGTTCTTTTTCTCGATAATTTGCTCGACCGTTCCGGTGCCCAGCGGGAGTTTCATACCGGTGTTCAAAATTGGCGCCGCGTTCGGTAGGATCGTCGGCGAACTCATGCATATGTGGTTCCCTACAGGTACCGATTTCCGCGGTCTCGTAACCAGTAGCGAATTTTTTTATCACTTTTAGGCATGAGGTACGGCGGTAAAATCGCAGAAATAGTCCCAGGAGGGTACGCCACGGTCGGAGCGGCTGCTTTCAGCGGCGCCGTAACGCACACCATTTCAGTATCGGTAATAGTTTTCGAAATGACCGGGCAAATTACTCACATTATACCGATTATGATAGCCGTACTGATATCCAATGCTATCGCCAGCCTTCTGTATCCCAGTATTTACGACAGTATTATATTAATTAAGAAGTTGCCTTATTTACCTGATTTATTACCCAGCAGTAGCGGTAAAGTATCGATACCAGGTAAATTTTAAATCGTTAACCACCGCTACTTTCAGGAATGTACAACGTACACGTAGAAAACTTCATGGTAAGAGACATACAATACATTTACTACGGTATGACATACCAGGAGCTTAAAGTTTTATTGAAAGACCATCGACAAAGGAAAACTTTTCCGTTAGTAGAAAACCCGAAAAGCATGGTTTTATTAGGTTCGATCCAACGCATGCCTCTCATACAACTAATCGAAAAACAAATCGGAAAAGAACGAAGATTACAAGTAACAACACAACAAACACCAAAATAAATGCAAATTAACGATTCAAGCTTTGCAGGAAGCGGCAATCAGGCAGCGAGAAGCCGAAGAAAAAGCTCGCGAAGCCCAACAAATCGCCGACGAACGGAACGGCCGAAGGAGAGGCTCCAGATTCCAAGTGGTACCGGCGCCGGACGTCCTCCAACGGCAAACCTCCGAGAACCAACTCGACCAGCCCACCTACAACCCGGTGTTCGGCTCACAGCCCAAGAAGTCCATCCTCAAGAAAACCAATTCGTTCACGCTCAAAGGCTTCACGCCGTTCCTCACCACCAGCCCCGGCAGCACCCCCTACACGACCGTAACGGGCGCCGAGAGCCGGATCCGATCGGCCTTCGAGGCCATCTTCAGGAAATCCGCGCAATTGCAGGACGTGGACAACAACCCGGACGGTATTAGCGCCACGCCGCCCAGCCCCAGTACGATGAAAAAAGTCCAATTGGTGAGCCATCGACGCGAATGACCGGCCGTTTTAATAAGCCAGACACGTTCTTTTCAGCCCATCGAAAGGGTGTGCGACATGAGCCCCGAGGATCAGATCAAATGGGAGGAGGAACAGATGCGGCAGGCCGTGGATTTCTCCGCGTGCCAGATCGACCCGGCTCCCTTTCAGCTCGTAGAGAGGACGTCTTTGTTGAAAGTCCACTCGTTGTTTTCTTTAGTAGGCGTTAATCACGCCTACGTCACGGCGATCGGGAAATTGGTGGGCGTCGTGGGTTTGAAGGAGTTGAGAAAGGCGATCGAAGATGCGAATAGCGGAAATCCGAGGTCTAACGCCGATAATAATTCCGTTAATTTAAGCAACGGCAGGCTCAACGCCATAAAGGATTCGATGGAGAATATCAATGAAGCTATCAAGGATTCTCAGGTGTAACGAGTTTGAAGAATATATCCAGTTATTGCGAAACCGTACCGTACTTTACTGGAATTTAAAATTACTTATTTTATACATTTAAAATATAAATAAATTTTAATAAACCTGGATAATGTCGACGATTATTTCTTTTGGTACTTGTTGTACAAGAACCAGTAGAATCCGTACAGGAAATTGGTAGGGGATGATACGTAATCTGGATTGCAAGCGTACTTGATAACTTCCTCGACAGGCATTTCGATGACTTCTATGTTTTCCCCATCGACTCCTCCGCCCGTGGAAACCCTCATGTCATCGGTCACTTCGCAGTAGTAGAAAGTCGAATTAGCTCCGGTGGTGACGCTCAAATTCTTCGAAACCCCGATTTTTTCGAGCTGATCGATGTCGATGTTGTAGCCGCATTCTTCCAGTATTTCTTCTCTAGCTAGCTGCGCACTGGGGATATTTTTATCGTCCAAACCAGCGCAAAATTCCAACGTTACAGCGATATTTGCCGGGTATTTATTAACGTCAATGGGACCCGTACGGTCCTGGTCGAGCACCTGTTGAAGGTACACGGAAGGCCTGAATTGCTTCACCAGCACCAATACGTCTCTGGTTTTGTTGTACACTATTATTATAACACCGTCCCGTTCTGCGAAAATGTCGCATTTTCGTTCAATGCCGTTTTGTTTGTAACAAATCGTTCTCGGATTAGTGTAAATTGTTGGAATATATTCGGTTATACGTACATTAGAAAGTTCTTCCATTCTGCTTGTAGACATCGACTTGTTGGTGGAACTACACGTACACAATTTTTTTATTGCCCATTTTATTGAAAACTGATGATTATAGATAAAAATAAATGCAAATTAGGAATTATTAGACGAAGGTTATGATCCGAAAAAAGATAGGTTATATTGACATATAAAATCAGTATTACCAACTTTTATTTTAAATTATTAAGCTTGCAGTTGATTGGTGGAAGCCTCGGTTGTCATGGTAACAAGAGTTTCGTTTTGACATAAATGTCACTTCAGAATTTTTTTAAATTTATGAAATAAATTTGATTAAGGTGTATAAAAGATAAGTTACAAACATGTGTTCAATAGTTTAATTTTCCTATTTGAATGCAAATTCATAATAAAAAGTTTAAATAGATACAATTATAACAAGTAAAATCCATATTTAAATACCTATAAAATTCTCTAAAAAAGTTTTCATTGAATTTGAAATACCATTTTTCAAATTGTGTAGGATAATTTGAAAATACCGTTTGGGACTGAGTCGAAAGCGCAAAAAAATCAAAAAATTGCAAAGGACATTACAGATATGTACTGTTAAAAAAATTGCCCAAATTGTAAATGTTAACAAAGCTATACAAAAAGTTAATTAATAATTATAAAAAGAAAAACCTCAGCACCAAATAATTTTACACTTGCCCGCGCTTTATACATTTTTTTGAAATTTAAAACTATACTAAATAAATATATCATTCATTATGATAATGAATATGTAAAGCAGTCTGATTTGGTAGAAAATACAAATACCCTGTGCCAGGGGATAGAACCGGAGGTTTTTACATTATTATCGATTAATGCTTATTAGCGACACCTCCTACAGTTATACCTTTTAATATTAGTAAAGAAACGTTTATTATGCGATTGTATGTAGAGTAGAATATTCAATAATGTGACTAGAAAATGAAGAGCAACAGAATAAAAAAATCCTAAAAAATATAAGGCGATAGTATCTCAGTATCAAGAATTTTAATGTTGTTCAACATACAGTACGAGAAGCGACAACATTAATAATAATCCAGCTTCGTTATAAAACCGTTGAACAACATTCTATTTGAAAATTTGTGCATTTTGTAAAATGTCTAACTAAACTCTATACGCAAACAGGTTTTGAATATTTCTTATTTGCTTAGACCGTTTTTGGAAATACTATAATTCGAAACAAGAGATTAAAAATATTCAAAATTAGTTTAAGCCTAATTTAAAGATTATTATCATACTTTAATCACACCCACATACCTTTAATCACACATATTAATTCAGTTCGAATTGATGTAATGTAACTAAATTTTAATACACTCGATTGCAACGAAAAATTTTGCATTACTTTTTCAAAGAGTATCGTTTCAATAAAAAAATCTGTTTTCTGTATAATTCAAATGTGCATAAAATTCATAGTTTTTAGACTAGACTGTGATATCGGTCAACTGAAACTAGATTTTTTTATTTACTCAAACGAAATAACCGTAAACATTGCCTACACTATTTGTACATGCTTCCCTAAAATAATCGCAAACGGAAAATTTAATAATATTCGTTATCACTAGAATAATTTGAATTGGGCTTCGAATCGTGCAAGTTAGATATGTTCGACATAGTCATCTTTAAAGCTAAACTTATGTTATTTGATGAGATATCTAATGCCCTATTTTCTGAAAAAAAAAGAGAAATTTCGATATTATTACAACATTCAATTCATAGCTATAGAATACAGAATCTTTGAATAAAAAAACTCGAACAATAACAACATTATATTTCATTTAAACAGTTCTGCATTGCAAGTCGATTAAGATTCTGTTTTCTGTTTCAAAACGGAGTAACAACTCGTATTCGTACTCTTCGGTCGTCTGGTTAAGGGAATTAAATTTGTGGTAATGGGATTTTTTCAAATAGGATAATTACTTCTCGCTACCTTTCAACGACGATACATAATTACGCCAAAACGTCGCCAACAACTGATCATCAGCGTTCGGCAACTGCGATTCGAATTTACCGGGAGACTTCCTTAGGTAACTAGAAGTAGAAGGCCTCTGCACCGCTTTGTGCTTCTGCGCAAAACCCAAATGCTCCGACGGCTTCTTCTTCTCCAACTTCACCAGCTTATCTCCCAAGCCCACTTCTCTGGGCGACTCGCAGCCGCTGTTGAACAGCAACTTGTACTCCGACGTCGATTCGTTCATGCACTTGTTCAGGAACACCTGGAACTCCTCGCGCGTCGACTTGCCCGAGAGGTGCTTCTTCAGCAACAGCTTCAAGTTGCACTCGCTGCACCGGTGCTGCAGCTTGAAGCATTCGCGACAGGCCTTCGTCAGCCCGGCGGCGCCCTTCTTCGCGTCCTTCTGGGCCGCTATCGACATGTGGCTGTAGGACTTGTGCAAATTCAAACCGAGCGTTTCGCGGTTATTCTCGATGCCCTCGTTGAAATCCTTCTTTTCTTTGATGAAGCAATCGCCGTTGTCTACGAGCAGTCGCGGTGCGTTCTTCGCGGTGCTGCCCTGCTGGCGGTTCGGGTAGAGGATGGTGGTTTGGGAGGATTTGTTTTTCGCGTTTTTATCGCACGCGACGGTTTGAAAGATTAATTTACTGAAGGTTTCTGGGGGGATGTAATGACGGGATTGAGATAGGGAGCCCTACTAGGGCGGTTTTAATAACGAAATCTTACCTTCCTGGAGTTCCTTATCGATCACGTTGGATAGGGCCTGCAGAATTAAGGCCAAACATTGTGCGACGTTGTTGTTGGGAGCGCAAGAAAGGGCCGGTGTCAAACCTTCGTTGTCTACAGCCACTACGGAGGCTCCTTTCTTCAGTAATTCCCTCGTGACGTCTACTAAACCGTTCCTCGCGCAAATATGAAGTGGGCTAGATAATACAAAAAGTAAATTCGGTGTTACAACAAAGAATAATTCAAAACTCACGTTTTTTTATCCTTATTGGCTACGTTGATAATGGTGTCACCTTGGGAATCCTCTAAAATTAATAAGGCGGTTTGGTTGTGCTTCTTCAGGCACGCCCAATGTAAAGCGGTATTGCCAAATTTATCACAAGTAGTACGATCAATATTACAGGTCAATAAAATGTCTGAAAAACAACGAATGCATCGGTAAATATCGATTTTAAAACGCGTCATAAACCGTCATATTTACCGACGATTTGCGTTTGTCCGTATTGCGCGGCGGCTATCAAAGGTGTCCTGCCCTCTTCGTCGAACACTTGCACTTCGGCGCCTTGCTCGAGCAGATATTTGGCGCATTCCGTGTGCCCGTGAAGAGCGGCGATATGCAACGGTCTCCTTTGTCTGCAATCCGATATATTTACGATTTCCTTTCCGAAATAATTGACTAGTAATTCTAGGCACTTATCTGACCCTGAAAAACTACAAGGCAATAATGCAAAAATGATAAAATAGAGATAGAGATGAAACGTACGTGGCACAATGGATAGGCGAAAACGAATTTTGTTCCAGTTCCTTAAATATCTTCTGTTCCAGCAAATATTCCACGCAATTTGCGTAACCTACGAATCAACAAGTAAAATTGTGTAATCGAGAAATAACTCGTATATAAATTACCGTGATAACAAGCCCAGTGAAGGGCGGAGCACTGTTGCTTGTCTTTGGCCCTCACTTGATCCTCGGTCATGTATTTGAGTATCATTTGCATGCAATTAAATTGACCGCAAGCCGCCGCTAAATGCAGGACGGTTTTGCCGTTCACGTCAGTCGTTTGGACCTTTGCGTTATTGGACAGCAGCAATTGCACGACGCCATCTTGACCGCTGACGACCTGCAAAGATGCTTCGTTTAATCAACGGAAATTTTTCGCGTAGGGAATATTCTTACCGCTCGAAATAGACACGAATGATCGTCGGTGTCTACGATATTCGGATCCGCGTCGCATCTTAGTAGAGTATGAACACATTCGAGATTGTTGCCGGAGACGGCCAGCATGAGGGCAGTGCGGTGTTGCCTGAAATATCCAAATCTCCGATTAAATCGGAAATATCGCGAGATGCGACGTCTCGTACCTGTCGAGCATATTGACGATGTTCTGGTCTTCGCTATTGTGTAATAATAAACTTAAACAAAGGGAATGTCCGTTTTTGGCACTGTAGTGTACGGGCGTCATGTTGTTTACGTAATCAGCCATAGCCACCTTAGCATCGTAATGCAATAGAACTTGAACGCACTGAGAGTGTCCCTCTCTTGCCGCCAGAAGCAACGGAGTGATTCCTTGATTAGTCCTAATGTTCACGTCGGTAAAATAAGGCATTATCATTTTGAGTATATCGATATTCCCGAGTTTGGCCTAAAAATTCAAACGGTTCAAATACGCAAATTACTTCACAAAAATCGCGCTTACAGCAAGATGCAAAGGCGTAATATCCACTGAACATTTACTGAGCATTTTCTTTACATCGTTCTTCTCTTGGTTCTTCTGCTCGACTTCCAACAGCCTTTGTACTCCGTTAACGTTCCCGCCGGCTATGGCGTAATGCAAAGGCGTAAATCCTACAAAACCAACCGCGTTAAATTACTTTACACGAAACGCAAACTTCAATCGTACCTCTGTTATCTTTCATAGCGGGATCGGCTTTGTGATCTAGCAAATAATAGACGCACCGTCCGGCATGATCGTATGCAGCGGCTAAATGCAGAGGCGTGCATCCTTCGATATCGGCCTCGTTAAACGGACTTCCTATACCTACCAAGGTAAAAACGCATTCGTAATGCCCTTGCGAAGCCGCGTAGTGTATTGGAAGACGGCGTAAATTATCAACTATCTTAAAATCAGCCCCGTTACTAACGAGTAAGTCTAGGCACTCATGAGATCTATGGATAGAATATTTAAGCAATAATATAAATATGAATCGATTGTTGTTTACCCTTTGTAAGCGGCACAATGAGTCGGTGTTTTACCGGAGTCATCTTGATCGTTTAGATCTACGCCGCATTGCACGAATTTCCTTCCGCATTCGACGTACCCCGAGAGACAGCACATGTGCAGAGGCGTTCTTCCTTCGTAACTACAACATTATTCGAATAATTTTAACAATAAAACAAGCGTTATATTATACCCTTTCTTCGACGGATTAGCACCGAACGTAAGCAAAGTATTGGCCAACAAATCGTGTCCGTATTGAGCGGCGATATGCAACGGGGTACTCCCGTTTTTGTCAGCGCAATCTATCTGAGCTCCTGGAATTACAACCATTACGATAAACTAATCGAACGACCCGATATTAATACAATTTACCGCTATCGATGAGCGTTTTACTCCTGGTGAACCGTCCGTGTATGGCCGTCATGTGCAACGGAGTCCTACCGTCCAAACTTTGGCAGTTAAGGTCAACGTTCTGTCGCAGTAGATACATCAAACAGTCCATGCCGTGCGTACTGGCTGCGGCTATGTGCAATGGCGTTTGGCCTCGGAAATTCGTGGCCTCCAAGTTGGCCCCGGACGCCACGAGATCCTGGCATATGCCCAAGTGGCCGTTCAGACAAGCTATGTGCAAGGGAGTGTTCCCGTAGACGTTCTGAGCGTTAACATCGGCGCCTGAATTTAACAATAATCTACTCACGTTATCTATACCTGAAACACGATAAATAAGCGATCGAATGGAATGTTTGAATGATATTATACCGTTAGCGGCTGCTACGTGCAAAGGCGTGTACTGGTTCCTGTCTTTAGCGTTAATATCCGCTCCGAATTTAATGAGTAATTCCGCCGTATCGGTGTGTCCCATTTGTACAGCGCAATGCAAAGGTCTACAAAAAAATCACTATTACATCCGGTAAAAACAACTCCGTGCGATAATCTTACCTACAATCTTTTTTATCACAGGCATTGACCATACAGTCTCTCGATATGAGCAATTCGGCCACGAACGTGTGTCCGTTGTAAGCCGCATAGTGCAAGGCCGTTCTGCCGGATCTGTCTCTGACGTTCGGGTTGGGCACTTGGTGCAAAATTTGCTCGACGCAATTGTACGAATCGCTGGCGGCGGCGATGTGTAAAGGCGTCTGCCACAGTCTGTCTCGAGCGCTCACCTGCATCAGACAACGAGCTCGAAAATGTCATTGACCCTACGTTTATGTTGTGATAAAAGATGCGAATGGTACACTTACATCGGCTTGGTAGTTTAATAGTAAATGCACGACTCCGTCCGCCCCGACGGAGCAGGCCCTGTGCAAGGGGGTCACCCATTTACTGTCTTTGGCGTTTACCTTTGCGCCGTTCTTGAGCAGAAGAGACGATATGCCTGCTTCGCCTCGGTACGCCGCTGCGTGTAGTGGTGTTCTTTTCTCTTCATCTAAAATGCGTTAGAACTCGTTAATACGACGCTTTCGTGCGAATTACTAGATGGCGAATTTCTCTTAATGAAACTAGTATTTATTGCTACTGGTGCTGGATTACCTAAACTGTTAACGTCATGCTTGTACTCGATAAGCTCTTTAACTTCATCTATTGCACCGACGAAAATGGCTTGAATCATCGGCGGCTGGAAATTGAGAATTTTTATGTAGATATGCCATGCTATTATAACCTTAAAATGCACCGACCTGTTCTTCTAATTGTAAAATTCCCATATTAAAGTTACACTAATAACGAGTATAAAAATATAAAAATTTATTTTAAAACATCGTGAAAAGGAGTAAATAAAAAATTTTTATTTTTTTGCTTTTTTCTTGGATGTTGCAATTTGACAGATGAGAACTTTTGACATTTTGATTTTACTTTCAGCCGGTGAGCTTTTTCAATTTGAACTACTAATAAAGTAATTCGCATGTAATTAAAAAAATAACCACAATTTAATCTAGCTTATCGAATTTACTGATAAACCGATAACTTTTAAATTCACAATTATCAACATTATCCTTCAATATAAACAAATATCAACAACCGGTTGGTTAACCAACCAGTAAACCACTTACCAAACGAAAACTCATCTTGTCACCTGTCAACAATGTCATTGTCATTAAACGTCATTGGTTGTTTGTAATTTTTGATGCAAAGTTTTTAACGAAAATCGTAACAATTTACGCAACAGTAAGGTTTTGTTTCTAACAAAACTCGAAAATGGCGCAAAGATTTCCGGGACCTGTCTCGAACCAAGTCCCAGGTGGACCGCCGCCCCCTCAAAGGTACCAACAACCGCCGCCGAATCAAGGAATGAGGCAATACGGTCAACAGACCTTTCCACCCAGGCCGGGCTACAATCCTCCGCCTCCAAATATGCAGTCGAGCGGGGGCACTATGATTCAAAGACCACCCGGGGCCCCCTATTCGCCGATGCGTGGAGGGCCCATGCCTCCCCAACCGGTGGGCAAGAGGCCTTCGGATAACAGGAATCCATTACAACAGAAGACCGGCGATTACAGCCACGGCACGAGCAAGAAAAAAAAGAAACTGGCCGATAAAATTTTACCCCAAAAAGTGAGAGATTTGGTGCCCGAGAGCCAAGCCTACATGGACCTGCTAGCTTTCGAAAGAAAACTCGATTCCACCATTATGAGAAAGCGATTAGACATACAAGAAGCTTTAAAGCGCCCGATGAAGCAGAAAAGAAAATTGCGAATTTTCATCTCCAACACCTTCTACCCGGCGAAAGAGCCCCAACCCGAAGGCCCCGACGGTCCCGGCCAAGAAGGCACCGTAGCCTCCTGGGAACTCCGAGTCGAAGGCAGACTACTAGAAGACTCTAAAAACGACCCCAACAAGGTAAAGCGAAAATTCTCCTCGTTCTTCAAGTCCCTGGTCATCGAGCTCGACAAAGAGCTCTACGGCCCCGACAATCACCTAGTCGAATGGCACCGAACCCTCACCACCCAAGAGACCGACGGCTTCCAAGTGAAACGGCCCGGCGACAAGAACGTGCGCTGCACCATTCTGTTGCTCCTCGACTACCAGCCGTTGCAGTTCAAGCTCGACCCGAGGCTGGCCCGATTGCTCGGCGTCCACACGCAAACCAGACCGGTGATCATATCCGCCCTGTGGCAGTACATCAAGACGCACCGGCTGCAGGACGGCCACGAGCGCGAGTACATCATCTGCGACAAGTATTTGGAGCAGATCTTCAACTGTACTCGCATGAAGTTCGCCGAGATCCCGCAACGGTTGAATCCCCTGCTGCATCCGCCCGATCCGATCGTCATAAACCACGTTATATCCGTCGAAGGCGGCGCCGAGAGCAAACAAACGGCTTGCTACGATATAGATGTTGAGGTTGACGACACGCTGAAGACTCAAATGAATAATTTCCTGTTGAGTACGGCCAGTCAGCAGGAAATTCAGGGATTGGACGCGAAGATTCACGAAACTGTTGATACTATAAATCAGCTGAAGACTAACAGGGAGTTTTTCCTGAGTTTTGCTAAGGATCCTCAGCAGTTTATACACAAATGGATCGTGTCTCAAACGAGAGATCTTAAGTCGATGACCGATGTGGTGGGGAATCCGGAGGAGGAGAGGCGATCGGATTTCTTCTACCAACCTTGGGCTCAGGAGGCTGTATGTCGGTACTTCTATACTAAGGTGCAGCAGAAAAGGGCAGAGTTGGAGCAGGCCCTTGGTATTCGTAATAATTAGTTTGTCTGTAAGATGTGTAACGTTTTTTAGATTTTTAAGTAAACTGGAGGTAGTTTTTGTATTGCGAGAAATGAGCTAATTCGAATTTGTTTCCATTTAATCATAATAAAATTATATATTCAAGTATCTTGGTATTTTATTGTACTACATTTTTATTCCTAGAATATCACATAATGGGTAACCACTAAAAAGATGAATAGATTCATTAAAACCTCTTAGAACTTGTTGGATTTAATCAAACTCCAAATTTAAACATTTCGCTAATTCATTGGAATAGTCGCAGTTGTCATCGATAGCTAAAAACAATATCAAATAACATAATAGCATTTACTGGAAACAATTCTTACATGTCGTGGACATTCTGGTGAAGCATTTTCTCACTTCCCGCAAACTCCTGATCCTTTTCATATCGTCGTTAGGTATGTGATCTTGTATCCATTTGATAACCAACGTTTCCGATGGCGTTTGGTCATCGTCCAGCTAAAAAATCCATTGAAAACCGGCGCAAAACAACCACAAAACAATACTCACCAACTCCATTTGTCCGAACACGCACTGGCTGGTACACTGGAACAGTAATTAATTAAACTCTACAACCCTTTCGAGTCTACAAAACTCACCTCGAAATCATCCCTGTTGCTGCCGTATTCGTTATTATTTTTCTCCCTTTTCGTCCTTCTTGCATAACTCATGCCAACGTTATAATAACCATCGTAACCATCTAAATACCAAAAAATTATACTCAAAAACGAAACGGGCCATGAAACAAGATCTCCTACCATTTCGCCCTCGGTTATTGTAACCGAACGAATTTTCCTGCTGAGCAGACCGAGTCCTGTCCGTCCCGTATCCGCTACCGTACCCGTTGGAACTCTCGCCGTTATAACCAGCGGCAGATCTCGTACCGTACCCGTTACCGCGGTTATCGTAACTGTTTCCGTTCCTGCTCCGGTCGTTGCTGTTGCTGTAACTATCAAAACGCGATTGGTAAGAGGAGCACGGCGGACATTTACACGTTATTGTTACCATTCTAAAAGGGCGAGGAATAGAAGCGTATAGAGGTAGTTTTAAGGGATATTCGGATAATGATATTCGAGATTGAGGGGTAACCTTACCCGTTATGTTGCTGATCGTAATTGTTATTATTTCTATTGTTACTGCTGTAGCTGTTGCTGCTACCGTATGAGCTGTAGGGATCTTCGTTATTGTTGCTGCTGCTGCCGTACTGGAATTAGAAAATTAGTAATACATCTAACAATTGTTTTGACTTACAGATCCGCTGTTGTAGTTATTGTTTCTATTCCTGTATCCATTGTTATTGTTATTATTACTGTTATTATCGTTGTTGGTGTTACCGTCGTTTCTTGTATTATAATTATCGTTATTGGAATTATGCTTGTTTCTCGAGTTTTTATCCTGCTGGTTGTCGTAATCGTAGTACCCGAAATTTTTGTAATAATTACCGTTTTGAGTGATCCTTCTGTAAGTTTCACTGGCCTGTCCATTACCGTGATATCTGATAAATTAAACGATAAATTCGATTTTCTTCCACCATAGATGTTTTTGTACCTGTTATCGTCGTTATTACCCTCGTTATCATCGTTTTTGTACTTAGACGAGCAGAGTTTCAAGACGTTCTTCACTTCGGATTTCAGCACGTTCTCGTCATCCTCGTTGTTGCTCCTGTTGTAATTCGACTTGCCGCTGTTCCAAAGCACATCTTTCAATTTCGTCTCGGAAATGCAGTCTTTCAGAGCCACAGACATCAAAATCGCGACCGCGCTGATCCTGAACATTGCGAATTCGCGATTCAAACGAACGATTCTATTTACCCCGGCGCTTTTTATCGGCTCGGAAATGCGCCAATTAAATTGTCCTAAACGACAGGAAAAATAAAGAGCGGATTTGTTGGGTGAATGCAATTTAATTGTCAGCGTGATTTCTGATATAATTAACTTTGATTATACCGTAAATGCCCAATTTGGGGAATCAGTTACAAGGATTTCGGATGATGTGCACAAAAATATACGGGTAAATAATAAATTTCAATTGCATTGTTTGGTAGAGATATCAATTTATTAATCACTCATGTAATCTACAATTATTATAGGCAGAGATTACTTGGAAAAAATCTTTATCTAATATACCCGTGTGATAATTTTTGATTTATCCGAAAAAAATCAATATACTGTCTACTGTCGCTTGTATCGAACAGTGTAAAATTGAAACAAAATGACGTCGTTTATTGATGAGCAACAGCAAATCCGGAATTTGGAAAGACAACAGGACGATAAGGACAAGGTTTCCTGGATAACGATAGTGACCAGCACTTCAGCGCAAGGATGGGCATTCGTCGTAAGTTTCGCCATATTCGTGCCAATTCTAACATATTACATAGTAAACCTAAACAACTACACGCTGATCGATTCATCCACTTGCTTCGTCAACGAAACCTTCAGAATACCCTGCGGTAAAGCGAATATATCAGAAACAGACTGCTACAACATCGATTGCTGCTACGACAAACCGACCAAGAAATGCTACCATTACCTGCCCTCCAAGTATTTCTACAGCCTAGCAAATCACAACTACTACTCCACCAAAACCAAATCGCCCTTCAACACAGCAGCAGTCGAAACCATGAAAATATCAGTGGACGAAACCAGCGAGAACCAACTCAGCATCTACCTCCACGAAGCCGCCACGAAAATAAACACCACCACTCTCAAACAGAAGAATTTCGTGGTGAACCCGGCGAAAGACAAGCTAATGATCGAGGTGAACCGGCCGGACGGGCAGCTGCTCCTCTCCACGGCCCTGGGGCCCCTCATCGCCTCGAAGAACTACTGGGAGTGGACGCTGCACCTCACCGGCCGCTCGCTGTTCGGGCTGGACGGGACGCTGATCGCGCTGCAGGGAAACGCCACGCTCAAGAGGGTGATCTACGGCAACGGGCGCGACCGCGGCTGGGCCCCCGTGTTCTGGGCGCACGACGACGGGAGGTTCCACGGGGTGAGCGTGAGGCACGCCGGGCCGCTGGAGGTCGAGGTGCTGGCGTCGAACGTGATAATCCTGAGGAGCCTCACCGGGGGGTGCATCGAGGTGGTGCTGTCGGTGGGGCCCACGCCTGCTTCGCTGCACGACCAGCAAATGGATGCGAAGCGTGCGGGAGAGTTGCCTTATTGGTTGTTGGGGACGCACGTTTGCAAGTAGGTAAAGGTTGTTTTAGGATGTATCGGGTGTAATTAGTAAATGTTTAGGAAGCGTGAGGTGTATAACAATTTGACCGATTTGATGGTGCACGTGGGAGATGAGGATTCGCAAGCAGACAGCTATTGTGTGGACGATAATTTGTTCATGTACTTGCAGAAGGAGGATTTGAATAGCACGAAATCGATTGGAGAACTGAAAAAATACGTGAGCGATTTGAGCTCGAAAGGGAAGAAATTCTTGTTATCGATTCCACCGCAGGTATGTTATTAATACGTTACATTTTTGTTAACAATAGTAACAACGTAGAAATAAATTTCCTGATATAGACAGTACATCAGAGATCAATATTTTAAATAAAATATTAAATTTAGAATGTTATTGAGATTTGTCGAAATTTAAATATCTAATCTCGTACGTTCAATAAAAATTATTGACTGATAATTGAAAAACACGAGTAGATATCTCCATCTAAGTACCTACACACAACTTATAATATTACTGAAACTTTTTTTTATTATATCTACATACCTATTAAAATTATATATTTTGTTGTAGATCATAAAAAATACCACCTTATGGAACCTAGCCGAGAAACTAAATATATTATACCAATTCAATCAATCGGAATACGTAGGAAAATATTTACAACAAGACGTCGTTTATCCAGATTACAGCGACCCGAAAATCCAAGTATATATCCAGGAAATAGACAAACTCTTAAAAGAATACATCAACGTTACAATCGACGGATTCGTATTGAGCGATAATTGGCCACTAAACGACAACTTTATAATGGACAACGCCAGTTTTCCCTACTTCGATAAGGTACAATAAAATATCAAGAGCCTAATTAAATTTCATAAAACCTCTTACAGGACCTTCAAGCTTCGATGTCGCACACGATCCAATGGAACGCAACAATCAAAAACGTGCAACACATCATAAAGCACACTTCCTACGGATGTTCCCAATACGAGGCTTTCAGAAAATATAACGATTCGAAATTAATTCTATCCGCTGCTAAATCATCGAGTGAAGTCTACCCAACAATCCTGCAAAACGTAGACGCTTCCTGGGAACATTTAAAAACGTACCTATCAGCAGTACTCTTTAACAGTGTTAACGGGAATCATATAGTGAGCCTGCCCGTTTGCGGGGATACTGCGAAATTCAACGAAACAATCCAATCCTCCCTGTGCTTGCGCTGGTACATTATATCAGCCACGATGCCTTTCCTGCGGGCCACGTCCCCGCAACCTTGGAGGAACCCGGCCGATCTGAGCACCAAGTTCGATCAGCAAATAGTGCAAAACATGCTGGATAAAAGGAGACTTCTGCAGCCGTATTTCTACGCGATATTGAGCAAAAACCAGCCGATGGTGCGACCGATGTTCTACGATTACTACCAAGACACGAAAACTTTTGCAATGGTGAGCCAGTATATGATCGGAGAGAAGTTGCTCGTAGCGCATCCTCTCACGGCAAACAGGGCGAGACTGAGCGTGTATTTGCCGCCTAAAGTTCGGGTTTGGTACGAATTTAGGGATGGGGAAATGTTTATCTCCGATGACAAAAGTAACGAAACTTCTGTCGATATCATCGAGACGGATTTTGTGATGTTCGTTGCTCAAGGTAGCGTCGTAGCTTTAGTGGTAAGTGGGGTGGAATATTTAAAAAAATCGCGTGGTAATTGATTTGTATTTTCGTAGGATGGCAATGATATAGATTTAACAGTGGCGATGAACTCTTCCGATACCAAAATTAATGCGGAAGGTTCGATAAAAGTGGAAAACCAAACGATTCATTTTCGAGCCTACGATGAGTACGTTCAGGTTATATCGAATTCTACCGTCAATTACACGCTGAAGAATATAACAGTGTATAGTTACGAGAAGAACAAGAGTTTCAAGGAGTCTTACAAGAAAAATTTGTTTTTAAACGAAACAACGATGATTTATTATCGACAACTAAAACAACAAACATTAGTTGGTAATCAACAACAATTACAGGGGACTAATTAAATTATCAATGAGATTGAAAATAGATTTTTTTTTATTTTAAACAGAAAGTTAAGCTCATTAAAGTTTTGAGGTATTAGGTATATTTAATATCGCTGTGAAATTAATAGATTATGTGCTGTTTATAGATTCTTGAAATTTAATTGTAATAACAGTATTGTATGCACCTAGTTAATTATAAATATTTTCTTTACTTCTATTATTATTCGACGTCAATAAATTTAGAGTCTAAACAAAAATCCATCCTGTACGTTCCGGTATGCGATTTTCGATCGCAACAAAATGGCACTGAATCAAGCATTTGCCAATAAAGTTAGCTCCATTTAGCCTATTTTTAAACAGTCTGCACGGATCAAGTATCGGCTTTGGTCTTACCTAACGAACCGCACGATTTTCTCGTCGAAATGTCCGAAATCAAGGAATTCGAGAGCATCGACGGGGCCCTCAGGCAGCTGCCCAAAGACGACTACGACAGGGTGCGGAAAATCCTCTACGGCAACGAAACCCAGTAAGTACCAGAAAAATCTAAAATTCCCGAAATGATCCGGGTGGTTCCCCCAGCGACATAGAAGTATGCGAGGAATCGAAGGAGCTGGCCTCGAAGTACAACATCGAGCTGATAACGTGCGGCTTCAACTGCAGGGACGAGCAGCTCAGGAGCCCGAAGGTGGTGCGCGTGGGGCTCTTCCAGCACAAGCTGGTGCCCTTCCCGACCTCCACGCCCATCCAGGAGATGAAGTACGCGCTCTTCAAGTTCGCCAACAAGGCCGTGCGCATAGCGGCCCGCGGCGGCGTCAACATCTTCTGCTTCCCGGAGCTCTGGAGTAAGTTCTTCGCAGCTTCTTAGAGGAAAATGTTAGGTTGCGTTTTGCAGATATGCCGTACGCTTTCTGCACGCGCGAGAAGACCCCTTGGTGCGAATACGCCGAAAGCGCCCAATTCGGACCCACCACCAAGATGTTGCAAGAGGTACTATTAATATTTGTAAACGTAATAGTTTGATTGGAATAAAAAAATTGTTTATTAGTTAGCTCAAATTCACAATATGGTGATCATATCGCCGATACTGGAGCGCGACGAGGTCCACAACGATTCCATTTGGAACACCGCGGTCGTGATAGACAATCACGGGGATTATTTGGGCAAGCAGCGGAAGAATCACATTCCTAAAGCGGGGGATGTCAACGAAGCCATCTATTGTTCGGAAGGCAACTCCGGGCATCCCGTCTTCGAGGTAACTCCCACGCTCGGCTACTCCCTAAATTTTATTCGAAACAATTTACAGACGGAGTACGGCAAACTGGGCATCTGCTACAGCCGCCACCACCCGCTGAACTCGCTGGTTTTCGGGCTGAACGGCGCCGAGATCGTGTTCAATCCCGCCGCAGCGGTAACGACCTTTAGTACAACCAAATACCCTTTAATATTCGCGGGTACTTTTGCAGGGCGGAGCCGCCAACGAGCCGCTGTGGTCGATCGAATCCCGGGGAGCCGCCATTGCTAACGGTTACTTCGCGTGCGCCGTGAACAGAGTCGGAACCGAAATATTCGAGAACGATTTCACGTCGGGCGACGGGAAATCCCCGCACAGGGACAGCGAGTATTATTTCGGTTCCAGCTATGTCACCGCGCCTAATGGAACTCGATCGCCTGTAAGTACGATGTATCATAGTCCATTCGCTGAACTGGTTATATAAATTATTTATTACAAACAAGCGAAACAAGTTCTGTGAATGGACTATAGTTTTTTCGTTGGTGTTAATATTATTGAATGATTGTAGGGGCTTTCCCGGACTAAAAACGGCCTCCTGATCGCTGAAATGGACTTGAATCTCTGCAGGCAGGTGAAAGATCAATGGGGATTTCAGGTGAGTTAGTATTTAAACATTTAAAGTGTGATAATAATTTGTTTTCGTAGATGTCACACAGGCTGGATTTATACGCTGAATTGCTATCCAGAGCGACGAGATCCGATTTCACGCCGCAGATTGTAAGAAAAGCCTGTAAACAACTCAACTGAATAAATACAAGTTTCCTTCTCAATCGCACTAGTTTATTTCGATTTTAAATGTCAACATGGTAAAAAAAATAACGCCTCATTTATCCTGGCACTGGCAATGTTTCTTCACTATTTGCGGAACGAAATTCGTAGAAGTTATTCTCGATAAGAAGTCTTTGTACAACGACAGTCTGTGCGTTAACTGCAACATAAAAAGCGAATAAAATGAAGTACAAAATGAATATCGAAAAACCCACTCCTAATCCTCTTTTGTCCTTCTCCTGCCGGCACAAATTCAGATCGAATTCGGCAATCAAGACGCCCGTTTTCGTCCTCGATAATCCCTAAAATCAACAAATTTCACTAATCGATTTCGAATCGATTTGAATCTAGCTTACAGGCGACCTGGATCCGTTGGGAGCGGCCACGTAGCTGGACCCGAAAAACGCCCCGGAGTCCCGATGGTGCACGATGTTCCCCATCTCGTCCTCGTACTCGTGCTCGTATATTTCCATCCCGACTCTATTTACAGCGCACACGTAGTACCCATTTGCTATGGCCGCGTTTCTGGCCTCGATGTTCCACAGTACTTCGGCTTCAGGTCCCAGCTGGAAATCGGAAATTACCAAAAATTTCTTCCAATTTCCTAATCAGTTGGTACTCACTGCTCCGCACGGGTTGACCACAATTTCCGCGCCATTTAGAGCTAGCGCCAGCCAGCAGAGAGGGTAGTGGCGCTCGTAGCAAATATTTACGCCGATTCTTCCGAACTCGGTCTTCAAATATAATTTTATTTTTATGAAATATTTATACGAATCGTTTAGTCTTTTTAACTTGACAGTTTTACATTGTTGTTATGGAGTAACAGGGGACATTGTTTAATTTGACAGTTTTACATTGGTTGTTATGGAGTAACTAAGGAGATTGTTTCATTTGACATTTGACAGTTCTACATTGTTATGGAGTAACTAGGGCCATTGTTTATGTCAAAGAGCGATTGATTAGTGTTAAAAAGGAGCGGTGAACGCGGGCTAAAATCTCTTTATGGAAGAGTTAGTACCTCGAAAACGGGGTGTCCGATGTCCCCCTCGCAGTAATAGGTGGGTTCGTTGGAATTCTCCACCACGGGTACGTGATTTCTGCGCTGTTTGCCGAGCACTATCCCGTGATTGTCTATGACCACGGAGGTGTTCCAGATTCTGTCTTCGAAATTCTCGTCTCTCTCGAGTATCGTCGAAATGATTACCATGTTGTTTTCCACCGCCAGCTGTCTCGATTACACACAAATTATATACAGATAAGTGCAAAATTGTACGCAATGAATGCAACAAAGACAACTCTCACTCTAACCACTGTTGGTTTAATAACCTTTCTTTGTTCAACTCATAGAAGAAGATTGCGCTTACCGTTTGTAATATTCTTGTTGTGGCACCTTCCTCGGCTTTTTCCGCGTATTCGCTCCAAGGCATCGATTCCCCGCTGCAAAACGCGTACGGCATATCTGATATAAAAATATTAGAACCAAAAATATTACCATTGGAAACACCATCACTTACTCCAAGCCTGTTGAAAGCAAAACACGTTCGCGCCGCCCTTAGCGGCTATTTTTATGGCGTCCATGGCCATGGTGTACATTTCGGTTTTCACTTTGTAAATGGGAAACGTGAGGGGCACCGGCAATTTTTGCTGGAACAGCGCCACCCTCACCGGCCTCGCCGGCCGCAGTTGCTCCTCCTTGTGGTCGAATTTGCACTTCACCAGCTCCATTTTGTACCGCGACACCAGCTTCATGCACTTCTCGGACACCTCCAAATCCCTGAAGAATATTAACTAATATTCCAGTGCTAAATACTGTTTAATTTTACTCACTTAACGCCGGTTCCGTAGAGCAATCTGGAGGTTTCTTTGGCGTCATTTTCGGGCAGTTTTTGCAAAACCGACTCGACGCTGTCCAATTCCTTCTCCAGTGACATTTCGAATGGGGAACTTTAATTATCGAAATGCCGGCACAATTGAAACCGGAGCTATCGATTATAAATAGCCGATTAAAAATAACTACCGAGGTATCATTAAACCCTGCATTATTCTCATAATACCAATTGCATTGGGATTAAATTCGACTGTTAAAATAAAAATAAACGTATATTCCGATAAAAAATTACAATTCGAACAAGCGGGTGAATTCAAGAATTAAAATACTCCTTGGTGTAGGACAAGAAGAAATCCATTTTTTTCACGCAACTCTTAATCTGCTGCGGCTCCATGAATTTAACAGAAGGAAAGTGCTCGTTGGGGAACTGCTTGGAGAAAGCGCCCGAGGTCTCGCCGCTCTTCGGTGGCGCCTCCGCGGAGGTCTTCAGCAAATTCTTCACGTCCGATAAGGCGCACAAAACGTAGTATTTTGGGTCGCTTTTGCCGGGGCCTTTCAGTATTTTTTCGATGTCTTCTCTCATCGTTTGTATGTTTTCGTTGTCGCTCATTATCCAATCGCTCTGAAAGAATTCGCTCGATAACTTTATCGGGGTTATTTAATCTCGACTCACATTTATGCATTCTTGCTCTACTGACATCACAGCCGATTCGAAGTCCGTAAAAACTTGCCCTACTTTCAAGGCTAACGATATGGTGCCCAAGCAACTGACGGCCTCGTACGCGAAGTCGTAGTGCTCCCCGTTGAAGTACCGAGTGGTAAAAGCGTAAGCCGCTAACACGTTTATTAAATTGTATTGTACAGATTCGTCTGGGACTTTAGACTGAAATTAAAAATAAAATGAGTATAAAGCGTGTTTTATGGTTGATTAACTCACAGTCAATTCTGAGAATTCTTTAATTTTACAAATTTCCGGACAATCTTTCTTAAATTCGTCGGCCGATTCGACTTCCTCGACCATTTTGTTGTAATACAGCCACCAGGGTTTCCACGAAGGTATCAAATTGGCTACGTCCTCCGACCTTCAAATATCCCGGAGATTAAACAGTAACGATAGAATAAATTTTATTACTTTAGAAAGGCTACAAATTCTTGCTTTTCGTCCTCCGTGAGTTTTCCCCAAACTTGCTCCGCGTCGTCCAAATTCACCCCGGCCAATCGGTCGCCAATGTCCAGCAAATCCGCATCGTCATCGGAATCGATCTCCTGCTCATCGTCCTGCCCGGAGCAAAAGTTCAGGAAATCGTCGTCGAGAGTGAAGCCCGAGCACTCGCCGAATTCGTCCTCGTTGTCGCTGAACAGTATCTGGTTGTCGGCGTGCACCCTCTGCAGGATGTCGAGCATCTTCTGCTTGGATTCATTGTTGTCTTTGTCGATGTTGAGCTCTTCTATGATATTGTCTTTGTAAAAGCTTTCGCTGCATTCGAGGTGAGCGCTCGACTGGTAACACTCTAAGGAACAATACAATATATTGCATTTGGGGCACGAGTATTTAGCTAAGGCGTTGTCGCATCTAGAAAAATAAACGGGTACTGGGGTAAATGTGGTTAATAGATGGTGTTACTTACATTTTACATGTATTTGTTTCGTCTAATTCTATAATTTTTACGGTTGCCATTAAATCAAATTGAACATCAAATCAAAACAAAATACAAAATGTGACAGAATGTTGTCATTAATGTCAATTTCGGAGATATAATTCTTCTTTTTATTGACGTTCTGAGGCCCGCAACTATATTGTTTTCGGTTAAACTTCTTACTCCTCACATGATATGTCTTCTGTAATGATTGTTTATAGGTTTCAATTGATTAATAAGTTGCAGAAGTGTTCTTTGGGAAATTTGTATTGAATAACATTCAAAGAAAAAACAAAATCCGTTGACCGAATAATAATAATAATGTCAAAGTGACATAAATTAAATCAAAATAAAAAAGAAGAATTCGTGGCCTGGTCTTATTGTGGCGTTACAGTACATAAAAAATTTCAATTCGAAAGGGTAGTCACAGGATTTAAACAAGTCTGGTATTTTCAATGGGAAATCAATAGAAACGAAAACGTTAACACAATCGTTGTATATTTGTTATAAAAACCAAAGAAGGATATTTACAATATACAAAATTAAAAATTAAAACAGTAATCATATATTAGATTTCTAGAAGAAAAGAATGTACATAACTACATTTTACAATAACTATATTTGTAGGTATACATTTAATAAAATCGAATCGATACCTAATTTGTACATTATATAAAACACACATATTTGTATAATAATTTATTTTAAAGCGTAAATGTATAATATAAAGTTATAAAAACAAGGCAGTTCCATTTGTTATTATTTTTATTTCTGGACGTATAATTGGGAGATTGTAAACCGTATAAAGTATCGGTTCAGTATTATCATAAATTAGTCAATATGTTTTTGAAGATTTTTATACGTTTTACACCATCCCCGTAATTACACATACATACCCTGAATGTAACTCTATTGTTTCGAGAGTATTTTTGGCAAATTGGAAGGCAACGATTATATTTCACCTTAGATATGACACAAGAGCACAACAGACTCGACGGCAGCCATTGCTCATCGGCCCAAAATATGTACTTACAATGTAGATATGACACAAAATAGCATTAACCGAGCGCTCAAATATTCTCCCTCCCTTTTACGAACCAATAAATTAACTAAATCACGATATGACGCAGTTCTTGTCCTTATCGTCCAGGGGAATCCCCTTTTTGCTCGGCGATTTCTGCACAGTGGCCTGCCTCCGCCTGGCAATGGCAAGAGTATCGTTAGGAACGTACGATATCCTCACGCCCCCGTACGCCCTCCTCGGCGGTAACTGGTAATCCAGATCGTCGCTGGAAGAACTGGAAGAACAAGTCGAACAGTAACTCTCGCTATCCTCGTCCCGATCCCTATCCCTATCCCTATCCCTGTCTCTGGCCTTCGAACCGGACGCCGACGAGCAATCCTTCCGCTCCCGCCTCCGCGACGACTCGTCGTGCTTCGCCCGTCCCGAGTAGCTCCGGCTGCGCGGGAACTTCCGCGACGCCTCCAACGCGGCGTTGTCGTTCTCGTCGGCCTCGAACGCCTCGTTGTCGCCCTCGAAGCGCACGCTCAACGCGCCCTTGCCCCTCTTCGTCGGCGAGCCGGGCGCGGCGGAGCTGCAGCCGGGCAGCGCCAGCTCCGGCATGGAGCTCGCGTGCTGCGGCGCCGGCTCGGCGTTGCTCGCCTTCTCCTCGCCGTTGCCGTTGCCGCTCTGCCCGTCCGACTCGTCCTGTCGGCCGTCGGCGAACGAGCGAGCCGTCCAGTCGTCGATGCTCAAATCGGCCAGGTGCAACGGCTCCCGGCTCCTGTCTCTGGCCAGCAGGAGCTTCTCCAGGTCGGGCGAGTGGCTTTGGGCGCCTCGCTCGGTCAGCAGCCGCTCGAGGTTCCTCTCCAGCAACACCCTGTCGAGGCCTCTGCAACTAGGCGACGACGACGGCATGCCTTTGGTGGCGTCTTCGTTGGTTTCGTTGGTGTTCGTTCCGTTATCGGATAGAGTAGGTGTGGTGGGAATGGAAGCGGACGGTTTGGGCGATCGTTGCAACGCTCTTCTTCCCATCTTAGGCGATCTGGTGTTGGTCGGGGATCTGTTTACGTAAGGTGACGAGCCCGGCGGCGAAGACGGCGACGGTGTGGTGGGCGATCGGCCGGGCAGATGCCGCCTCACCGACGGCGACAACGGCGGCGTGCTGCTCTCGTTCGGCGACGGCGGCCTCGGCGGTCGGTTCTTCAACGTCTGCCGGGGTATTCGCGTATTCGGGCCGGACGAGTCGCTCGGCGTCGGCGGCTCGCCCTTGCTGCAGGCTATCGAGCAGTAGATGGCGCCGCGCCGCGGCAGGAACGGCCGGCCCAGCAGCGACGTGCGGCACGTGTGACAGCAGAAACAGCCCTCGGTGGCGTGCCAGTGCTGGCCCTCGTGCGACATCTGGCCCTGGTCGACGCCGATCGGCTCGCCGCAGGAGTCGCAGTACTCGGCGAACATGGCGTCGAAGCAGTGGAGGCAGTACGGCCGGCCGTCGCGCATTATGTACCGCTGGCCGCCGAGTTGGCGCTCGCATTCGGAGCAGGTGAAGTGCTTCATGTGCCAGGCGCGGCCCTCCGCTTCCGTGCATTCGTCCGCGAGGATGATCTACGAATCGAGAAATGGTTATAAAAAAAGGCTTCTGAAGGGGGATTGTGTATAGTACCTCGTCGCAAGCGGAACACCGCGGTTTGATGGTCTCGGCGTGGTGGCGACCGCAGTACAAGCGACCCTCTCTGTAGAAGTAGATCAAATCGACGAGGAGTTCCCTGCATACGGCGCAAGTGAAACAAGCGGGATGCCAGGAGGTATTGGGTCCTGCTCGACTCGCGAACACTCCTATATCGCCGGCCGAGAGGGTTTCTTCGCACTGCAATGGAAACGACAGAGTAATTTACTAATTCGCCTTGTTCATCAGGAATCCAACCTCTCGTCGGGCGCCGCGATTCGGGCGTCCCGAAACTTTACAAACCGTATAATGAGAAGTTTAAATTGGAATCCTCCATCATTCGACTAACGGCTCGCAATAACGGCGAACGAACGAGCCCGCCCTTCGATGGCTATTGACCGTAATGACGAGTCTCTTACCCTGCGAACCAGGAACGGGGGAGAAGAAAAATTCCCCGGACTATAGCAATTCAAAATTGTGAAGAAGTTTCGGTGGATACTGTCGAATTAATTCATTCCCAGTACGTTTTCGAGCGGTTAAAAATCAACAGCACAAGAGACTCGAGGGCTCGAGCCCTGTACCTTCCGATAGATGGAGAGAATTCCAGGGGGGGGCGAAGGTTCGAGGAGGCGCCGTCAATGGGCCGAGACCGCCCTCGAAATTTTCGCTCTAAAACGCCGTGTCGTCGAAATTGTCTGCGACTGTCGTAACTTTGATTTTCTGCTCCATTAATGATGGAGAGGGCGCTTATGAGTTAGTTGGATGGCATTCGGGGAATTCGTTATGACAAGTGTTCGCCGCTCCCGAAATAACTCCGGCCGTCTAAGTGTCCGTAATTTTAATTGAAACAGATTTAACGTTTAACCGAAGTTCGTCGATGACGAGCAGCTGGCGTGGAAATGGAAAGATAATTCGAATAGCGCGAAAAATCTGCCTTATATAACGCAGCAAACGCTAGTGGCTGACTGATTGATTGGATGATAATTACGCGCTTAAATTTATAAGGAATACAAGCTTTTAGTAGTATTAATTAGGTGGGTATACGGTGTGAATATTTCAACTTTTAATTGGATCATCTCGACAATGGGTAAAAAACTGTTTCCACCGCTACGGGTCTACTCTAGAGTAATAAGCGAACGAGGAGGAATAATTTTAATTAAAAAAAAAAACTAATTTGCGCTCTTAGAAAGCGATCTTAAGGGAATACGTGAATTAATATTCAAAAGTGGCGTTGGAAAAAGTAGCAGCTCGAGGATAGTCGTAATTAAAATGAATTTTTATGAAATCGCCGATTTTTTTTCGCGGGGCTTTCTCTCCGCTTTTCCGGGTTGAGGAATTTAAATTTAATCAGCAGAACGAGAACGCATGGAGAGTAATTAAAAACCGGCGATGTTTTCGTCGCTGATTTAAAAACGAATAAGAGGCCATCGAAACGGGATCGTTTCGCCATCGATCCGACTGAAATTAAAATGTTTTCCTTCCTATTTACAAATCGTGTCGAATAAAAATGGAGAGTAATATCCTCGAAAAACTTTTCCAATTCCGCTTTCTCTTATCTGCCGAGAAATTAAAAACTTCCACCGTTCGAAAACTCCACCAAATTTCCTACTAATTAAGAGGATTCTCTTCGCAATATAAAAATAAAAATAACGAAACTTGCATATTATGCAATGAGTGTATTAATTATAAATCGTTCGGAAGAAAGGCGCAATTATAGGAAAAAGGCTAAATTAAATGGAAAGAAACAAAGAAAACTTCATCCTCTTAGAAACCCTCTTCGAGCGCATTAAAATCTTTTATAAAGACGCGCCAGGACTTAAATGCACTGGTTATAATGATTCTCGACTTTTAAGCATTCCTAATTCGGGTCATTAATTCCTGCGACTGAATTCTAAAAGGAGCGCTGAAGCTCCCATTCTGGCGAAGTGCTCGACTGAATTGCCGATTATTAAAATTCGCATTAGCGGAAAAGTCTCTAACTATATTACGTTCAAGTTAATCCGGCGATGACGTCACGAGTTAGATTTATAGATGTATATATATGAGTGAAAAAAAATGTGTAACAATAAAAAAAATGAGTGGGTATTCTAGTAAAGTAGTCCTGTCGAGAAAAAGCACACGTGGCGCTTTTTTTTTTTTTCATAAAAGAAAAGGACACGGGGAGGAAAATAATCGAAAAATGACAAGCTCTCGATATTTCCCACTCACACGGTCGCGTATGGCAAGAGACAGGCGAGAATAAGGTCCGGATTTATGGGCGTTGGGGGCCCCGCAGCTGGGGAGCGAGCGACACTTCGAGGACCTTCCCGCCGGTAATTTACGATCCTATTTATTGAAAAATCGCGCCGAGATTTATCCGAGAGAGGGAAACTCACCCCGTCGCATTGCATCGTCCCGCCGGGCACCTGCCTGACGGCGCCGCGGCCCAGCGCCTCGCGCTTCCTCTGGGCGCTGAACAGCCGCAGCTCCTTGCGCTCCTCGTCGGAGAGGGCATGGCAGTAGCGCACCTCGTTGTCGTGCGGCGGCAGCTGCTGCAGGAGCTGCCGCACCCTGTACCGCTCCCCCACCGAATTCACGTAGGGGACCTTGTCTTCGGGCAGCGCGCTGAAGTACAAGTGCACCTGAAAACCACAAAATAAAGTCTAAAAATTCAACTGACGAATAAGATTTCTTATGCACAAGGTATAGAGAATGTAGAGTGGAAAAAGTATGTATTCAAATTGTGTATTCAGTTGGCGCAAATTGAATTTTGCGCTTACTGTCACTTGTCATTTAAGGTGGATACCAGTGTAGCCAGATGTAGCGGAATTGCACTATTTTTAGGCGATTGTATCTAGGCCTTATATGGCTAAAATTTACTATTACTAATAGTATCAAAAATGTTTAATCATAATTAATATACAGATTTCTTCAATTCATACCGCAACATGGTCGTTTCTATGAGTTGAACAAAGAAAGATTAATAAAATAACAGTTGTCAGAGTGAAAAGTTGCAATGACATAATGTCACTCTTTCTTTTTCCTTTATAAGTGTCTAATTGAAGTTGTCTTTGTTGCACCCACAGCTTATATTGCAATGAAAAATGAAGCAATCAGTATATGTCTTGAATTTACTATCTACTAAAAACGAAAAAAAAATGATCTTTCATCAAAAGTAAGTAATAAAGGTTCAAATAATTGAGAATAGCAGACTTTTCTCTTTTCTACCTTAAACGACATGACAATGTCAAAATTGTCAAATCTGTCAAATACAATTTGTTCCATTATTTTCACGCGCGTTCGTATGCTTTGGCTACTCTTCAATTTTATTTTTCTATGGCACCAGGTTGTTTGGTTTTCTACGCAGGTAGAAACCTGTTCGGGAATTACGCCCGGCCGATAGATAAAGCGAACGCACGCTAATTACTCGTGTAAATTTCGTTCCGTGTTAGGTTAATTGATTAGCACACACAACGGACCGTTTTCGAGTTCTGTCCTTTCGATGACGTTCTATTTGCGCTTTCCTTTACCGGTCATTTCGAGAAATACTAACGAGATTCCTTTCGGTTTTCGTTAGCTCTATACAAGCGCTAATTGGAAGGAACGTCCAACTATTAGATTTTTTCCCCTAAATTTCTGTTAGTTCGACCGTACTAGAGCGAACCTCTCGAGGCGATTAGCGACCTAAAGGAAATAAAACGCGTTAATCTAGAATCTAGATCAAACAATATAGATGCATAACTCAATGTCATAATTTTAAAGGTAAGAAGCGACATCTACAAATTCGAAGGAACTAAATACAACGTTGCCATATTGCCAAAATTTTTTTTTTTATATATTTGATTTGTTTGTGTAAATACAGGGTGTAAATAAATGGTTGAGAAAGAATTTAATGGGTTATTCCTTGTCGAAAGAAAAGAACTTTTATATTAAAAAAATGTTTGACTAGGAATCACCGCTTAAATTCTTTCCCAACCATTTATTTTTAATAGGAATATATAGGTCACCCAAACGTTTTTAAAAAACTAGGACGACGTAGATATAAAAACAATATTTCACTTATATTTATTAAATTTATTTAAACAAAAAAACATTTAATATTGTTTCCAAAAACATCTAAAACACTTGGAAATAATATACCAAATATATATGAAAATAAATAACAAATATTTATTATTTATCGAAGCACTTTTAACTGGTTAAATAAATAGGTATTTCCTTAATTACTACAAAAAAAGAGATAAAACAATTCTTACCGTGACAAATACAGAAGTTTAATATCGTAAAATTTGTGCAACTTGTATAAAAGTTTATGAAACACAGAAAATACACTACCAATACTTTAAAATCACTTTTAATACACTACAAATATTACGTAAAGTACTTCAAAATAATTAACAAACAAAACAAAATAACAATAAATACAAAAAAAGCTTCTGACAACAAACTTTCAAATTTCAAACGCTAACGCTGGTGAATCATTCAAATTTTGACACTTTTGACTTTTTGCGACGACGCTGTGTTGCCATGTCTCTTTTGTTGGTTGTGAAAGCAGCTCCAGCGCCATCTGTTTATTCGAAGAAACTAAAAATAATTCTCAGAAACACCAATTCAAGAAAAACATCTATAGGTTTTATCTATGATCTAGAATCGGTATGGGTGGAGCTATTGTTTACTGCCGAGAAACTATGGGGGCTACCTCGGGGCCTCCAAAGAGCCGTTATTAAAAAAAACAACGTATCGTGAAATCTTTAACTACTGCTATCAGGGCATTCCGGGAATTTCTCTCTACCTTTGCGTGTTTGTTTTTCGTGAAATTCGCTGTACCTAATAATATACAGCGCGATGCAAGAGAATTGGAGAGAATTGTAAATGTTTGATAAACGAAGTAGATTTTAGCAGGTAATGGAATCGCTCTGTATATAAAGTTAAATGGAAAAAAAGTAGTTGAATAATTTAATATCTAGATACTTAAAAAAAGTAGCTCAAAAATGTTGCGTGTTTGGATAAAATGTTTCACCACTACCGCCAAGAAACTTTCATGAAATTTACGTTAAGACTCTGTTGTACGTTTTCTTCGCTAAATCGCGGACAAGATTAAGGCGCGCATCGGAATTAAATAAAAAACCCGAGCGAAACCTCCCCGGACGATAAATCCGTTTTTACCGGCCGTACGACCATCAAAATTCCATTCTCGACGGCGTTTTTACGAGCCATCAGGGGGCGCCCGCCTCGAACTTTCGCCATTCCGCTAAACCGAAACGTTATCGCCGGTATATACCTTCGGCACCTGTTGTGTTTGGGCCACAATCGGCCCTTCGTTCTTCCGACGGCGCCCGCCATTCCGCGCTTCCACTTCCTCGCTTGGCCGATTCTAGCACCTGTTGATTCCGGCCGAGGCCATTATCTTTATGAATCCTTTCGTGTCTTTGTACCTCTCTCGAATAAACAAACCCGGTACCTCAAAAAAAAACTTCTCCCGCATCATACGCGAAGCGGACTTTAAGACGCGTCCATGATACCAAAACTGTCAAAATTGACATTAATGACATTTCGTACGACAGAAGTTTAATAGAGGTGGGAATCGATTTTTCGGTATAGAGGCGCAGTAACGACTGTTACAAAATAAGCGTTATTTTTCAAATATCGCGTCACCTGATTACTCTAGTTTCCCATATGTAACGTGGAGTGTGTGGTCTCGATGGGAAGCCGGGCGAGCTCAATAATTCAGCCATCGGGCCGGCTCGGGCTGATTAATTACAATGATTAATTAAGAGCGGGTATTTACGACGGCTAAGGTCCTCGCGACGCGTCCGACTCGTTTTCCTAATAGGATAGAAAATTTATCGGCGCTGACGAGATTTAATGGCGTCGAACAGTTAGCCGGACGATTCGCGATTACTAATGGATCGGTGAAAAAGCGGGTCGAGGGACTGGTTAATTGAATAGTGTAAACAAGAATTTACCAACTTTTTTTTAGATTAATTCCGGGAATTTGAAAGTTTACCAGGAAAGTTTTAGATTCACTTTCAAGAAGCTTCAAGAACTTAGAACATTTTAGACTAATTGCAGAATTATGAAGGTTTTCCAGAAATATTTGGATTCTACTTCAAGAAGCTTTTAAGTGTATTTTAGATTAATTGCAGAAATTTTGAAGTTTCCTAGGAATTCTTAGATTCGATTTCAAGAATCTTCATGAACTTTTCTAAACACATTTTAGATTACTTCTAGAACTCTCCTCCTAGAAGTCTTTCCTCAAATCTTTGGAATCTACTACAAGATTCTTCTAAGAGATTAGAACCCATTTAAGAATCCTATCCAGAACATTTCCCAATTTAAAACCCCACTTTCCCGCTTATCCAGTATCATTTTTCCCTTCAAGCGACATCAAATCAAACGCTCAGACGTCTTTATAACTCCATAAGCGAGGCTGCGCCACCTCAGGACCGGCCACTCGGCATAAATATAAATGTAAGCGAGGGGTGGAAAATATCACTTTCGCGCCGTAAATACAATAAAAGTCGGCGGCCCCATAACAACCGCCTACTTAAGGTCCTTCCACGTTCTGGTCATGTCTCCGCAGGGCCGTAATGAAATTAAGTAGGTAGTTATGAGGCCCCAGATGCGATTTCATTAGATTCTGTTTCATCAAGAACGAGGCCGTAAAGACGCTAAGTAGATTACGGGGGGTCTAATGAATGGGAAAAATGCCGGAGTGTCCGAATGGAGGTTTATTGCCTTGCGGGCGATGCCCGGGAATAAATCAATGCTCTAATAATGAACACTGAAACTGTAAATCATTGTATACCAGCACTAGCCAAGTGTATTTTTATGCATCTACGTGGGTAGTTTCATCAAATTGTTCAATTAGATATATAGATTAGTATACACAATTAGTACCCGAGATATCTATTATAGGATAAGTAGTACCTATATACGATTCTAATTGGAAATAGGTAACATCATTGTCGCGGACCACACACGTTACTCCTTCAATTTTTCACCACTCCGACATTCACGACTCCCATTTACATGATAGCCCGACTTATTACATCCCTCCTACGGTAATTGTTATAATATCGAATTTACATTAAATGGAAGCACGATTCGACCGGCTTCTGGTACGATCCGAAACGTACGCAATGCCCATCGGTAGTACCGGCAGGTTACCAGTTAGCAGCGCTCTTCAGCGATCGAGAGTACCATCGCGCTTCCGGTTATGAATCACAAAAGTTCGTGCCGGGGTCACGGTTGAAATTAGTACTGCAGGTACTGATGTTTTTTGATAGGTATAATGGGAGTCGACTTTAATGGAAAATTGTATATAATTCGATATCCAGATATATCCAGACGACGTCGACGGGCCCGGCGATGCGGTGGAAATTGAAAATCGAATAATCGCCTCTACATAGGGATGGATAATGAGAATTGCGCTTGCCATTCCGGAACTCAATTTCGCAGGAATTATGCAAACAAACAGCTGTCTGTCTGTTCTGTATATTCTGACGCTGTATGACTGTTACAATCCTCCGAATATACGCTGTAATCCTCTTATAATAGACAATTTGAGCTTTGGTTACATCACCAGGTAACTGGATTTTCGTTTAGCTGGAATTTAGCTGGGTATTATTCCTTCTCCACTAATTTTATTTCATTATTATTTGTTACTCCGTAAACCAGAAAATACAACGAAATAAGCTGCAATAACAGTACCATAACATTTATAATACGTTCGAGTAAAAAACGTAAGTAAGTTGTAATAACTTTTTCAATTTTCAACCGTTGTTCGCAGCCGCGAAATTAAATTCAATGGCTAATTTTCGCCGGGTTTTTACAGCCGATTGTTCCGCCAGGGCTCGGGTAGAACGATTGTTCTTCTGGTGGAAGTATCACTTGTCGCCTCGACCTTAAGCGGAATATCGGGTTTGCGCGATTCTTTACGATACGCGTCTCGGTACGCGGTAACCCGAGCCAGTTTTTACGCACTCGAAAAATAAAACGCTCGCTACATGCATAATCCGATCCCGCGATGGAAACTTGACGCGCGTTTCGCTAATTGGTCGAGATTTTTTAGTGATTCTAGCGAACTCACCCGTAGATATAGAACTGAAACAGATGAAACTGTTTAGAAACTTTTAGGGTACCAACAATAGGTCACAGTGTAACAGGAAATGGAGGTAAAACATTGCAAGTTGTCGCGCTATTTTTTTATAATTTCCTTCTGCTTTATTTTTTATTTTTATATCCTGATTATGTAATCAACTTAATACTAGAAACTAATGTTATTTACATTCTTCAAAATACACCCACAATATAATAAATTGCAAGTTTAAGAATGTTTCAAAATGTGACGAATTATATAGTTCAACATTCCTGTAATAGATGAATTCTTACAAATTTGGCAACGATGTACTACCGCACGTAGTAAAATTTGTAGACGATTTCGACTAAAGAAAGATCAGAAAATAGTATATATCTTATTTTCCCGGCGAATAATAGCAAATAGCAGAAAACCGGGAAGTAGTTGTCACTGTTTTTTCACACAATATCAACAAAATTTTAATACATAATATTAAATAATGTTGCATTTTTACCACAACAATTCTTAACATAATTACATTCTTAATTAAAATAAATATACAGGTTGCTCCATTTTTGATCGCAACATAGGTTTTATAGGCCATGGGTGCGATAAAGACAACTACTATTAGACACTTATAAAGGAAAAGGAAAGAGTGACATTTGTGTCATTGCAACTTTTCACTCTGACAACTGTCATTTTAATAATCTTTCTTTGTTCCACTCATAGAAATGACCATGTTGCAATTGGAAATGGACCAAGGTGTATTTGCCTACGCTCAAGGCAAATATTGGCAAATATTGGCAAGATTGGATCCTGGATGTTACCTCTATTCTTCTATCTTACTTTTTTCTGCCTCGTTTACTTAACAAGTGACAGATAATTTCCAATGTCGGCGTCAAAAATTTTCGAATTTACGAATGACCGGCCGGGGATGCGAACTCACCTGGTCGGGCCGGAGCCCGGGGGGCACCCAGGTGTACTCCTCCAAGGCGCAGCCGCTGTCATCGTCGCTCTGCGAGTGCCGCTGCGGATCGCCGTTCGACGGCGAGAACGGCGAGCCCTTGCCCAGGAACCGGTCGGCGGCGTCCAGCGGCGGCAACTTGCCGCCGCCGCCCGGCGACGGGAGCTTGCCGCCGGGCGAGAGCAGCGCCGGCGGCGAGATGGGTCCGAGGCCGCCGTCGTTGTTGTTAGACATGGGGTCCGGGTAGGGGTAGTTCCTGCAGACGGACCTGGAAAACAGAAAACGCCGAATTTAGACGGTTTTTGTGGGTAGTTTTGGGGAATTGGGTCACTAAAAATTGGGTATTTTTCATCTGGTTATTTTCCGTCAAATAAATTTCAGAAAATTTCAGAATATTCACTTGAAATTTTTCGATAACGTTTTAATAAAATCTGTGTTGAAAAATTAAATTTTCAATGATTAAATAACAACATATTAAGGAACATTTTTGAAATCACTTCAATCAGCAAAATAAAACTCCATTTGAATCCCAGTTAGGGGAGTCCTAACTTCCATTTGAGTCCAAGTATAAGTAGCAGTTCTCTACTATACAATAAAAAATTTAAAAGCTCGAGCTTTGGGTATTGAGGTCGGTGTAATAAACCAGAGCTTGCGAAGCGAATAAGGCTCGAAATGAAAGTATCTCGTGTACGTAATAAAAACCGTGCTAAATGCAATGTTTACGTTAACGCGACTATGAAACGTTAGCGAACGTAATCGTTTTGATTCAACTAACCTAGTTTTATTACAATAATTACATCGGCGAAAGAAAAAACAACAGATAAAAATAAACTTACATTAGGGAACATTTACAGTGCGATTAAAGAAATTACTGCTACACTATAAAGTAAATCTAAACTATTCCAACAGTTTTTCGATTAGCTCGAAGATTCGCTTATAACCCTGTACAAATATTTTATTATTATTGTTCAATTAATATGTATTCCAGCTAAAAACACTCGTAAAATGATAAGAGCTATTGGCATATAAATATTTCTATTTTTAATTAATCACTTACACATTCAAGCATCGAAAGAAAATGGTACAGACCAAAAAGAGCACAAACAGTGAAAAATCTTGTCTCTTAACAATCTCGCCAGCTTTTAAGAACAAACGTGGAGTAACAAAGAGTATAGAAATTGCGAAATATTTCGACTTAATTCGCCCGCCTACACCGCGACAAAACAACAAACAGATATCTTCCTTAATCAAAACTTTCGAACAAAGTTTCGCAATGCAAACAGGAATAATGCGCGACCGCTCTTTACAACGCACTAGAGGGCGTATTAATATTCATGCATTTGACGCGCCGAACGCGAGTTAATCTTCGGAAATTATCAGAATGCATAACGAGCATTAAACGCAGCCTTCTGGTGGTTATGCAGAATTCCTCGGGAGAAATTAATTTGGCTTCGCGATTTTTTTTTGTCCGAGGAACAGAGGCGACGCGTAAAGGATATTGTAATTTTGTTATTTATATTCTAATGTAAAAAATAAATAAATGGTATCTATCTAAATATCGGCGCTAATCAATGTTGGGTTACTGAATTAACGAATAAGTTGATGTTTCAGTAGAGCATTAAATAGCGAAGGAAATGGTCGATCATAAGGATAAAGATTTCGTTAGCGATTTCAAGAAATTCCTCAGCAAAGAGGACACTTCCTGGTCCTTGAAAATCGTCACGTTGTTCGAAATATTCATAACAATTATCGCGGTTTTGTTCGTGATTCTAATCGTCGTTTATCGAACGCAATATTCATCGAACAAAGGTAAGTAAATCATTTTTTCCAAATATTTTCAAATCCAAACACCGTCGTTTTAAGCGCGTATAGAAGTTGCAATTATTTACAAACTGTCGAATTGAATTTTCCCGGATGATTTTGATCCCGTCTTCATTGACCTTCGAGTTAATTCACGCAGATTATATTTTAAGACGAACTCAAAACCATAGGCGGCGCGGAGATAATCCATCTCGAAATATTTCCTGATATAACCCCCAAAAAACCCAAAAAACTCTTATAAATCAACCTTTACACTACTCCCTAAGACCGGAGGTTAATTTAAAATAGCGACCCCTCTCGATGGGAATTGTTCGAAAGGCGCTTTTCCGGGTTTCCCCGACGCTGAATCGCGGCCGATGACGCAGCGAAAAACTTTTTACACCGCGTACAGCCGAGTTTTTTCCCCGTTACCGCTCCATTCAGAACCGCGCTCGCACGATGGAGGAAGAAAAACCGCGAAAGAAAACCGTGCAGGAAAAGCGCAACGCTTTCTACGTCATACTAATCGTCATACTAGTGGTCATATTATCCTCCACCATCGTCATACTCAAGCTGAAGAAAATCTACGGCGGTAAGCCTCACGATTCCATCAAATTTACCTACGATTAATTTTCAATTCCAGCGAATATATGCCTGAGCGCGGATTGCGTGGACTCCTCGGAGTTCTTCCGCGACATCATCGACAACTCCATCGACCCGTGCGAGGATTTCTACGAGTTCGCCTGCGGGGGCTACGAGGGGCCCACTTCCACCCTGCAGGAGGCGCAGGCGAGGGTGCTGGGGGAGTTCGTTTCGCTGATAACGGGTCCTGCGAAGGGCGAGGACGAGCCTTCGGTGAGGAAGCAGAAGAAGTACTTCCAGGCGTGCATGGACACGGCGAGGATCGAGCAGGACGACAGCAGGAGCGCGCGGGAGTTGTACGGGAAGCTGGGGGGATGGCCGGCGTTGAGTTACGAGTGGGTGAACAAGTTTTGTTTGGGGTGTATGGTGGAGAAGTGCGCGGATTTGGGGTTGAGTTACGATTGGTTTATTGAGGTCGATGTGGAGGTGGATGGTGATGGGTATCCTACGTTGAGGGTGAGTTGAGTAAATTGTGGGAAACTATTCGAAAAATTTGTTTAAAATGTTCTATTTTTGGTTTCTGTTAGTGGAAATTGGGCAACCGAAACAGAAACATGTATTAATTACAACACTCCGCGTCGGCTGTAAAAATTTCTTCTAATTTACTAAACGTAAACACGCACGTACAGAAATAATAAATAATCTGGTGTACCTATTAACTGAAAAGGTTTACGTTACCAGTAGATTATAGGGAAGGACCTCAAAATAGTTTGAAAAATGCTCGATTCCCTTGAATATAACACTCACTAATAAGCGATCTAAAATTTACTAAATTATATTATTTTTAATGTCCTTTCAAAGCTCATAAAATATATATTTAAACCCGGTTTTGTTAGAGCAAGACTAATTTATTTACATGCACGTGGGCATAACGAAACAAAGTTATATTTATTCAAAAATTAAAAAAAAATTACAATCCATTAATAAAAAAATAAAAATACATTCGATCTCGAAGTGTTTACAATTACATACCTTCATCAAGATAAAAATAACATTTGAACTATCCGAAAAATCTTAAAACCAATTTTTCTAGACATAAACATTTTCAACAAAAAAAAATTAATGGAAAAAATTGGATAATGTTTCAACAGCTAATCCGAAACATGTATACAAAACTCGTTGCTTGTATACGAAAAATATTTGGAATTTTTAGTATTTTAAAGCATAAATTTCGAAGAGAAATCAACATGTTAACACAAAAAAATAAATGTAAATACCCTTTTAGAAGTAACTTAAGAGAAAGGTGTAGATTTAGTACACTAATTATCAAAGATTTATTTTTAGCTTTCCGCTCCTGTAAGATCAGTTAATATAGTCGAGTCTCAGTTTAAAGATAACTACCAATTACTCGTGGAAAATGTCATAAAACGAATAAGAGCTAATAACAGCTTGGACAACATTTCAATAGCGGCAAAATCCGTAGTGGATTTCGAAGAATCCCTAGCGAAGGTAATAAAAAAACTTGTAAAAGTTACACGAATTGCACTGTTTTTCATTTTACAGATAGTTTCGAAATCTGGTGAAAACTACACGCAAACAACCATAGATGATTTGCAAACGATGTTTCCAAATTTACCATTAAACGCTTTCATCAAAAACGTGGAAATGGATAAAAACGCCACAATAGAAGCAAACGTTGCCTACATAGCCAAATTATTGAGATTTCTCGAAAAGAGCAGTTCCAGGTGAAACACTTTTAATATACTTCCGTTCATATTTTAATCAATTTCTTCCAGAACAACAGTCAACTACATAATGTGGAAAATAACAGAAAACCTCTCCAAATTCCTACCCACGAACATTCGAAGAGAATTCGACATTTACAACGAAGACACCGCCAACCGCACGAACCCCAAACGCGAAACCTTCTGCTACAGAACCACCGAAGTGCTGTAAGCTTCAAAATTCCACCACGATCTCGAGATATACACAAACAAACACATTTCGAATTCCAGATTCGCCTACGTCTCGGAGGCGGCCTACGCCCGAAAATACGCCTCCGCCCGGCCCACCATCCAAACCATCTTCGACAACATCAAGCTGGTGACGAAGGACCACATCGACGCCGCCAAATGGATGGACGACGCTCACAAGACGCGCGCCGTCGAAAAATTACAGAACGTCAGCCTGACGATCGGCGGGCCCGAGGAGGTCTTCGACGCGCCGAGCTTCGACAGATCCATCGGCGTCGATAAGGTGAGCTAGAGAAGCGTGTAGAACACGTGTAAACCGCGATGTAATTGCATCGAACCACCTGTTGAACAACTCGTTTTGTTCTGACACGTCAGACGCGCAGTTAGAACGAGAACTATCGATGGATTCATGACGGGTTTTTGATCCAGGTCGACATCTTGGACATCGGCAACGTGTTAGATATCGTACGAGCGACGGACAGGAGTCGCGATAAGTACAACTTGGATTTGAAGAGGAGAAGGATCGTTGATGCCGATGGGAGATTGTACGCCGATATAGTGGATATTCACGCGATGAGATACATACCGGAGGATAATGTAATATGTAAGTTTCGTTAGTGCAGTGATGCAAGTGATGAAGAAGTTTGTTGTTGTTCGTAGATTTTCCTGCTGCTTTTATAGGCGGCGTCTTCGACTCGCACAAAGGTTTGCATTTTCGCAATTACAGCGTGCTGGGTATAGTGCTGGCGCATGAATTGTCCCACGCTTTCGGGATTTTGGACGCTTATGATCCCATCGAGCATGTATTATTGAACAACTGGTCGAATTCCACTTATCAAGCCTTCCTGAACGCCACCGATTGCCTGATGGAGCAATGCTTCGATTTCAACGATACCACGCAAGTTCAACACACTAACAATGTATTACACTCACTACTATAATTAATTTGCAATACTGTTTGGTTTTTTTTGCTTTTTAAGAGCCGATGCATTCGAACGTTCGACGAAAACTTCGCCGATTACGCGTCAGTGGACGTCGCTTTCGAGGCTTTTAAGAAAATCAAAGCGGAAGAAATCAACCAACTTCCAGGCCTGAAGTACAAATTGGACGAGCTGTTTTGGATCAGTTACGCTGCCACTATGTGCGACAGCATGAATACCACCGCGCAATCCAAAACAAATCCCTTCATCAAGACCCATCTGGAACCATCCAAGAGGATACTGGGCTCCTACAGGAACTCCAAATATTTCTCCGAAACCTTCAATTGCACCGAGGACAGTTACATGAATCCAGCTGACAAATGCGTAGTTTTGTAGAAAAAATACTAACTTATTTAAAAAAATAATAGAATTTTTAATTACCTACAAGTACCTACTCGTATTATACATACATGCTCGGTGTCACCGCCGTTAATTAATCTAAATTACGGACGACACGGTGTGTAACTACAGACTACACCAGAGATGAGCAATGCTCAGTGCGATCTCGTGCGCGAGATAATAATAACACGAATTTCTAATTCGTAATTGCTTCCATTTCGGGTCAAATGTGGAGTCGATGATAATGGGCTGGAGGGACGTCAAAGGGTGGTACCGCGTCAGAAGCACGTTGGAGAAAGTGCTTCTACTCACCGTGCTGTTCTTCGTTTTCGTTATAATCGTATTTTTCGTGTGTTTATTAACGTCGCACGGTAAGTACAAAACGCTCCGTTAACTTACAATAATAAATAGGACGCGGTTAATTGAATCAAGTAACTAGGTCACACGGAATTAATAAGTACACGTGTCAGGAAGAGTTAGTAATTAATGTTGTTTCGGCGGTATTTTACGGGTGCATTTCCAAAACAGATCTACCAGAAAACGATATTTGCATGAGCCCCGAGTGCATTCGAGCGGCTGTCCACATCCTAGACACGATCGATGCCGAGGTGAATCCTTGCGATGATTTCTACCGCTTCGCCTGCGGGAATTTCCTGAAAAACGCCTACTCCAACAACCAGCCCACCATGCTGCATTCGCTCAGCCAGCTGGCGAAAAACCAACTGAGGCAGATCGTTATGGAGAGGAGAAACGAGGCGAATCTGACCAGACTGGTGGCGCTCCAGCGGCGATTCTTCAGAAGCTGCACCAACACCAGCTGGATCGACAAGCACGGGGATGAGAGACTGTTCAACATCCTGGACGTGGTGAGTGGAAAATTTGGTTCTACATAGCGCACTTAAAGATCAACTTTCGGATCTACTAAGGTAGTAGACGGTTGGCCGATATTGAAAATGGAAAACTGGTCGCAAAATAGCTACGTTTGGACCAAACCAATGGTAGCGGCCAGAAAGTTGGGTGTGTACCATCACTTCTTCCTGCGCATCGAGGTCATGCGGGACTTTAACACCGGCGAAGCGATGTTGTGGGTAAGAAATTTATCGCGATTGATCCATCTCCACTTCCCTCCGAATTCTCATAGATAAGACCGCCGTTCGATGCCGAAATCGAATCGTTCATGTTCGACGACGCCAACGTGGAGTACATTTACAACATAGCCAAAGAGTTAGGAGCCAGCAGCGTCGATGTCAAAACCGATCTGCGGATAACCAACAAATTCGCGGAGGAATTGCGATCGGTAGATATACATGCAAAAGCGCGTTCGTGCAAGTGTATTCGGATATTTTTAGATCGCCGGGAGACATTCGAATCAATCGCAGGCCTACGATCAGAACACCAACATAACGATACAAGACATCGACCACAAGTTTCTTAAAGTCGATTGGTGGAAGTTTTTGAGAAACATCACCGGCTTGCATTTGAGCAAAAACGATAGAGTAATCTTCGATGTGGACGGTTATCTATCAGATTTGTATTATTTATTCCACCGAACATCAAAATCGTAAGTTTACTAGCGCAACCATTATAGTAGTGTACCAAACATTATTTCAGCACACAAGCTAATTACATAGCATGGGTACTCATACTATCCAACATAAACTACCTGCCGGAAAAAATCAGGAACCAACACGATTTAATGGTGGAGAACACGGAGCACAGAAAGCCGGAGAAACGAGTCGATCAATGCTACGAATTAAGTCTCGGATTGTACGTATAAACATCCCCTAAGCTTCGTTTAACGACGATTTTATTCCAGATTTACCTCGATAGCCGAAGCGGAGTACATACGGAGGTACACAACACCAGAAAAGAAGCAGAAAATTCAGATCATGATCGATTATGTACAAGCCGAAATGAAAGACGCCATCGAAACCTCCAAGTGGATGGACGAAGAGAACCGATCCAACGCCATTCAGAGACTGAAGAATATCACCACTTACATCGGCTGGCTGGACGCGGCGTTCAATACAAGCCAAATGGAAGAAATCGCCGGCTACAATAAGGTAATCCCTTAGGAGTTCCAAGGTCCTTGTTGGGTCCAGATTTTTGGGATCTAAAGGCATTATTCTCCAGGTCTTCCTCCATTCACAAGTTCTACCCTCGTTCTTCCACAGGTGTTCCTCCATTCAAAGGTTCTTCCTTCTACATGTTCTTCTACCTTTCTACCTTCTACTCCAGAGTTTTGGTCGATTTTAGTAGATGTATAATATTTTCTTACAGATCAAGCATTTGCCTCGCCACGGCCATGCTATAGACATCGCCATGCTGGCGATTAAAGTGAAATACGACAAATTGTACGCCTCAATTCACTCCAAACTCAGCTGGAAATTGGAAAATCTCCTCAATCCTGGTATAGAAGTCAACGCGTATTTCATGAGAAGCAGCAATATGCTGAGTGAGCATTAAGAATCTACTTTTAAATATCTGATTATACGTGTGATATTTCCAGTATTACCCGCTTCGATTTTACAAGGAGTGATATACGATGCAAACAGGCCGAATTACATGAATTTCGGAGCCTTGGGGTCTGTAATAGGCCACGAATTGACCCACGGATTCAGCATACTACAAGACACCAACGACGATGTATGGACGAATTCAACGCTGGAACAGCGCGGGGAAATAGTCGAATGCGTCCAGAAAGAGTACAACCGCTACCGATACAAACAAGGCAAAGACACTGTAAATGATTCTAATAATAATAGAGATATTTGATCGACTCGAACGTCCATTTTCAGAACGACTCGTCGCTGAGCGTGGAGGAAAACGTGGCCGATTTCAGCGGGGTGACGCTCGCCTACGACGCGTACAGGAACTGGCGCCGGGCCAACGGCGGCGAGCGGGCGCTGCCCGGCGTCCGGTTCAACGGCGATCAGATCTTCTGGATAATGGCGAGCACCTTCATGTGCTACGAGCCGCAGCTGGCCGAAAAGGACGCCGACGACCAGCACAGCACGCCCGAGTTCCGCGTGATCGGCAGGATCAGGAATTCGCCGTACTTCGCGCACGATTTCGGCTGTCCCGAGGGCTCCCGGATGAATCCCAGGGAGAAGTGCCGGGTGTTCGTGTGAACGTTGCTATAGTTGTAATGGTTTTTAAACGAAAAGAAACTCGATTTTTTTAAATTTTTTTTACAGACTATTAATTGTATCGTTAACCTTCCGAAGCGATTGAGACGTCAATTAGTTAATTATGATGAATTTTTTTTCGGAAAAATTCACGAGCTTGAACTGTAACCTTTATTAGAAGCGTGGGCGCCGAGTGTCGCTGAAAACGGCTTCGTTTTCGTCACACACACTCTCGCCTGTAACGTTAGTATTAACAAATTAGCCCATTACAAATTCGACGGTAGGATTATTAAATTTATCGCGCCCGATACACCGTCAGTCGCTCGTTTTTAATTTATCGCCGGTACGGCGTCGGAATATCGGAATCGGAGATTCCGAATCGCCGATAAATTATTCGATAAGTGGCCGTTGTTTGTTCGGCTATGGAGATGTTAAGTTATTCTAATGCTCGATAGAAGTGTGTCGGGCGAATGAAAAAAACATCTGTCTATCGAGAAGGTGACAATAATTCCAATTCGACCTGGATGTCAATAAACTAACGATATAATTAGATGGGTTTCCCGCAGTAGAATCGAGTAGACATGTTTTTTAGTCTCGCCTGATGACGAACGGAGCATAAGCGAGAAAGTATAGTACAGAGTCTTCATAAATGATTGATTCCCACGTTACCGAATTCGAAATGAACGTAGTAAATTTGTTATGTTTATGTTGGTACCCAAAAAATAAGTTACTAGGATACTGTCAATAATGTCAAGTCAACGTCAACTCGATTAAATCTCGGTAGAAATTACGTGTTTTGTTTATTTTTCCTAGTTTTTCCTGTGCTTTTCCCGAAGAAAACTGTGTATCAACATAACCTTTAATTAATAATAGGTAAAAAGTAATGAAGAACCTAGTGGATTAATGTTCTTCCTCCACTGTGTTGATTTGTACTAAAAATAGGGACATTTTTTGAAAATAATTACAACTGTGCACTTTGGGTTGCATAAATTTTTAGGTCATGTGGGAATCAATCATTTATGAAGACTCTGTATATAAGGTAAGTGGTCAATAAGTGAAGAAAGTCGCAATTCTTCATATGAAACTAATGAAAGTTGCCTTTATTTCAGTACCACATTGCGTACAAATTTACACTTATCTGTATAATATGCGCAATGGGAAACATTCTAACCTCACTTTTAAATGTCAAAAATCGAAACTTCTTTGGCCTCGTACGTGTCGGCAAACCAATTATGTGTCAAACAACCAATCAAAAGTGTATATTAGAGCGTGCATTTCATCACGCATAGAAGAATATTAACCGTAATAGTTTTTCCGCTCGCCTCGTTAATTTGGCAAGAAATCGCGGCAGGTAGCAATTTGCGAAGGTAGCCGAAGGCGGCGAAAAGCCGACCAGGATGTAATTAATGCGAAATTGTCATTTTCTGGATACCGATCGTCGATCAAGTGGGCTACAAGGCGATGCTCATGAACCGCTTGATGTTTGTTTTGCAACGTTCAACGTGTGCTTCTGTTGAGTAGTTGAATCGCGAAAGAATCGCGCGCGTTATCAGAATTGATATGTGACCGGTGGAAGCAGAAAACATAAAACGAGTCGTTGGCGTTTTTTTTCCAGCGCTAATTCGGAATCGGCACTCGGCGAAAGTAAATTTTTCCCGTACGGCGAGTCGTCTCGAAAGCATTTTTACGACGGCCGCTCTCGAAGGCATGAAAGTTATCGATTCTTCCGTAAAAGTCGAGCCACAACGACGTTTATAGCGAAGACGAACGCCCGGTTTGAAACTAATCCCGCATCTTCCGGCGAAATGCCCCATTAAAAACCGCTTATAATCGATATCCTCGTCGAATTGCCTATCAAATTTTATCCACTGCGACATTACGATTTATCGTACGGCCCTCGTAATCGCCTCGTCCGACTCGAATTTATCGTGTACACGTCGTAGAAGCGTGGAAACGTTTTATTACAGCTTCACACTTACGGGCCGGCGCGAGCACATTCCTCCCTCGGAGTTTTCCTTTGTCGTATGATAAATTAATTGTTAACCGGAAAAACGTTGTACTGGTGCGTTCGGCTCGTTTTACATTGTTGTTTTCATGTTAAGATTGCGCGACTCCGTGCTGTGATTAGTAATTACCTATACGCGGATACTTTTGTTTTCTAATTCATTAGAACATTAGTTCGATCGGAATGTGGCGCAAATTAATAAGATTCTAGTTGGGAATTCAATTCGGGGCGAGGTCCGCTGTTTTTCATCGAGAATGCTGTCGGTGAATTAAATTTATTGAAGTGATAACTGATAGGCGATCGTTTGAATTAACTCACCGTTAAATCGGCTATTAGCACCTCATTTTTTTCGAAATACTCACCTGAAACAGAAAGCATAAAGTTAATAAAATACGATCGTTGAAGAGCGGGCATTCGGATGGTATAGGAGACAAATATTAATTAAAAATAATCGATACCGATAAATTAGTAAAAAGAGGTAAAAGGCCTTTTATTTGGGACCACCCAGGATGACGTTTATGATACCATTAAATGTTTCCAGAATCATATTTAATTTGGAATGTTAATTGCTAGAAGAAAACAAGTCCGACATATTTAATAGATCGAGTTTGGCTTTGATTTGCTCCAAATTGATATAACTCAAATAGCAAATTAACATTATTATTTAGAAGAACCAAAAGAAAAAGAATCCAACAAATTTTATGTAGTATACAGCTCTTAAAAAGCCGTTAAAACAAGCAATAAAATTATCCAACTTCTATAAAAGATGTACCTTTTAATAGCAAGGCGAAAATGTAATGTAACAATAAAAATATCCAGCGTTTTTATTGAAGTCTATGACGAATTTTTCAATTACTGCTAAAGCAGGCATCCAACATCACGGGTTTGCGCTAGTATTTGAACAATACTCAAGAGTAAATTGGACACTAATACATAGCAAAAAGTACACAAAACATTTTAGTTTGAATAATACCGAATTGTGTATGCGAGATGCTCGCAGGCATCAGTAGCTCCCTGCTTTATCCGACATCTCGAAAATTGATTGCATGTCACTTAACGAGCGCGCATACTGGTAATTTCCCAAAGGATGCAGATGCTCGGCACAAATATAATATTTATAAATATTTTTCCACTAGTTTCCCCACAATGAATAACTTCAGCGGCATTATCATGGAATTATCGGCTCCCGAGATGTTATTAGGGACCATAAAATTTCGCAAATAATCATTAATTGAGTAATTGTCAGCGGCAAGTGCGGCAAACCATCGCGAAATTATCATACAGGAGGACTCGTCTAGAAGGTTAAGTGGACCTTTAGAGCGGTTAATGAGCATAATTATTTTATTAAAAAATACTTGTCGACTTTAACGGGGTTAGAACGGCCAAGATGGCCGCTTATGAAGACATCGCCGCCGTAAACGATCGTTAATACTTACTCACAACTTACAACAAACGCCCGAGGTAAGATTAATTTATTGCTCGAATCGCGGCGTTTGATTTGTCGTCAATAAAACGCTTCTACTTTCAGCGAGCCCGAGAAAAAATCCCGACCATTAGCGACTTCTTCCAAATTACGGCCATTTGTCAACGCGCCGACATTCCGGGGAGTTTCTACACGAACGCAACAACAAGTCGAATCGAAGGGAATTAATCACTTTCTTCAATTGAGATCTCACCTCGAGATTCTCCCCAAAACAAGACCCCACACATTTGCAACTTACAGCTCGAGAAGAATAGCTAGATACCGAGGTCGCGTGCGCGCAAATTAATTGTAGCAACTCGAGGAATTGTGAACAATAACCCGACGAAACTCGTTCTGTAGATTGCTCTTCGACTTTTTATTAACGACCATTATTAAAGGCTCGAATTCCCCGGCCCGAGTTCGACATTAAACGACCTCCATTAACGGACACGTTGTTATTAAATTTCAATCAGAATGTATTTAGTACCGCACGTTTTCGGTACTCGTTACCTAACGCTCGGCCATTTGCAATTCAATAAATTAATTCGATTGATTGTTAGGTACTATTAGGAACATAACAATTCGATGCTCAAGTGATGCTCATTGTTAGGAGTACTTCAGTGATGTTTTTTTTGTGTATGAATATGAATAAGTTTCGGTTGCATGTTCGGGTTCAGGGTCTTACCCTCAAACTACTCGGCGATACGAAAATAAAGGATATCCCCGGAGGCTCCGGGCGTTCTTATGTTAATTCTCGCGGAGCCTACGTACGCATATGCATAGGTAATAAGCGGTTGCGCGGCCATTTTTCATCGTCGGTTAATAATCAGCGCGACTCGAATTGGAGTAATCGTCCGGCCGATCCTTTGGGGGTTATTCGGGACGGTTAATTGTCGAATTCCAGTAGCCGATGTTCAACGAATTTCGAGTTTTTCCGCAACGAGGCATTAAGGACGTACAATAAATTTTATTCCATTCACGCCTTTGCATCGCGATGACTCATGGATGTTGGACCGAACACTCGGTCTACTTTCACCTCTGGGGCTTTGTTTTATGTTAATACAATGACCACTATTAGTACTTAATACTTAATAGTAGGTATAGCAAATGGAGATTGGAAATGTTTAAAGTAATTTTGCCTCAATTTGTATAGAGGATGGAGTCTTTTTCTGTGGGAATTGAACGCTTTTTTTGATTGAAATATGCAAGACGTGGAAAAGAAACAAAGAGATGAAGACAAACAAAGTGTATTGCCGGTATCCAACAGCGTGAGTTATGAATTAACAGGTGCTTGAAATACAACGCATTGAAATGATATCGTTAATGGGATAAAGCTCGCTTACTTATTATCGATATCGGGAATTATTTATTATTGCTTCGGCGATTTTTTTACAGAGACTTCAGGCTGCTACAACTATTAAATTCATTTTTAAGGACACCTTGTATATAATCCCATTTTGTAACAAGAAACTCCAATGAGACAACAACTCTTCTACATAAGAATATGTAAAATAGAGTCGACAGATTAATTATTGCGTCCACATGTTTCGCGATATACACCCGTTATGCGAGTGGTTATCAGCAGAAATTCTATTAAAGAAACGCTTTTTTTATAAATTATTATAATTCCGCCTACGGTAGATGAATTTTTACAACTAAAAACCGCGCGGAGTTCACTATCTAGTT